TGACGTGTTTTGAAATTTTGTTTTCTTTTTCTCTTTGCAATGAAATGGACTTTTTAAAAAAGAATCCTGGAAGCCAGTTGGCCCTGCTCTGCCTGCACCGAGGATCTTCTGGGAAGGAAAATCTGTCTGGTATGAGAGGAGACAGGTGACAGGTAGCAAAGGGGCCCTGAGATCACACAGCCACAGCATACATGAACCCAAGAGCACCTGGGACCTGCACAGCTACCCCTGCAGCTCACGTGGAGGGAGACTGCCATTCCTGTGGCTGCCCATGGACTGTGTGTCCTGAACAGTGGCATTCTGGAGGTCTGAGGTCAGCACTGGTCTCCCAGGCAACATCAGGTCTCAGGGCTCCTCTGGACCTCTGGGGATGAGCCTCCTCCTCCTCTGCGTACCAGAGGCACCTCCGCTCCACGCCTGTGGCCCTGCTCTGAGGACAGCCCTGTGTCCCCTCCAACCCATTGTCCTCTAGTCACCCAGCCTCCTTCCTCGGGACCTCTGACGACACCCAGCCCTCTGCTAACCCGTGGCAATCTCTTCCTCCAGCAGACTCCTTCCACCTGCAAGGCCCCTCTGCACGCAGGCCCACACCCACCCAGGCTCCCAGGTAGGAAGACAGGAGGAACTGGGAAAGAGCTTTTCCCAGGTTTTTTCCTCCAGCCAGCCAAGTTGCCCATGTCTCAAAAATTGGTGAGAACTGGATTTGGGGGTTAAAACGTCCACTACTGCTATTTGCACCTAAGCACACTGTCATTTTGTGTGACTCAAAGCTGCACTGATAGAATTCTGTTAAATAATATGGCTTCCTGTGTAACTGTACCTTTGAGTGCCTTACACTCAAAAGGAACCAGTGTCCAGCTTCTTGGTGTATATGTGTGCATACACGTGTGCATTTGTGCATGTGTGCACATATGCATGCCTACATGTGCTGTGCCCTATGCCTAGAAGACACATCACCCCCAGCCGAAATTTCTGTTAATTCAAAACAGCAGCATAAAAAGTCAGGTCAGCAGCAGCCTCTGGCCAACACCAGCTGCTCCCACTTTGGCCTTGACGAGAAGACCCTCTCAGGAATGAGTGGCTGTTGGAGCAGTTAGCTTTCAGCATGCGGCAGGGTCCTGGAAGGTGTGTGGATGTTTGGAGAAGGGATGTTCTCTGCCCTAACTTAAAAGCGGGACGAAACCTGATTGAAACGCCCTATGATTTTGATCTGATTTTCTTCAGCCCAGCTAACGTCTGCTGCACAGCTGCTGACATCTATCTGACACATAACTCGGATGTCATTTTGTACCCACAAGCAGCTCTTAGAAGTGGGGGAGCATCAGCCAATCACAGAGTCCATAACGAACATGAGCAGAAAGTGCCCCTCAGGGACTGAGGTGAAACCATGAGCCAGTGCCAGGCACCAGGAATGGCAAGGTCTTGGAAGGAGACTCATTTCAGATTTTGTTCTGTCCTTCCTTGAATCAATGCCATGCTGCCAGCCAGCTTGTCTCTTAGGAAGGAGGTGATGCGTGAGGAAGCAAGTACCCCGGGGAACTGGAATAAAAGAAGAGGGGCCTCAGGTCAGGACCGTAGAGCAGGAGGCCTCCCGAGCAGGCTTGCTGTCGGCCCTCTTCCCCGTGGGGAGGCTGAATCAACAGGACAGACACCCCCACCCCCAGGTCACACCCTGCTCCTGTATGCCCCAGCACAGGGTTCCATGGCAACCCTTCAATGCCTGGGGGACCAGGCACCTTCACCATTGTTGGCAAAGCAAGTGCTTTGCCCAGTGGGAAACCACACCGTGGAATGAACTGAGAAACCCACAGGGGTCTAAAGTAAGGGAGGAAACCATGATTTCTCCTTTCAAGACTGCTGACCTTTCTAAATTGTATCTGCCTCCCATTCACACTTCCTAGTGAGGAGACCCCACTGAAGAACCAGATCCTTAACTTTACCCAGAATCCTTGAGATGAAAATGCACCCTCTGGCTTACAAATCAGATGCACCTGCTCGTGGAAAACCATTTGGCCAATTTCCTTGGGAAGGAACCCTAAGTTGGCCTTGCATCCAGATTTCTGAGTTCATCTAATTATAAGTAGAAGCTCATAAAAGCCTATTTTAAATCATTTGCACGGAGGCCAGCGAGTTTTTACTATTGTTCGAATCTGAGGTTTGCAAGTTGTGAGTCGGTAAGCCTGGGTCTCCTGAAGCAGACACTGAGGTTGTGTGTGGGTTGGTGTCCACATGGTGCTGGTGAGAACAGCAACCTTCATGTTCTGCGTTCACAGCCAGCAGTGCAGGCAGGAGAAGGCAGGACAGAGAGCAGGCACCTGCCTGGAGACAGTGAGACAGACAGCAGGGAACGGAGGAGCCAGGAACGGCCGTCCCGCACTGAAAGCCAGGAAGCTGCGGGACAGGTGTGCAGGCCCAAGGGCCCAGCCACTTCATGGCTGCACAGGCTCCAGGCGGGTGACATGGCCCCCTCAATAGGGAAAGAAACAGCAGAGGACCAGGGTAGAGCAAATGCACTCGGGGTTCACAGGAAATGATGCCACTAGAGGCCACTGTCAGGGACCTGCTTTGGATTCTGAAGGCTAGGAAGTGAGCTCACACCCTCCCGTTGCTGAGACACAGCCCCCAGCGTCCATCCCTTAGAGGACATTTATCTCACTCAGTTTCCGGATGGTTCAGTCCATGGCTGGCTCCAAGGCAGCAGGCACAGAGGAAGGACCTGGTGGTGGAACACAGCTCACACCCATGGCAGCCGAGAAGCAGCAAGAGAAGGGGGAAGCCAAGGACAAGAATGCAGCCTTCCAGGTCACAGCCCAGAGACCACCCCAACCAGCCCCACTCTGCTCACGGCAGCTCCATTCCTGACTCATCAGAGACAGATCTGCCCATGTGCACATGCAGACCACGTGTCGGGAGGCCCCCATGAGTGGATGGACACTGCTGAGGCTCCATGGCAGGTAGGGATCCTGCCTTCCCACTCTAGGAGTCGAAGGACAAAGAAAGCTTGGAAGCAGGTGGGGATGGTACAGGCTGGCAGGTGGGGGCACCCAGGCTGTCCCCAAGGACACAGATGCCTGTGTGGAGTCAGAAAGGCACCCATGACCCCAAGCTTAGGCAAAGGCATGGGTGGGCCCGTGGGGGCCTGAGTATGAGTGGAGGGGAACCTCATGGGTCACATCATGTCCTGGCCTTGGATCTGGAGTCCTCCTCCTTTCCCTCCCAACCAGTTTGCAGCACTGACCAACAGCCCTGGCCCCTGGGAGGGGCCATACCAAACCCACCCCACCCCCCAGAGCACGGTGGGGTAAACCTCGGAAAACCTCCTGGAGGGGGGTGGGACCCCACTGTGCGGCCTTTGCCACTTTCCCTGCTATGAAGACTCTTCCATGATCCCGATGTCACCTGGGTCAAAAAATTTCTGAAAATGTAGCAGCGGCAGAGGCTGCATTTGACAATCATCTGAGGGAACAATCAGCAGGCTGGCTCGGCCAAGGCAGTCCTGGCACCGGTGCAGTGTGGCTCCAGGCACAGACTGCAGAAGCCACGCAGGCCAAGGCAAACACGGGGAGCTGCATCCAGGGTCATAGAGCCGGAGTATAGAGCAGCTTCAGGAAGCGTGGCTCGGAAGCCACCCCAGACACCCGCTGTGGCCACAGGCCCAAGAACCCCACCTCTGGGCCAGTCTGCCCAGCGCATGCCCTTCAAGCCCTCTGTTCAGAGTCTGAGTCTCGGGCCAGCATCCCAAACTGCTAGAACAAAAGCCCAAGGCTGCAGGACATGAGAGGGTAGGCTCACACCCTGGAACTGCCCTGCCGCCCTGTCCTGCCCTGCCCCACAGCAGGGACACACCAGGAGTGCTCAGGGCCCTGGAGGGCACAGCACCCCAGAAAGCCAAGACTAATGAGCAGGACAGGATCTGGGGTGTAGGGGAGAGGCCAGTAAGACCATGTGACCTGGGGCTCCTGTGGGAAAGGAGGGGTCTTCTCCCTACCTCCACTTAGTGGGGGCTGTGCAGGGGCCTAGCAGGCCTCCAGCAAAGAGCAGGCTGACCCTCTTTGTGCCCCATGTGTCCCCCACAGAGCCACATCCAGAGCGCCCTGGAAGACCCTAACCTCCACCACGTGGCCTCAGCCCACATCCTTCCCAGCGCCAGGGCCTGGTACAGGGGCCTCTCCCTCCACAGTGCCCAGGGTGGGGCAGGGGACTGCAGGGACCCAAATCACCACGCTTGGTCCCCCACAGCACTCCTCATTTGTCCAGAAAAGGAACAGTGCTGAGCCACATTCCCATGCAGGGCACTTCCCAAGGCGGTAGCCATCAGCCGGAGACATCCCTATCCCCTGGACAGGTGCCGTGAGCATCTCACACTTCTCAGCCTTGTTTCCTCTGGACAGAAAAATGCCAGGCCAGGTTCACTGCTGCCTCTGAATATGTGGACTGGGCACCTCATGCTGGCCCCTCCATGCTGTATGGACCAGGCCACAACTACACAAGCACCCAGGTCACATGAAGAGGCCGGTTGCCTGGCGTCTGTGGCACCATCGGGCCACTGCCTGGGGACAGTGGGCACAGGCCAGGCGACCGAGGTGTGAGGGCCCCAGCTCTGAGACAGGGCCCCACTCAGGCCACCTATTGATGCACAGCCCTGCACAGTCACTCCACGCCCCACCCCGGGATGTGGCCCCGGCATTCTGCCACAGAGCTGTGACATCTGAGGGTTGCTCCTCTTTCCCGCACCAAGATTAAAGAATCACTGCTTTGTCCCACTGAGCCCTGCCATTCCTGGTCATCCCTGCGGGGACCGAGTCTCCAGGCCAGTACTACAGCAGGGTGATGACAGCAGCAGCCCCGATCATGCCTTACCTGCCCCCCATCTCCACAAGTCCCACGAAGCCTTCCAGATACAAACACCTCAACAATGCCAAGTTTCTGCTTGCCGAGACACCCATGCGTTACACTTTAAGCCCACGCACAATGCACACTTATTTGCCAGCTCTCAAAAAGATATTTGAAGTAGTTTAAATATAAACAGGCATACAAAAAGACAGTAAGAAGTAAAATTAGAGTCACAGGTGGAAGTAACATCTAGCCTGAACATGAAGTGACCTAGGTAAGAGACCTGAGCAGTAAATGCGCTCTGAGATTACTGGCAGTAAAGGTGAAAAAGGAAAGTTCCTGGTTGCCAAGGAAAGCAGCATCTGTGGGTCAGCTGGGAAAGGCCACACGCCGGTCCCTTGTCCTCCAAAAAGGGTCCTTGTGGATTTTAAATGCGTAGAAAAGCAAGGCACGACAGTGACCAAGTCCAGGCCTTTTCACTGAGCAGGCCCGGCCAGAGCTCGGAAGCCGGCGGGGCCACGTGTGTCTGATTTTCTCCGTGTTTTTCCCTTCAATGGACTGAAACATCAGCAGCAAGGTCACTCTGAGAGCCAGGTTCAGTGCACACCCCACCCCCCCCCTCACCCCAGGGAGCCGGATCCCCAGTACTTTGCTCTGGAAACAGGGCACACAGCCCCATGCCAGGGGTGCCTAGGGTCACTCAAAGACAAGCCTCTCCTCATGTCTCTGTGTCCCTAGTAGGATGGAAGGGGCACGGGCTTCTGTCCGAGGCAGACCACATCCTGATGGTGTGGTCTGGAGAGTCCCCATTCTCCAAGGCTCAGTTTCCTCCCTCCTGAGTGCCCAGGGACAGCAGCACATGGAGGAACTCGCCAGACTACAGCTCTGGACCAAAGATGCTGTCACACCCCTCCCTGGTGACATCAAAGGTACATAATGGTCTCTACTTGCCAGGAAGCCCAGGGCAGCTGGAGGACGGTGGCCTGCGGGCCACAAGCACTAGGGCACAGGGCTGCCGAGGTCCTTGGGCACTGGAGCGCTGGGCAGGGACTTCAGGTACTCCAGGTGCCTCCGGGCATCCTCCTGGTTGTGCCGCACGTAGTACACGATGTAGGCGACGACCATGGTGAACCAGCCGAACATGGTGACCAACATGGCCACATCTGTGGTCCTGTGATGGGTACTGCAGAGGCTGACGCCCGAGTCCAGCACCTGGATCAGCGGCTGGCCCACGAACTCCTCCTGCACGGAGGTGTGGCAAGCCATTTCATCCACCGAGTCAGGGTCCAGTTTCAGCTCCCAGAGCGCCTCCTGCAAGGCACACTCGCAATGCAGCGGGTTGTGGGACAGGCGGATCTTGGCACCCAGCTTGCTCAGGGCATCCTTGGGGATCCTCCTGATTCGGTTGTGTGACAGGTCTAGCAGTCGCAGGCCACCGGCCAGGCCAGAGAAGGCAGCAGGGCCAATGGTCTCCACGGCGTTGTGGGACAGGTCCAGCTCGCGCAGCTGGTGCAGGTGCTGGAAGGCGCCGTCGGGAATGCGGGAGATCCTATTGGCGTCCAGCTTCAGGAGCACAGTGTCGGCTGGGATGTCCCCAGGGACCTCCTGCAGGCCACGGTCACTGCAGTGCACTGCCACAGGCCCCGTGTGGTCAGGGCACTTGCAGGCCTGCGGGCAGGCAGCACCCAGGTGCAGGCAGAGGAGGAGGAAGAACCAAGGGCCCTGGGCAGGGGCCAGTGGGGACCTGGGGCTCTGCTTGCCCCTGAGGCCCATCCTGCCCAGCCGGGGTGGTTCCTCCTCTGGGCTCTGGCCAGGCCCCACAGTGCAGCGGGTCCCCCACAGGTACCAACACCTTCCTCACATGTCTGCAACTGCCACGGCGCTGGGCTCTAAAGCAGAATAGGACAGGGGAGCAAAGCTTGGCAGGGAGGAGTGGCCAGCAGCCAGTCAGCCTGGGGCGCTCAACACAGGCACCAGGAGGAAGGTCGTGCCCCTCCACCTACCTGCTTGTCCCTTGCTCCCGGAGACGCCCACGGCCACTCTGATGATCACCCACAGCAGCGTCAGCGGGCACTGTCCGCGGCCAGGCAGGCCTGGTCACACCCAGCCAGAACCCACGCCCCGTCTCCGCGTGGCGACTCCGCGTGGCGCCCCGGGAAGCGCCGGCTGCTTCTCGGTCAGCGGGGCCGAACGGTGGCCAGTCGATCCTGGGGAAAGGTGGTGTGACCTGCCTTCTCTCGGCACCCGCGGACGGTGACACCCTAAAAATCGCAGTCGAGAATGAAGGCGGGCAGGGGCTGGAATGGAGCTGGCTGGCGGGGTGCGCGGCCGGGGCGAGGCTCGGGTCGGCCGGGGACGTGCACGGAAGGGGCGGCGGCAGTACCTGCGCCGCGGCGCGGCTCCGGGAGCCTGGGCCGGAGACAGGCCACCCGCGGCGGAGACCAGGCAGAACCCACGCCGGCCCGCGCGGGGTGAGGAGGGCGCTGGCTGCGGGGCGGGCCGGGCCGAAGGCGGAGCCTGAGGGTGGCGGGGCGGGGACCTCATTGTGGGCGTGGCCTGCGGCGGAGGGGCGGGGCCTATTAAGGGGCGGTGTCCGCTGGGATGCCGCGGAATGAGGCGCTGGGACCTGTGCAAGAGGAGGCTGCTGGAAAGGGGCGGAGCTAAGGGGGCCGCGGGAAGGGAGGGCTGGGATGAAGGCGGAGCCTGAAGGCAAGGGGGCGGGGCCTCGCCCGTGGCGGGGGTGAAGCATTAGGACTTGTGGAGGGCGTGGCTGCTGAAAAGGGGCGGGGCTAAGAGGGCCTGCGGCCCTGCGAGTGGCCCGGGGTGGGAGATTAGCACGAGGGTGGAGGCGGAGCCAGCCGAGGGGCAAGGCTCCTGGAGGCGTGGGCGGGCTTTCCCGCAGTGGGTGGGCTCCCGCGGGCGTGTCATGGGCCTGTCGCGGGTGGCCCTGCTTTCCCGATGTGCATAGGCTCCTCCCATCCGGCCTGGGGGTGGGCCTGGACCTGCAGCTCTGAGACCCACGCGAAGCCCCGCGTGACCCTGTCCCTAGGGCCCCTCGAGCCTACAGCCAGGGCTCCTGTACCCGCACTGCAGGGTCTGCGGGGCCAGGGAAGGTGGGGTGCGGCATTGGAGCTGGACCTCAGCCCGCCCAGGGGTGGGTAAACAGCCCCCGCGGAGTCATGGAGACCCAGTCAACCGCGTCTTTGACGTGATCCGTGCTGACATCAGCTTGCTCCCGCGAAACCATCGCCACAGCCAGCACGGGAGACACCCCGAGTCCCCCGGCCGTGCTCTGCTTTCCGTCAGCGCGCGCTGGTTCGCATTTCTGCGGCTTACGGCTTACGTAAATGGGACCGCGCCTTCCCCAGCCTGCTCCCCTGGCGTGGCTATTTTGAGACTTCGGGTCCTGCCTTCAGCGCCCCGCGACTTCTCTGGGCGTGTCCGGGTGGCCTCTGCTCCCGTCCGCGTGGCTCCTTGGTGTCTGATGCGCCTCGTGGATGAGTCTAGACCGACACTTGTTACCTTGAGAGCACAGCGTGGCTGCTGGGGTGGGACCCAGGGACCCCCGGCGCCTGTCTCCAAGGTGCTGCCACAGTGGCTGCAGACCCTCTGGAGCAGACGCAACGTGGGCAGGCAACAGCGGTAGTGGGTACTGAATTGTGATTTTTGGCTCGGTTGCCCTGGTGGCTAATGACATTGGGCATCTTTTGTATGTTTTGGAACAGGGTCTCACTATATATATAGTCGGGGCTGGCCTTCAACTCACTACATAGCCCAGGCTGGCCTTGAGCTCACAGCAATTTTCCTGCCTCCGCCTCCTTAGTGTTGGGAAGCCAAGCGTGGGCCACCATGCCCAGTTCATATGTTTATTTGCCAAGAAAGTGTTCAGTTCAAACCACTTTTAATGGTGCTAGGTTTTTGTTTGTTTGGGGGTTTTTATTGTTTTTGTTTTGTTTTGGGAGTTTTTTGAGTCTGCTCCTCTTCCTCCTCCTCCTCCTCCTCCTCCTCCTCCTCCTCCTCCTCCTCTTCCTCTTCTTCCTCCTCCTCCTCCTCCTTCCTCTTAGAGCTGTTTGTCCCTCTGAATACAAGGCCCTTATTAGATTTGTAATTTGGGTATATTTTCTCTGAGTTTGTGAATTATCCTTCTTTCTCTTGTTTTCTAAAGAGTAGAAGTTTTAATTTTGAGAACGTTCAACTTAGCCTCTTAAATTTGTTTATGGATCACACTTTTAAGAAATCTTTGCCTAACCCCAAATCACAAAAATGTTACAGGAATTTGTATGTTCCGTTTTGAGTTCATTTGGGTATATGTGAAAGATATAATTCAAGGTTATTTTCTGGGTATGGACAATCAGTTTTCATGACTGTTCGATAAACATCCTTCCCCTAGTTTTTTAAAGTTTTGTTTTTATTTGTATGTGTGTTGTTTTTTGTTTTACCAGAAATGGATGTTTGATTTTATTTTTTCTGCGTCAGCTGAGAATGTCTCTCTTTTGCAGCTAATAGCATGGTGGGTAACACTGACTGTAGACATTAAATCAGCCTGTCTTCTCGGGGTAAATGCCAGTTAGTCCTGAGGTAATATTTTGGGATGTGGCTAAATCACACACACAGCTGCTGAGGTTACTGTTTCCCTAATCATAAGTTTGTAGTTTATATTACCCAGGCATTGCCCATTTCATGGAAGCTGTTGAATTTATCAGCATAAATTTTTCCTAAATATGACCTCATTACTCTTAAATTACCTATAAAATAATAAAGTCTCTGCTTCCTAACTTGGGGAGTAGTTCTTGGCTCTTCTTTAAACCAGTAAGTCAAGATAGATGTTTATACACTTTGGGCTTCATTAATTTCTCTACTGTTTTATATTTTCTTTGTTTTCATTGAGTTTTTGGGTTTTTGTTTGTTTTTGTACCAGGAATGAAACTCAGAGCCTTGCACTTGCCAGGCAGGCCCGCTGCCGCTAAGGTGTCCCGCCCTTCACCTTTATTCTCTCTTTTGTTTACTTGGGCAGTTCAGCTCCGAACTCCCCCCAGCTCCTACTTTGACTGTATCCCAGGAATTTCGATATCTTGTATTTTTGTTATCAAGTTTGAAATACTTTATTTCCCTTTGGATTCCTTTTTTGTCTTAGGAGTTTGAAAGCGCAGTTTCACATTTCCTGACATTAGGATTTTCTAGAAATCTGTTTAATATTAGTTACTGGTTTAAGTCTGCCGTTTTCAGGAGACACATTCTGTGTTTTGGATCCTTTTAATTTTGTTTATGGTCCAGATTACGTGCATAACTGCTGTCTGCCCTTGAATGTGTGACCTGTCACTCGTGTGTTCTTTGAATGTTGTGAGGTTAAGGCTGCTGATTGTGTTATTAAGTAGTTTCTGCTATTACCAATTTTCTACCTGCTTGACCTATTCATTACTGAGGAGGTGACTACAATCAACGATTTGCTGATTCTCCAGCAGTCATGGGCTGGAGGTGTGGCTCCATGGTACAGTGCTTGTCTAGTTTGTACAAGACCAGGAGTTCTGTCCTGAGCAGGATTCTCTTGGAGTCCTACTGTGTTTGCTTTGTATCTTTTGAAAAGTGTATGTCAGTTTATGAGGTGTTGTTGATGAACTGAACCTATTATCACTGTGAAGCATCTCTTCTGACCCTAGATTCATTGGCTTGAATTCATTTTGTCTGATGTTAACACAGCCCTTCTTGGGGAATGTAGCGTCATCAAGGGAGGAGGGTCTAATCCACTGATGAGTTTCACACCCCTGGCATACAAAGTTAAAGGGGAAAAGATTTGTTTAGCTCACAGGTTATAGAGGTTTCAGTCCATCATCAGCTGGCTTCAAGACAGTGTGGTGTGGCAGAGGGGCCACAGGTCATGGTGGTGAAAGGCAGCAAAAGCAACAAAAGAGAGCGAGACCTTATATGGTATTTGGTCTACTGGGATGGGGCAGTGTCAGTCCACCCAGTGGACCCATCCAGCAGTCACCCACCCTTAATCCCAGCACCCTTAATCCCATCACTGCACTGTGAGCCAATCACGAATTTTACATTCGCCCACCTCCAAAAAACCTATGTAAGAGCATAAGACTTTGGGGCACATTAGGCATAAACCATAACACTGCGTCAGGCCAGCAGTGAAGTTCTGGTGTTTTGCCAGTGGTGGTCCTGGCTGTCAGGCCAGGCTATCTGGTGAGGCTGGCCATCTTCTTGCTGCCTTTCCCATCTGTCCCTTCTGGCCTTGGCTCCCTGTCCTCTGGTCCCGCCTTTGCTTGGAGCTGCGGTGGTCCAGGTGTGTGATGTGAATGCCCTTGTGGAAGGCATGGTCCCTGCCCATGGCATTGTGGGGAGGGTGGAGCCTTCAGGAACTGCAGTCGAGGGAGGACTCTCAGAACTGGGGCCATCTGCTCCCCTCCCTCCCGCTGGAGATGTGAGCAGTTGTTCAACACATGTTCCCTGCTGTCACGGTCTCTGCTGTGGACCAATGCATTGGACGGGCCACCTGTCTGGGCCCCTGCTGCCTGTCCGGTTAGCTCCGAGCGGAATTAACCTTTTCTCTTTATGAAGTCAGTTGCCCGCTGTGTTTCTTTGTGTAACACAAAGCCGACGGATACAGTACTTGCACGCTCCCATTCCCCTCCTTTGCTGTGCTGTGTCTGGGGTTTCCTGTGCAGCCATGACCTGCCACACCCTCTTCCAGGTGTGACCAGCCCACTGCAGGCTTGGTGTTGGTGTCAGCATGTTCCCTCTGGTGTCCTTAGTTCCACATGGCTGACCCGCCTCGCCCTTGATGATGTCTGAGGATACTGAGGGCTGCTCTGTATCCTCGGATCTCTGGCTGTGTTTTCAGACCCCCAGGACCCATCTAATGCCACCGGGCCATGTGGCAGCCACTGGACTCTAGGTGGTAATCTCGCCTGCTGCTCTGCCGGCATCCAGCACACATCTTGGTGCCATGCGGCTGCTGGGTAACTGCCTCACCCGGGATGCTCTGGCCAGGCCAGGTCTGAATGTGTCCCTGGGGACCGGTGTGGAAGACGAGGTCAGACGAGTGAATAAATAGCCTGGTGCGGCCGGCACTGCCTTCCAACACCTGGGGAGATGCAGAGCAGTCCTGGACAGGCCTTTTGTGGGCCACAGGTTGACTAGGGTATGCTGCTACCCTGTCTCTCCTTACTGGAGTCGCCCACAGCCCTCTGCCTCAGCCCCATGCCTGTGCCAGGCCTCAGAAGGATATTCAGGCTGGCGGTCACTTCCCTGGCACATAGCACAGAAGGGTGGGCAGGGAGCCCAGGCAGAGCCCCAGCAAGGAGCACATGGCCTCTGAGCCGATCTGTCCTCCTTGGCTTGGCTGAAGGGAGCCTCCCCTTCGCTCCTGGAATCCCTGGATTTCTCAGAATCTTGGGCTCTGCCCAACCTCGGCAGCCTACACTGGAAAGCAGAAGGCCCAGTAACGGTCCCCTCCTGGAATTCTGTACCACAAGCCCTTCCCTGGACCCTGCTTGCCCCACCCCCCGTGCCCCTGTCACACTCCCAAGGGACCCCTTACCCACATGAGGATGAAAGGAAAGGTGATTCTGGGGAGTCAGGGCTCTGGCACATGGGTGGGGAGGCAGCATTGGAGCTCTGTCCATGTGCGGCAGGGCAGGGCTGGGTGGCTAGCTGGTCCCTGGACTCTCATGAGGGGTGGGTAAGGCCCAATCCCCAGGAAATGTCACTGCCTGTGGGGGCGTGGGCACCATGGTCCCATAGGGACATAGGGGGTGGGCCAGGTGGATGTGGGGGTACCTGGCAGGCTTGGGGATGCTAGATATTGGAGCAGATCTAGGGAGGTGGAGAAGGGGCTGGGGGTCCAGGAGAAAGCCAGGTTTGGGCCCGGGAGGATAACAACAGAAGATGCCTCAGGAGACAGCACAGCAGTCACCCGCAAAGGCCTGGGAGCTCAGCCCCAGAACTTTATTGTGGACAGTGCTGGAGGGCCGGCCAGGCCAGCCCAAGATTAATGCAATTTAACATCTCGGTTTTACATCATTCCTGCCTGACGGCTCCCAGTGGTTCCTGCACCTATGAGTCACTGTGTGCAGACCAGGGGCCTTGCCGTGCCCCACCCCCACCCGCCTCCCTGTAGAGCTGGCCTCCCTCCTTCTCTCTCCCTCCCTCCCTCCCTCATTCCATCTCTCCCTCTCTCTATGCTTCATTCTGCAGCCGGACAGCTGGGCAGTGAGCCAGGCCTCCTGAGGTGTCCCTACCCCGACCAGGTCAGAGTCCACATCAGGGCCTGCTTAGTAGTGGGCTCCGAACAGAATGGCCGTCTTCTGCAGGATGGTCTTGTGGTTCTCGTACATCGGGATGCGCTTGTCCACCACCTGCCACCGGACGGACACACCTGGGTCGGAGGCAAGCAGGTGCTGCAAGGACAGAGGTGTCGTCACTCCCATCTGAGCGCCAGAACCTCAGACTAGAGAGGGCGCGTGGGGACCCTGTGCCCACTTCCCACCTGAGTGTAGCTGGCTCACACTGCAACATGGGAACGGGGGTACCTGCCAGGGTGCCCCTGAGACACCCCGTGAGTCCTGAGACCCCTGGTCTTGGAACTGCACAGGACCTTCACTCCAGCCCTCTGCTGTACTCTCTGGCCTCTCCCTGGTGCCCTCTGCTACCCTCCAGAAAAGACTCTGATCCCTGTGGCCCCCAGTCTCTGGTCCTGGGCAGCTCTGGACCCAGGAGTCTGGCAGATCTCTCTCTAGAAGCCCCTGAGGCTCACTCAGACCCCCGCTGACACCCCCTCGGATCCCTGCCCCAGATTCCCAGATTCATACAGAGTTCAGCCTCGTCAGCTCCACATCATTCTGGTCTGAAAAGTGGATGCTAATGGCCACCGTCTCGATCCACGCATTGTCAGTGTTCCGTGGGTCATCCACATACCCTTTGTATACCTGGGCACAGAGCAGGGGTGAGCCAGTCAGTGGTGCGCCCAGGGCAGCCTGGTCCACCACCAACAGGACCCCAGAAAAGGGCCTGCTGGGACTCGCTGTCCTGCTGGGGCTGCAAGGCCTCAGGGCTGTATGGTGAGGGAGCCTGGAAAACTGTCCACAGTGGGGTCCACAGAGAACACCATCCACGAAGGAGGCAGGTGCTGGGACCGGGACAAGAGGGCTGAGGGGCTGAGGTGTCTCTAGGGTGATGGAAGCCACCTCAGCAGGCTGAGCCTGGGGTGCTGCTTGGTGGGGCAGCAATGGCCTGGCAGGAAGAGGCCTGGGCTCCCTGCTAGCACCACACTCGCACATGCGCACACACGTGCACAAAGTCTGCTTTATGCTATGCGAATCTCACTTCAGACAAAATAAAATCTTTTTAAGACAGATGGCAGCTGCACTGTCCCTGGAGGCCTGCCCAGGGGAAGCCGGACACTGCTGGATTGGCAAGCCAAAGCCATCAGTCACCTGGGACAGCACCTCTGCACTGACAACAGAGGTGCCGCCAGAGGACAGGACAGGGGCAGGGACCCCAGAGGCTGATGCAGCAGGCAGTGAAGCTGGAAACCGTGAGCTAAGCTAACAGTGTAAAGAAGGGCAGCTGCTGAGAGGTGCGACTGTAACCCCGTTTTATTAGAAGCAGGCTCGTTATTGTGTGAGGGACCCTAGGAGAAAACAATTAGGTTTCTAAAAAAGAGATCTGGGGACCTGCCGGGGAAGCGGGGGGCACAAGCTGGCAGGTCTCTGTCCTGGGTTCCTCCGCGTCCAGCTCTGCCCATCCCACCTCACCCCCCACCCCCCACCCCTGCTCATTTCCATGCCCCGCCCACCTCCACGCCCTTCTGCAGCAATCCTTCCACCATGGGCCAGGCTCCCTGCAGCAGAATCTCCTTCAGCTTCCTCGGCAGTCTCTCCCCCAGCTCCCGGGAGCCCTGCGCAGAGGGGCAAAGGGCACTCAGCAAGATGCCCACGGCTCCCAGGTCACCTGGGCCACCCCACTGGCCACCAGCCCAACAGTCCTGGTCACGAAGGGCAGGTGTGACACTGCCCAGAGCCCTGTTCCCATCAGCGCCTGTGCAGGGAGCAGGGACAACCCTGAGCCCCCTGCACTAGACCCAGATCTTCTCTTGCCTGGGCGGCCACTGGGGCATCTCTGTGCCCAGCATTGACACATGGGCTTGAAACCCCGGAGGACAGATCGAGGCCACACATGACCCCAGCAGGGGCAGCAGCTGGGTGGTGGGGTGAGGCCGAGGTCAGAGGACAAAGGATTTTTGCTGAGTGGGGTGGAGGACAGATTCCCAAGCAACCTGGCACAGGAAAGAACACCAGGTGCCATAGCCAGGGCTGGTGGGACTCAGGCCTTAGGCAGGACACACATCTCTGACCTGGCCTTCTGCCGTGGGTCTGTCCCCACAGGTGTCCGGGGGCTCTCTGACTCTGGGCACTGCAGCCAGCTGCCACCTGAGCCAGGACTGCACCCACCCCTGCCCTGGACAATAACATCCTATCTTCAGGGCTCAGTGAGGGCATAGATGGGAAGGGCAGGTGCGTGGCAGAGTGTCTAGAAGCCACGACGCCACACTGAGCTCCACAGAGGCCACTAACCCACAAGGAGTCCTGGCCCGCGACACAGTAGTGCTCAGTTCATACCTGTGCACCCGACAGAACCTGAAGCTCAGAGTTCACAGCTGCAGAATAAGCAGGGAAGACTGAAAAGCACAGTGCCAGCCCCAGCTGCAGTCCCCCCCCCCCGGGGAGGCAAGGACCGCCCCGCCTGGGGCAGCAGGCTGGAGGGGGACACAAAGCTGTCTGCCTGTCATAAACAACTCCAGCCAGCCTCCGCCCATCTTACCCCTGGCAAAGCCCAGAGCTCTGAGAGGGGCTGCTTCACCACCAGCACCTCCAGCATCTTCTTTATGCTCTTCCTGCAGATGGCCCCGTCCTGGTTCCTCCTCCACCTGCAAAGGAGGCCACTCACACCTGCACTGGTGCCCAGGGCCACCTGCTGCCCTCTGCCAAGCAACAGCTAGGGACAGCCCTGCCTGGGGGCAGTCCACCACCCCTTCCCCTTCTACCCTGAGGAGCTCGTCCAGGGAACCACCAGGGACAGTTGCCTCCTGCATCCTGATTTTCCCTACCTCAGCAAACCACTGAGAGGGCAGAAAACGCCTGGACATTCTGGAGATTTTTCATCCAGAGCCTTAAAACTTGTATGCCTGATTTATTTCTTAATGTGATGGTCCCAAGGGCATTCCTTTTCCCTCAGAGGACTTAGGTGCCTCCTTCTCTACAGCAGAGTAGAGCTCCTGTGTATAAATATCAATTTTTCTGTACCCATTCATCAAAATAAAAGACAATAGGAAACAGGGTCATCAATCCTTTGCAGACAGGAAAGGGATCTAGAGATGGAGGGAGGGGAAAAGGAGACAGAAGGAGAATGAAAAGAATTAAAGTGTGTTAAGTACAAGTCCCATCCCTGAGCACAGTGCAGACAGCACGCACTGCAGACACACACTGCCGCCAGACAGAAGCCAGGAGTGCGAGCATCCCTGCAGATGTGTGCTGTATCTGCAGCTGTGTACGTGTGCATCTGTGTGTGTGTGTGCATCTGTGTGTGTGTGCGTGTGTGCCTGTGTTCCTGTGTGTGTCTGTGTATCTGTCTGTGTGTGTGTGTCTGTGTGTGTCTATGTGTCTGTGTGTGTGTCTGTGTGTGTGTCTGTGTATCTGTGTGTGTGTCTGTGTATCTGTGTGTGTGTCTGTGTTTCTGTCCTGGCAGGACAGCACCCTGGTACAAACCTCAGCAGACCTTGGGTTTGCATTTTCATTTTCTTCGTATTTCTTGTTGGTAGTGAGCCCCATCTTGGTGGCTGCCTGCCACCCAGTTGGGCTCTCAGGGTCCCCCCAGAAATAAAAGCAGGCTCTAGGGTAGCAGGGTCTTCCCTGCTACCCCTGGTTTTGGGGTGTCCACAGAGAACCACAAATCCTGCCCCCCTACTGCTGACAGGTACCGAACACCCAGTACCTCTAGCTCTCAGAGCACAGGGGATGCCTGGAAGCGCCCCTAGCGGATGTGTGGGAGACCGTATCTCCTAGGTACTCACCGGGTGACCACCGGATGCAGCATGTGGTTGGGTCCAAAGCATTTGAGGCTCCCACGTCCGCGCAGCCCTGTGCGGCCCATGGGGTTCCTAGGGTGGAGGGGACTTGACTCAGCTGCCACCTATGCTGGAGACTCTGGACTCCCACTGGGGAGGAGGGCTCATCTCTCTCAGAAGGCTGAGGCCAGGACTCCTGATTAGTGGGGGGTACTTGGCAAGGGGTGGGGTCTTCCTGGGAGCAGAGTCCAGCCTCACTGGTCAAGCCCTCCCCAACAGAGCAGGGGCTCTCCTGGTGGCACAAGGGTTGGAATAGGGGCTCAGGGCTCAGGGCTCAATAGCCTGTCCCTCAGCCTCCTGTGCTCTCCGGGCCTGCCTCCTGGACACCCCAGACACTCCAGTCCCCTCTGTCTCCACTGCACTCACTTCTCTGCTCCAGCCTGCTGGGTTTCCCAGGCGTGACACAGAAGCCACATTCTGGTGACCCCAAGCACTACAGTCCCCCACAATTTCAGGTCCATTCCCACTGTCCCTTCCCCTAAGGGCTCACCTCGTCTGTGCCCTTCTCTCTGCAGCACAGCAACCCCAGCTGGCACACGGGTCACCTGGCCTCGCACCACTGGGCCTGCTGGCCCCTGCATCCCAGCCGCTGTCCTTGTTTTTCCCCAGGCGCAGGGGCAAGGGGTTTGAAGAGACCCACTCTCCCTCCCCATCAGCCAGGCATGGTAGGGACTTGGTAGGGCCCAGTGCAGGTCTTGAGGTCACTGGGGGCCCTTGAGGAGCCCCATTCCTCCCTCTTCCATCACGTACACCCCACCGTGACTGCTCCCCCACCCCCGGGGCCAAAGCAGCAGGACCAAATGCCATGGACCAAGCCCCTTTCACTGTGAGCCAAAATCAGCCTTCCCTATTTGTGAGCCCACTGCCCCAGAACCTGTCACGGTGGCAGGGTCACCCTGGCCAGGGCCCCTCTGCCTCTTCTGCCACCTGACACACCAGCAGCAGGAGGGCGTGGGCAGACGAGAGTTCCTGACCAAGTCAAAATAGACCTCCGTTCTTTATAACTGGCTCAGCCTATAGCATTTTGTTATTAGCAACACTGACCAAAGACAATGATGTGACAGAAAAGACCTGGCAAGTGGAACAAAAGCACAACTTGGATGTGAGTGATGTCAGCTGGTGTAGGGCACAGATTCTCATCATCTCTGCTGCGGCCCGCAGTGGGTGCTGTCCAGCCCTGCTTGCCAGCCGGCCCATCTCCACTCGGCCATCTGCACCCATCCCTGGGGCAGATGTCTCCTGGTCCCTCCTGGCCGTACTTCCTGCCACCCCAGACACATCTGCAGCACCACCATGCCCCATCCTGCATGCCCATCTCCAGAGCAGGACTGGCCATGGGATCTGTCCCATCCCCACCCATCCCCTGTAGTAATCCACTTCCTGTCCCACTTCCTGGTTCTTTAAAGAGCCAGGCTCCCCCACTTGAGTTGCTGTCTCTCCTCTTCTCCACAATGCTCCCCAGCCCCCACATCCACCTCCCTTTGATGGCCCCTGCTACAGCAGAGACAGCCTTTCCCCGGGGCCCCAGCTGGCACACGGGTCACCTGGCCTCGCACTGTGTCCTTTACCCAAGCTACAGAGTGAAGCCTCCATCTCAGGCACTAGGCAAGGCCACTGTCCATTCCACCCTGTGACACCAGTATCCCCACTCTACCACCCAGGAATCCAAGTCCCCGGAGGCTGCGTCCAAGGTGGGGGACCCTGAATGTGCTCACCAATCAGAGGCAGCACCAAGGGCAGCACCTGAAGGTGATACTTCCCTTTCTTTTGTGGTTAGTTTGCTCTTACAGAAAATCACCCAGCAGGGCGCAGGCCCAAGAACCCCCACAGGTGCAGCACTCACAGTGGGAGCCCATCCTGGACCATGTAGGCTCCGTGGAAGCTGCGGCGGTCTGTTGATCCATCTAGAGCATTGTAGCGGATCTTGGCCAGAAGCTCAGGGGCCCTGGGAGCACAGCAGAAGGACACGCCCCCATGAAAGGGAGGTGGGGTGTGAGAGAAACTGCATGAGCAGAGCCAGGGTGGGGAGGGTATGCTCAAAACAGGAAGCTGCACCTCACGGGCCTCTGGGGAGGGAAGGAGAGTTTCCAGGTCTATCCTGGTTGGGGAGGGTGCTTGGGGTCCCTCTGAGGAGGAGCCAGGGCCCAGGTGACACTCACTCTCCCACGGGGTCCACAAGGGCTGCGTCCTTCCTCTCCACCGTGTAGAAAGGAGGCTTGTAGATCAGGAACTCCGTCTGCACCATAGGGCAGCATCCTCAGGTGGTCCCCAAGGCAGAGTTGGGCCAGCACCCCAAGGGGCCGAGGCAGCTCCCAGCCAGGGCCACAGCCACTAGGACCCAAAGCACCGAAAGGTGCAGGGCAGCCCTGAGCCCGACTGAGCCCACAAAGGGCCTCCAATCCCCCATGCCTGGCATATGCAGAGGGGGCAGCTGCTGCTCCCAGGGGACAGGGTCTGGGACGGGCCACAATGGCTGGGCAGATACAAGCCACAGATACACACACGAGTCCCCCTCTGTCCCTCGAACAATGAGGATCAGTTTCCCTATCAATCAAACAAGGTTGGCCCAGCACTCAGGGCCCAGTGAGGCTGCCCAATGAGCCACCTGGGTACACCAAAGGCCTCAAGCCCCTCCCCAAAGGGGTGCCAGCTGGGTAGGCACTCACCTTCCATGGCACCTTCTCATTGGGCACAGGGAACCGGGTGATAGGGGAGCTGGGGTACAGAAGGTGCCGGGCATTCACATGGTAGCCATCACCTGGCTCCTCCTCCTTCCTCCTGCCCACCAGCTCGGCATCCGGCTCATCAGGGGTCTTTGTGGGTGCTGTGGACAGCCACAGGGGACCATAGGGGGCCATGACATAGTGCCTGTGCCCAAGCACTGCATGCACCTGGCCCCCAGGACACTGTATCCAAACCCTTCTGGGCCCAGGCTCTGGGGGACAGGGAAAGCAGAGAGGATGTCCCCTCGGTGGGATCTCAGTAACCTGCTGACCCTACAGGCCACAAGGAAGGGAGTTACTTTGCTTTGGGGGTAGCCACATCCCAGGAAGACTACTTGCATCTATTTCCCAGCTGTCTGCAAATTTAGGGAAATGGATTTTGCTTCCTGTCACTGGGTTACTCAATGGTCTCAGACACCTGGAGCCACCCACACCACCCTGCCTCCACGGCAAGTCAGGGGGAAGAGGCAGGAATGGTGGGCCATGCTGCCCACAGGCATCCAGCAACCTGGTCAAGTCAGGACAGGTGAGCCCTGGTGCCCTGTGGACAGAAAAGACTCAGCTCCTCCCCTGGGCTGATCCAACAGGACTTAGGGACCATCTTTCCACCAGGGCCCCATAGCTGCCTCCCCTCAAGCCCACGCAGGCTCAGAGCCACACAGCTCAGTGAGTACCTGCTGTTGGTCAGGGAGCCCCACTCACCCAGGCCAGGTGCGCCCACTGCAGAGCCAAAGCCACTGTCCTTCAGGGTTTTCACAATCCAGTGCAAAGACTTGGTCACCTGGGCCACCTGGAAAGCATAACCCAAGAAAGGCATGTTGGCACTGCACACCACGCCACCGGCCACCCTGCCTACTCTGACAGTGAGGCTTGGGGCCTCGCTCTCAGGTGACCTAGCTCCTCCTGGACATCACCCCCCACCTTCAGCATTCTGTACCATCTGAAAGACAATACCAGGCCTCTCCCCAGCTCTCAGCTCCCAGCTCCCCAGGCAGCCACCAAAGTACTGAGACACTGCAGAGGGTTTAAGGCCCCCTGACATCCCAGGGAGCTGCCCACTGACCCTAGCAGTGTCCCACAGTGCACCTGCCCGTGGTCATGATGGTCACTGGGACTGCACACAAGGGCAACCTAAGTCCCCATGGGGGCACCATGAAAGGAAGAGAAATCTTCACGCCCCTCCCCAGGAAACTTCCCCAGAGACCGTGGTGCTGGGGCTTCTGGGCTGACACGGCTCAGGACACAGCTCACGCTACTGTGCCTGTCTTGGAGGCACAAGGCACAGCCCACAGGAGGACCCAGGAGGCAGAGCCTGCGAGGCCCTGGGCACTGTGGGCAGGACCCTGCTGACGGTGGACACCTCACCTGCACAGGCCTGGCTGCAGGAGACACTGCAGTGGAAAGCTCAGGGCAGGCTCCCCCCAGAGTCCAGGCTGTTGTGGGCAGCAAGGAACCTGCAGGAAGCACCAGTCTGGGGCCTAGTCAGTGGCCACCAATCCGAGGGGGCAAGGCCACAGAGTGCTCGGCATCAAGGGGACCAGTGAACAAGGGAGGCTGTGCCCCTCCGTGGCAAAGACAAGGACATTCAGGAGTTCTGCTGACATCCACTCAGAGTGGAGCTCAGAGGGCCCTGACTTCCAGCCTCTCAAGTGAGAGTCGGTTCTGTTGTCATGGGAGCCCCAAGATGCCCACAGCCAGCAGCCGGATCAGGCCAGGTCACCGGCCTTGTCAGCTCAGGACACCTCCACTCCTCTTGGCCCACATCTCCTTGTGCCGCCTGCTCTGCATGGCAGTTCTGCAGCACGAGCCTCAAGCTGGGCCTGAGCCCCACAGCTCTGCACCTGCTCTAAGCCACAGGCTCCCTGCACCCCTCGCCACAGGAGGCCTCGGAGCAATCTCTGCTCAGCCCCAGGCTCCTCCTTCCTCCTCCCCGGCTGCCAAGGCCTCCTAGAGCAGTGAGGAGCCAGTCTGAGATCTTCTGAGACAGGTCATGGTGGGGTTTCTCCTAGAGAAGCAGGAGGTGCCTCTTCCTCGCTCCCTGCCGCCTCCTCTCCCACCCTTTCCAGGTGCCCCACCTGACCCACCTGCTCCTCTAAGGATGCCAGCCTCTGCTCTGTGGGGCCCGACCTCTTCAGACGGTCCATGTCCAGCAGGTCCACCATGCTGTCCACCCTGGAAGAGCACAAGGCTAAGCCAGAGCAGCAGACTTGGGGGACTGTGGGACACTTAGGACAGGGTGCCTGCCTGCAGAGGCCCCACCAGCTCCAGCAGCCCAAGCTCCACGTTGGCTATGTGTCCATCACCTTCCTCCTAACCCAGAAGACAAATGTGCAACAGAATAAAACCAACTGGAAAACCATAAGAAAATATGTCACAGCAGAGGGACAGCCCAGGCTCCCAGGGCCAACGAAAGCCTATCTGAGGATGTCCAGGGAAAGACATGCCTGAGTTGGTTCCCCATGCCTGCCCACATGGTGCCAGGCCACATACTGACCCTCAAACCACAGGGGACAAAGTAGCCCCTGGGAATCGTTGTGTTGGTTTGGGGCAGAGAAAGGAAGTGTTGGTTTGGGATAAAAATTTGTTTTTGTCTTATATTGTTAAAGCATATAAATTTCTAGTCCAATGTGGTGCCACGTGCCTAAAATCCCAGCACTCAGGAGGCCGATACAGAAGCATCTCCACAAATTCAAGGCCAGCCTGGGCTATACACTAAGACCCTGTCTCAAAAAAACAAAAAAGGGGGCAAGGCGGGAGGGATACAGCTCAGCAGCATAAGCACCTGCCTGGCAAGCTCAAGGCACTGAGTTTGATTCCAGGCACAAAAAAAACTTAAGTTAAAAAAATACATAACCTGAGCTTCTGTCCTCCTTGGCCAGCTATGTTTGTGGTTAAAATAAGCCCACAGCCAACGCCTGTTCACAGTCAGTCTGATTTCGCCCAGGGGTTCCCTTGCTTCCTTTCACCAACTGCAGCCATGTTCATTTGTGACACAGCACGCAAGCATTGTAATGCCCAGTGAGTGCTCCAGGGGACATGGCCCACTTGAAACAGCCAATGGGAGGAAGGGAAGAGCCTGACCACACTGGGGGCCGACGGGTTTACTTCTGTCCCCACAATCTATTGCTCAGTCCCACAAAAGCCACTTCCCTGGCCCCTGCCGTGACATGCCGTGCAGGCTTGAGAATGTTCAAGGACGATTACCGCCATCTGAGAGTCCCGTGACTCGGTCACGATGAAATGAGAGCTGCCTTGATTTGCAGACAGCGCACCAGAGAGCCCAGGCCCCCAGCCCTGCTCTGTGCCAGACAGCTGGTCAGCCTGGCTCAGCCACCATGCTTGGAAGGCCCTCCCTGGACCTGGACCCCTCACTGGACCCAGCCAGAGAGGGCAGCCCGGGCTGGGGACCTTTGTAAGAGCCACCCAGTTATTTCATCATTTCCCGTGGCCCTGCATTTTACAAGATCTTAGTCCAATGTGGTGCCACATGCCTCACAACCGCAGCATGCTGATTTTTGTTAAAGATTCCTAGACACATAAGCAGGAGCTTCCAAAATGTCACGCAGTTCCATGCCAGCTATCGTAGGACAGCAGCTAAGGCTGCCAACACAGGCGTTCTTGATCATAGCCAGCAAGAGAAGCTAGCCAGGTGGGTACTGAGCCCAGCAGGTCCTCTTTAACTGGAAGGCCAGGGTGGACTATAAGGGAAAAGCAGGCTGAGACCACACGCCAGCCTCCCGCATCCTGTCAGGCTGGGGACCAGCTGGAGCTCCAGAACGGTACACAGCTGAGCATCTTCCAGGCCTGCGCCTGCTCCAGGTCCGGAAGACTGCAGGGGACCCGAGGGGCTCTGTCCCTACTGTTGTGAATTTCACATCTCCATGGAGGGAACAGGAAGACATTCACACTAACCACCAAGCGACCCATCAACTAAGTAATGGACAAAGCAAGCATGCGAGGTAGAAGCAGTTGTAAACTACCTGCTGGATTGTCAAGAACTTCACCCTTGTGCCCATCACTATCACCATCACCACCATCACCATCACCAACATCTTCCTCACCTTCATCACCACCTTCACCACCACCACCACCAACCCCACCCCATTATTACCACCACTGTCATCGCCACCATCACCACCCCCACCATACCCTCCATCACCATTGTCATCCCCCTTCATCATCCAGACCCTCTCTGTCACCTACAGAATCCTCTGTGCCTGGCAGGAGCTGCCTTCACTAGGTGGCACTGTCTCCTTCTGCCCACTCCCATCACTCAGTGGAGAGCCCAGGGGCAGCCAGGAGCAGGGGTCTGCCACTGGGAGACATTGACATCAGGACCCTGAGGCCAGTTCTTCCCACAGCCACCCCCGTGGCTGAGGGGCTGGGACAGAGAAGGGAACAGAGAGAGCTTCCCCACTACAGACCATGCCCCCTGAAAGAAGTGGACAGGAAGAACCAGGTCAGGAGATGGTGCTGATGATGGTGCCAGTGTGGCCAGGGCTCCCAGCTGGGCACCAGCTAAGCTCATGGGCAGCCACCCGCAGGATGGCCCTGAGAGCCTCATGTGTGCACCCTCCGTGGTCTCCCGTGCAGGCATCTACACTGCTCTGGCCCCCAAGGCTCCCCTCCCAGTCTCTGCCCCTCCTGCATCTGCAGGCCCAGCTAGGACCCAGGGGGCCTTGAGTCAGCTGCTGGACACAGGACTGGAGGCTTGCAGGGGGCCACAGTAAAACAGCAGTGACCACAGGGAGGACCCGACAAGCTAGCTTATGGTCTAGTTTCCTTCACCCCCATGCTGGGTGAGCCAGCCCCTGGGCCTGGTGGGTAAGCTCTGGGCCCCATGAGGCCTGCACGCTGAGTGCCCGTGGGATGCAGAGCACGTCCCACGCACTTCTCACTGATATCCTGGATCCTCTGCTCCGGCTGCTGCTGGTGCTGGTACTGCTGGTTATGCAGGTAGTTCTCCTTCAGGTAGATCTCCCAGGACAGCAGGGCCGCCTCCTCCTCCTTCTTCAGCTTGGTCTCTGTTGGGCAACAGAGGGGCCTGAACTCTACCTGACACCCTGGGCCCCAAAAGAGGGCAGCAGCAGGCTTCCTAGTCACCAGGGTTCTAGAAGGAGCCACTCACCAGCCCCTGGGCCCCTGTCTGCACCCTGAGCTGACCAGGACGGTGCCCTGGGGACTTGAGGGCAGGGGCAACTCACTGAGCTGCATGTGCCTCTTGTTGGGGACCTTCAGCACCACCTTCTTGACCAGCAGGTACAGGTGGCTGAGCAGGATGAGCGGTGGTGGCGCTGGGGGCCGGCTGTGGTACTCCTCGATCAGGTCGTGCCTCTGGAACTTCCAGATCTGGTCTGTGTGCTCCTGCACCTGCTGGAACGTGTAGCTGTAGGGCAAGAGGGACACAGGCACCAGCCATCGTGGGAAACAGACCCCAGCTGCAGTCCAGGACCAGAGACCCCTGAGACCGCAGAAGCAGCTGCTGAGGCGGCCAGCTCCAGGCTCAGAGTGAGGCCAGCAAGCTCCTGATTCCCAGCACTAGGAGGGGAGCGAAGGGAAGGAAGCAGAAGTCTTGTGGGCTCCTGCAGCCTCATGGGTGGCACTGGTGCAGGGCCCAACACTAAGGCGTGAGCCATCAGAGGAGTCTACCCATCAGTGCCCACAAGCATGGAACCAGGGCACTGTGCCCTCCTCTGGACTGTGTAGACACAGGCTCAGGTGTGTAAGGTAGATGGGCCTTGGCGGAGCAGGGGAGGTGAGTGGCTGGGTCACATGGTTCCACTCAATTTCCCTGCCTGGGGACAGGGTCACCCCATCGGGCCTGGCCCCTGGATCCCAGCTCTAGAATACAGGCTTTCATCAGGGCACACTAAAGCTAAAGGGCCACCCCAGAGGTCTGCAGGTAAGAGCGGCAGCTGGCACCAAGCCAGACCAGCAGAAGAGGATTTTCAAGGGCTGGAATCCATCTGCACAGGCTGCAGGGTGAGAGCTTGAAGGATTCTCTAAATTACAAGACTGCCATGGGCACAACTGTAGGGGCTGCCAGGTCCCAGCCCAATGCCAGGGTCTTCGTTCATGGTCTCCTGCTTCCCTGGCCTCTTTTCCTGCCTCTTGCTTTATTTGGGACCTCAGAGTTCTCTTCAATCCAAGTTTATAATCTATGGAAGACCTGTTATCTCAGCACTTAGAAGGCTGAGGTAGGAGGATCATCACAAGTTCAATCAACCTGGGCTGCACAGTGGGTTCAAGGCCAGCTTGAAACATATGGTGAAATGTGATCTTAAAAACCCCACCTCCCTGAAACAAAAAAAATAGTCACCTAGGAGTGTAGAGGGGCCTCCAGAGCCTGGGCCCCACAGGGTTACCAGGAGACCTGACACACGCATGTGATGTCTGCAGGCCCAAGAAGACCATGTCTGCAGCAGCTGGAAGGACAGACCATGGGCAAAGCCTCAAAGTTCTAACAAGATGGAACGTTTCACAATACCAAAGATTTAAAGGAAACCTAGGCATCTCCAGTGGGAAGCTACTGTATTGTTTTTCTGCTCCAATAAATCATGGCAGACATAAAAGAATCAACTTTGTCCTCTCTGGATTCCAGAAGTCAGTACTGGGCTAACACCGAAGCATCACAGGGCCATTACTTTGGAGGCTTTCGGATGACCAGGTCCCTGGGCTGTGACACTGTGTTCCAATCTCCCACCTCCCTCTCATGCATTTGCCCCTGCTGATGCTGGACCACCTGGGCCATCCACGACCACTCCCACTTCAGGCCCCACATCCACAGATTCTCCAGGTTAGGATGCTGACATGGAAGAGAAGCACCGAGCCCCATAAAGGGACAAGGCACATCTGCTCTGAGGGGCCCCTCTGGATGCCACCTACAAGCAGATGCTCAGGGAAGGTGGATGCTCACTGTTATGCTTTAATCTAGGTGCCCCCCAGATCCTCACAAACACACAGAGGGAGCAGGTAGGAGGGGATTAGAACACGGGGCTCATAGCTGGTAGGAGGTGGGGCCTTGTCAGGAGGTGGGGCCTTGTCAGAGGAGAGGGCCCCAGGGGCGTGGCCTGGAAGGATTTGGCTCCCTCTCCAGCTCCTCCCTTCTCTCTCTGCTTCCTGTTTGCCTCGATGAGAACAGCTGTCTTCTGCTGGACCCCTCCACCACACTGCCCACCTTGCAGACAGCCGCCTACAGACTAAAACTCCTACACACCGTAATCCAAAGTAAATCCATTTTCTCTTAAGCTGTGTCCCAGCAAGAAAGAGACCAGGCACACTTGTACAAACCCTGTGTTGACACACAAGCCCTTAACTGTGGCAAAGCAGGAACAGTTGCCCAGAGATGGACCAGAACTCCAGAAAAACGAGCCCCAAGGAAGCCTCGCTCAGCACAGTCAGAGGTGGACAGCAGGCCCAGGGATGCTCCAGGGGTGGGATGCAGGCAGAAACCTCAGGAAGGGTACGGGGTCCCTGGGGAGCCAGAGCCACAGCTTGCTCCAGGGCAGAGCAATGAGCACTCTCACAGCTGCTCACAGAGGGAGGCCAATGCCAGCAATGCACAGCAGGCCACGGCTGAGCAGGCACATGGAACTATCAGCCCCTGGGGCAGCAATGCAGATGGTAAGCAGTGCCTGTCTTCCCTGGGATCACAGGGGGCACCTCTGGGGATGGACACACTGGGCCCCTGCTCACAGCTACGTCCCCAGGTTCTCTAGGAAGACAGTGGGGTGGGACAGACTGGGACCCCGCACACACACAGCCACGTCAGGCACCCACTTGAACATGGCGATCAGGAGGTTGAGCAGCAGGATATTGGTGAGGAGCAGGTACAGGCAGAGCATCGTGACCGTGAGCCACTCGGGAAAGGCCGGTGCCTGCCGCGCCGCATCGATCTCCGGGCATTTGGGCTTGTAGGGGTCCGTGCCATTGGGGCTGCAGCGTTCCAGGTTGAAATCCACGCCTGGAGTCAGGATGGGAAAGCCAAGCTGTGCGTGACCACACAGCCATGAAGGTACTGGCCAGAAGGGACCTCAGGACCCAGTCACCACCCAGAAGCCCTGCAGGCCCGGATGCCTGCAGGTGACAAAGTCTAACAGGAAGCTCCATCCACCCCAGGCAACCTCCTTAGGCAGGCACCACAGAGCCCACCATGACCCAGCCATCCCACCTGGGCACTTCCCAAGGCCACCATCATCAGAGGCTGGGGGTCCCAACCCTGAGGAGCTCATTTGGTGGGAAAAGGTTATAAAAGAAAAAATTAACAATAACTTGAAAAAGAATGAAATACTTGGCAGTAAATTTAACAAAAGTGAGAGCTTTGTACACTAAAAACTACAAAACATTGTTATGATCCCTTAAAGATCTAAATAAGTGAGAAGATACCCTGATGCCTTTCTGACAAAAGGTGAGCCAAAAATATATGTGACCCAAAGGAGTCCAGAAGCCAAAGGAGCCTGGGGAAAGAGCTCAGCCTAGGCTCACCCTGCTCAGTTTCAGAGCCTAATAAAAATCTGCAAAAGCCACAGCAGTGAGGCATCAGTGTGAGGACAGCCAAGTGGGCAGCACCGGGAGGTCAGACACAAACCTGACCTGAGTGGCCAACTGACCTTCAAAAGGGAGGTCGAGACATTCAGAGGAAAAAGAACAGCCTTGTCACAAGTGATGCTGGGACCACTGGACGCCACAAGCAAAACAACCCCAACTCACACCACAGGCAAAAACGTGTAACTCTCAAAGGCCAAAAAGAAACCGCGAACGCTGTAAAACTTTTAGAACAAAACACAGCCATCAAGCTCGAGGCCTTGGGTGAGCCAACAGCTCACAGGTGAGATACCCAAAATACATGTGGGCTTTTAGAAGATGGATACGTGGTACTTCTTCAAGATTTAAAACTTCTGTTCTTGACTTCCGGGAGAACATGGCGGATAGATAACAGCAGCTACAGAGGCTCTCTGAGAAAGCCAGCTTAGAATCCAGGAATGGTGTGGTGTGGGGAGTGCTAAGCAAGGGGAGATATACCCTGCTGACCCAGGAATGAACTAAACTGAGAGAAACCAACTGGAAATGCAATCCCAGTGCTATAACTGGAACAGATAAAATCTCAGCGCGGAAGCTGGAACCTGCGCCTCTGGAAACTGCGATTTCAATTTCCTGCTGCCGCTGCTGTGTCTAAATCAGCACGGCAGGGACAGAATGTGAAAGCTCTGAGAGCAGGAACTGGCAAACAGAGTTGATAGTGGGACTGGTGGGGAGCCCTGCATCAACCTGTGGTGAGTGAGAGGAATGGGACCCTTCCATAGACTAGGAGGCTCCAACAGAGGACATTCTGGGACTGGGCAGACTAGCTGGAACAGGACACTGCAGTGACTTTAATCTCATATTCCCCTATCAAGCAGGATTGGTGGGGAGTGCTTGGCCTGGGTGACGCCACGGACTAAGATCCAATAGACAGCCCAAACCAGGTCCCAGTGCCTGGTAGTGTACCCTAGCAGTGAAGCCTTTAGTAGGTTGACGTGGAGGGGTGGGCCCAGCAGAGGCTGCCCAGGTCTGTGTCTCCCTAGTACACTGCAGTAGGTGGGAACACCTAGCAGGTGGATTCAAACAAACTGTAACTGACAAAGAAAGAAACTGGGCCTCCTATATACACTTGTATGGAAGGAACAAAAAGTATGGGAAGAGGGAGCAACAAGAAATTGTCCTCAGTCCCCAATCCTGAGAACAGTGATCCAGGAAAGGTTAATGCAAAGGAGAATGAGGACAGAAAACATGCAATATCAGACATGGCACTAATAGACATAAAGCAATATCTCTGGAGTCTCATAGATGAGTTCAAAAGTGAACAAAGTATTTAATGAAATAAAGCAAGATATAACTAGAATAGTTAAAGAAATGCTAAGCACCGCCCAAGGAAAAACACATGGTGGAATGGAAGAACAGAAAAAAAGGGGAGACTTGTTTCATGGAGAAAATAGAGAAAACATAGAATACATGAAGCAGGTTCAAAGAGATTACCAGGAAACTAAAAACTCTATTGAAAGCTGGCATAACAGCTTGAAAGAAACTAAGGATAGACTATCTGAACTGGAGGACAGATTTGTAATGTGGGAGCATGAAATGAAAAACTTCTTAAAAATAACAAGGAAACAAACAGCAATAATACAAAGGCTAGAAGATGATAAGAGGATCTATAACTTAAGAATGTAAAAGAAGAAGTAGGAACATAAACAAATGAACTACAAAGGCTATTCACAGAAATAATCCAGGAGAATTTCCCTAATTTAGCAAAAGGTAAAGATACTCAGATGTATGAGGCATATAGGACCCCAGCCACCTACAACCCAAACAGAACTACACCCAGGCATATAATAATCAAAATTCCAGAAATCCAATATAAGAACAGAATATTAAAAGCCATCAGAGACAAGAAACAGATCACTTACAAGGGAACACCCATCAGAATTACAGCAGACTTCTCCGCACAAACCATCAAATCACGAAGAACGTGGGGGGAAATAATTCAAGCTTTGAAAGATAATAACCTCCAGCCACGATTGATATATCCTGCACAACTGTCCCTATAAATTGATGGAAAAACAAGGTACTTCCAGGATAAACAGGAACTAGGGGAATTTGCAGCCACCAATTCAACTCTACAGAAAATACTGCAGGACATTCTAAAAAAAAAAAAATTCCAAGATTCCAGAAACAGTGGCAGAGAGACCACAATGAATGCAGCAGAAAGTGAAATGAAGAAAACAAACTGACAACTAATGACAGAAAAAGAGCTCAACAGAAATGAGGCAGAGAAGGTTGGATGGTAGGAACAGCTATTTTGGAGAAAACAAGACATCATAATAGCTAGTGCTGATTTAATATCATCTTATTTTGAAGTCCCATCAAACTTTTGTTCTTCTGTCTCCATTGGTCTTAACATGTGATAATATAAACAAAAACTTTTATAGACAAGGAGATTATACAGAAACCATTATTCATTTTCTGTTAGTTGATTCTAAATACCCTGTGATATTGTCATTCTCTTGAATGGTTTTACATTGTCTTGATATGGTTGATGCTATAGTATACGAAGTTATACTCAAAGATTTCAAGGAAAGAGACACTATGGTAACTACTTTTATGTCGGGATATCTTGTGGTGAAACACTATTTTGCTTAAATGGTTATGTTTTGACATGTGCTGTTTTGTTGTTATGTCCTCTTTTATCTCAATCTCCTTTTTTTAGTATTTACTTTTTTATTTTTATCTTTTTAATTAAGGGAAAAATAAATAAAAATAGCAGGACATATTATAGTAACCCACTTTGATTTCCTATTAACTTGATTTGAAACCCTGTATTGCTCTCACCATCTTGTTTTGACTGATTTTCCTCTATTCTGTTTTGCTTGATAGTACCAAGTTCGAGAGTATAAGCAACAACTGTGAAGACAATAAGATTCATTATGACACCCATTCTGGTTTGACTATTGTCTTCTTTTAAATTCCTGTAATGTCCCCAGTGTTTTGGTTTTATTGGTTTTGTTCTTTAATGTTTTGTTCAATTTTATTATAACTGATGATATAGGCAATTCTTTTTAAGATAGCAAGTGACATTATGGTAGCCATTGTTGATCACCTTGTATTTTGTTTTTATATTATGTATTATGTCCATCCTTTTGATTTGACTGACTTTGTTTTGTTATATCACACTTGGTTTTATTCTCTTCAAAAAAAGTAATAAGATCTGCGGGAGTAATAAAACCCAAAATGTGTAATTGTCATTGTACAAAAGAGAGGAAAAGAAAGCTCTAAATGATATAGTTATATATATTTAAGTGTATAAGATAGATAACCATATTACTGAGTTTTGTTGGATCATTGAACAGAACTGTTTGCAGTCTCACTGTTTGAATGTCCACTTTATATGCTTTAATTTTGTAACTTGAACACCTATTTCTAAGATGACAATATGTAATCTATTAACTAGTGATTTCCTACTGTTTATTTTTTCTGAAATTCTGTATAACTTGTACCCTTTTTTTTTCTTTTTCTCCTTAAATTAAATTTTTAAAAAAAGAAAAAAAAAAAACCTTCTGTTCTTTGAAGAAAGCGTCTTTTCGTGAAGACACCCCATGTAACGGCAGAAAGTACTTGCAAATCATCCCTATCTGATAGAGACCTGGTATTTTTTTTACTTACAACTCAATAATAAAAACCAAGGGAAAACAGACAAAGAGGAAAAGATAAAAAAGACACAGAGCTAGCCCCAAGAAGCACAGGAGACAGTCCGAGTCCTGGACACACACGCTTATCAAATCTGCAGTGAGACCCCGCTCCACACTCCCTGGCTCAGCTGTAATTTTAAAAGTCAGCCAGTGTGGGGGAGACTGGGGAGACCCTAGAATCCTTAGGCACTGCTGTCAAGAAGGGGTAGGGAAGGGGTACAGGTCCTTGAAAAGTGGAACATGCAGCCACACAAAAACTTACACGTCACTCTCCGTGTCCACACTGTTTACAGTGGCCCAAAACTAGCAACAACTCAAACATTCATCATTTTAGGAGCTATAAGCATGTGACACACCTAGACAGTGAATATTATTTAGCACTCCAAAGGCATGACGCACACCAACAGTGGCAGCGAACCCACAGCATGCGTGCCGCAGCGGGCTGTCTGTATCACTGGAGGCTCTGAAAGTTTCACCACCACCGTGCTACAGTATGAATGAACCTTAAGAGCGCCCATAGTGAGAGGTGCCAGGCACAGGACTCCCGGGACATCCTCCCAGTCACCCGAGCTCTGAGGGAAGGGCGAGTCCCTGTGCACAGGAAGTCGACGGGCAGCCACTTAGGTGAGGGGAGGAAAACAGGTGTGGCTGCTGACTGTGGGGCTCTTTTAGGGGGGATGTTAAGGCAAAAACATGAGCTTCTGGAAACCCTCGATGCCACTGAGGTGTGCGCTTTGCACAGAGAAAGGGCACATCGACACTGCGTCTCACACGATCACATGATCACACAATCCCTCTGCACACAGTGCTGTCCCCCTCTGCCAGGTGAGCAGGTAAGTGGTGTCTCCACTGCAGGGCAGGGACAGGGCAACAGAGGGCCTCAAATGCTGGGGCTGCCAGCGGATGCCCAGAGCCCCATGACACCCTCCAAACCTCTGGCCTCAGTGGAGCACAGCCCAGGCACCCCAGTACACTCCTCAGACCCTACCCGGGCCCTGGTCCTACCATCAATGTAGGGTGGGATCTGGCCGAAGATGGTGAGGTAGGAGTTGTAGACGACCCCGCGGAAGATCCAGTCCACGCGGTGCTCGTTGTGGATGAGGATGGCCTGCTTGGCTACACCAAAGGACACCACCCACAAGGCCAGGAGGAACAGGAAGAAGAAGACGTCCTTCATCTGCAAAGGAGGCACCAGGCTGCGCTGTCCTATCACCATGCGCAGGAGTCAGAGGAGAAGTCACGGCCGCCATGGTGTGGAGACCCCCAGAGGACCCCAGAGGAAGGAGCCAGAGACGGAGCGGAGGCCAGAGGGAGGGCAGGAGAGGCAGCTGCGGAGGTGGAGCAGGGGGGCAGCATGGCGGGTGGCCACTCGGCCCTCACCATCCGCTTCACAATGATGATCTTGGGCCCCAGAGTCTTGCTGATGGTGAAAATGTGCATCAGGCGGAGGCAGAAGATGATGAAGTCCAGGGAGAGGATCACGCGGCCCGGGTACAGCGTCGCCGGGATGAGCCTGCAGTCGGCAGGGAAGGGGCAGCACTCAGGACCAGCTTGGAGGGTAGTCTGCAGCTCCCCGGGCCTGCGTCCAGCCAGGGGCCCAGCCCTCAGCGCACCAAAGCCAGGGACCCAAGGACAGAACCTCCAAAAGCCAGGCCTCCAGCCACACAGCCAGGCCCTGGGGACATAGCAGGAAACAAGGCGGCCTGGCCATGTCCCTACTGCCCTGTGGACAGGGGACCATGGCCTGGAAGATATACAAGCCCATCGCAGACAGTAAGCCAGCCGACAGCAGTGGGCAGTGACACTGGACAGCCGAGCTCAGAGCAGAGCCCAGGCCTGAGCTCACCGGCACGTCAGCCCCGCGATGAAGAGCAAGATGGCCCCAACGTCCACCTTATTCCAGAAGTCGCTGAAGTACAGGGACACCATCTTCATCAGCCGGCACTCATCAGGGACACAGAAGAGCTACTTGGGAGACAGGGGCTTGTGTCAGTGTCACAGGGTCCTCTGTGGAGGGAACTCAGATGGGCAGGAAAGAGGGACCCCGCCAGCCCTTAGGACCTGGGGGACCTGGAACAGGCAGGGGCAGTGAGAGCTTTCTGGGGCTCAGGGACCCCTGCTGGAGAAGTGGCGGGGGGGGGGGGTATGTGTGGTGTGGTGTGTGTATATGTGGTGTGTGTGGTATGTGTGTGTGTGTGTATGTGTGTGTGTCTGTGTATGTGGCATGTGTGTGTGCATGTGCTGGGAAAGCACCTTCTCTCCAAAATAGGGGGTACATGACCCCCTATGTGACCTGCCCACCATCTGGTAGCTGGCTTCCAGCTCGGGGGCAGGTGACTCAAAGAATCTATCAGGTCCTTTCTCTGGGTCCAAGGAACAGACGCAGGAGACCAGCATGGCCTCCTTTTCCAGGGTGACCTAGGGAGGCTGGAATCAAGGTACAGAGGTCCCAAGAGGGTTGCCGCGCTGGCCTCAGCTTCTGTCCCAGGCACTCAATGCCTCCCCAGGGTCCTCCCACAAGGCAGGTGGTCACCTCTGAAGGCTGATGTAGAGTCTGCATGTTTGCGGAGCAGGGTGAGGGAAGCTAGGGTCACGGCCCTCTGGGCCCACTCTAGCCCTGGTGGCAATGCTGTGCATGCTGCCCCGTGTCATTGCTCCAGGGAGGCTCAGCTGGCACCCTGGGTTCAGCAGGGCCCAGGCAGGCCCGGAGCTCCACCCCTGCTGGTTTTACCAGAACCACTGAGCCAAGCACCACCATCCCTGGCCAGTCTGTGAGTCCTCTGGCAAATGACTAAACCTGACATGGTCATGGGGACTGTGCCGGAGGACAGGGGCTCGAAGGGTGAGGGCACCCCCTTTGTGAGGTTCAGATAAGGATCTCCAGAAGCACTGAGAGCTGGGGGGCTGGGAGGCCACTGCAGGGGTGTGGGGCAGTGGCTCCCCGGGCTGTCATGTGGAACACGGGTGCCCTCCTGCTAGGGCTCCCGCTCCCAGAAGTACTGGGGCCAGGTACACACCTGCCGCATCTCCTCGCACACCAGGGAGAAGAGCCAGAGGTAGATGAGGTACTCGCTCCAGGATGGCGTGGGCTGGAAGTCCACCATGAGCACATAGGCGAAGAGGCAGAGGAAGGCGAAGTAGGACAGGATGTTCACGTGGAAGACGATCACAGGAGCACTAAAGAAGGCCCAGACGCGGGCAGGGTGGCCCAGGGTCTGCAGCCGCTTCTCCCTGTGGACACACACACAGGAGGGCGATCGTGAGGGCCAAACTCCAGCCACCCATGGAGCCCAAGTCCCAAGATGCCACACAGTGGCGAACATGTTCAGGGAGGTGTCCCTGATGCCTGCAGCCAAGCCCAGGTCCTGGAGGTCAGGCGGGGAGCCTCACCCCTCTGGTCCTGTGGGCCCTAGACCCTCACACGCAGCCACAGCGCCCACCACAGTAGGGACCCAGAGGTCAACCTCTCACGTCCTGCCCAGGGCCAGGGGCCACCTCTCCTCACTGTCCTTCACATGGGGCAGGGCTGCCCAAGGCGGTGCTGGGAACAGCAGCTGCAGCTCTGCACCCCTGGGGGCACTGGGAAAGCAAGCACCACTTTGGGGTGCCTGGGCTGTGCCCCTGTGCTTCAGTTTCCCAAGGATGCTCAAGCCCATGTCTTCAGCTGCCAGGGTATGGGAAGGGGGAGACCATGTTTCCTACCAGCTACAGAAAGGGTTCAACGGATAGCGACCTGGACTGGGGCCTTAGATCTGTCCCTGGGCTCCCAGGAGCCCAGAACCTCTGTCCAGCCCCTCCTGCATCTCCATGCTTCTGAGGAGGGCGGGGATGAGCCAGGCCTGGGTCTCTAGTCACCTGGACCACAGACTCTCTCTTGCTACGGCTCTATAGTGGGAGGCAGGGTGGGGGCAGGGTGCCCTCCCTTTACCAGGTTCAACACCAGCAGCTCAGCACCACTAGAGGGCGCCATTCACTCCACCCTCCCGGTTCGCAGGGCCCAGGCCACAGTCGGATCTGGGAGCCCAACAGGCAGAATTCAACCCAAGGCAGAGGCTGGGGTATGGTGGTAGTTCCCCACCATCCCTTCCTACCCACAAGTGTCTACCAGTCCCTAATGGCACAATCTCGAGGCACAAGGTTCCCTGGGAGGAGTCCCCACGCCCAGCCATACCCCCACTCAACCCAGGCACCTGAAGGAGACGAGGCCTGTGAGGAGCAGCGGGAAGGCCAGCATACACAGGATGACTTGCCACATCCCGTTGTCCACGCACAGCTGGCCCCACCACACTTTAGTCAGGAAGGCCTGTGGACAGGGCAGCCTCAGGATGGTAGGCACCAGCAGATCCGTCACACCCCATGCCCGAGGGGGTGCCCCCCACACACATACAAGCACCCTGAGGCACAGGTGGCCAGCCCAAGTCAGGCGCTGTCATCTGCCACGGAGCCCGGGCTACAAGCAGGCAGAGCCGTCTGCAGCCACCACGGGGTATGTGGCAGAGACTTCAGGCTCCCCCAGAGCTCCTGATCCACACCCCAGACTCTTGCTCCTCCCATTCCCTAAACTGCAGGTCCATCCCCACAGGTCCTGAATCCTCACAGTTCCGGGTTCACATAAACTGGCCCTGGAGGCCCTGGAGGCCCTGGAGGCCAGGCTAAAACCCTTCGCAGGCATCCCAAGTCACCATGGCGCATGGCAGACAGGGGACAGCATGAAGGCCCTCTCCAGGAGAACCTAGCTTTCAAGGGCACTCACTCTGTGCAAGGCCTACTGTGCGAGCTGCAGGAGGGCCATGGGGACAGAGATGACCCAGCTCCTGGGGCTGCCTGGGGACCAACTGCCATAGCCTCTTGACCCACCAACTGCCTGCCTCTGCTGAGGTCACTTCTTCTCTGCTTCATGGGAGGAAGTGCCTCTAGCCAGGGGCTCCGGTCATCAGCCAGGCGCTGTCCCTGGCTGCCCCGGACCCGCACCAGCACAGACCTTGTGCTGTCTATGTGACCCCACAGACTGCACTCATCCTGCATACACCTGGGCACCTGATCCTAGAAGCAAGGCCTTGGGAGGTTACCTGGACACCTCCGTGAGACACGAACTTCATGTCCTTTGCCTCCAATGCCAGCTGCAGGCAGGTGGTCTTCCCCCAGGCCTCCGACACTCGGGTGAGCAGCTTCTGGGCCCGCTCCTCGTCCTTCCGGTAGCACTCGGTGAAGACCCCTGGCAGAGGAGGGAGAATCAGCGTCAGACTAGCAAGTGATGGCCACTGAGCCTAGGGCACCCCAGACAGAGGTGAGCATGGTCCAGATGGCCAACAGTGAGGCTGAGGGCCACAGACCCTGGCGATAGCTGAGACCCAGGGCCAGGCTCACCGATGGCTCTGAGCTCGAATTCATCCGCCAGTGCCAGCATCTCCTCCAAGCTGTCCATGTCCTCCTCCTCCTTGGACAGCTCCTTCAGGATCTTGCTGCAGGCCAGGGCGGCTGCGATGCAGTCCTGGCTCTGGAGACACAGCCCAGTGAGGACCCGGAGGGCCCAGTCAGGCCCAGTCCATCCCAGGAATCTGCCCCGATGGCAAACCAGGGATCTTGGACAGGATGGGCACTGAGCTGTGGCTTTTGTGGCCTCTGTCTCTGTAGCCACATCCCTTTCTGACAGCCATGTCCTGCCTGGCCTGTGGGAGCCACCTGCTTGCCCCACAGTCTGCCTAAGGGACAGGATAGATCCAGCACATATGCTGGTCCTCCGGGACCTTGTGGGCCTATAAGTCTCCACATGGACACAACCACCGGAAGAATCTGCACGGCAGATCTTTTAGAGCTAAGTTCTGTGTTCTCTGGGGCTGTGGGCACTGAGCCCCAGACAGTGTGGCAGACCCTACTGCCCGCCCTCCAGGGCCATGAGCTGCCCTACTTGCCCAGCTGCTGGCTGCTGGCCTAAACATCATCATGTCCACCGAGAAGAAAGCCTCCTTACCTGAGCCCAGATGATCCCCGCCAGCTCCCGGCGGTTCTGAACAACAGCCCAAATGAGAAGGTCTCGGACTGGGTCCATGGTGAAGGTGATGGTGTCCGAGGAACGCTTACAGAGGGACAGAAGGCTGACTGCCTGCATCTGGTGGGAATGGACAGTCTGAGTTCCCCAGAGGCCGCCCTCATGTCAGACTCCTGGCAGGGGGCGGGGTGGGGGCTTGCCCTGCCTTGTCAGCAGCACCTGAGGCCATTCGTAGGCACGCTGTAGCTTTAAGACCACCATCCCGGGGACAGCTGGACATACCAGAAAGAACCCACCCATTTGTCTGCTTCCCTTGCCACCCACCAGGCACTGTGCAAGGTTCCTCGGCCTTTCCCAATGCAGAGGATTCTGCACAGGTCTGAGCTCAGATCTGAGGCTGTGAGCTCCTGAGGGGAACCTCACAGCATGTCTCCTGCAGACAGAGCCACTAAAGGGGGCAGCAGGTCATGCTCAGCCCAGATAGCTGAGAGGACATTCTCATGTGGCCCAGGGACAATCTCCAGAGGTAGGGGACACCTTTTCCATATCACATGCAAAATGGCACTTCCTACAAGTGATTCTTGGAATTTCTCAAAGGCTGCCCTCATAAAGAAAATAGTTAATCTGAAACTGCAGACATAGTGAAGTGCGAGCTCTGGCCCCAGGCCTCCCAAGTATATTAATGCTCTAGCATATAAAAAGTAAAACCAAATGTGACCTTCCAAGACATGAGGACACAAATAGAGACAATAAGGAGGAAACAGAGTCACCAGAACTCCTACCAAAAAGACACTGGGCCCTGATGGACTCACAGGAGAACTACCACGCTGGCGGGAAGCAGTCCACTCTGGTCACGTAAAACCAGGTTAGAGTAAGAAAGAAAACTTCCCAAGTTTCTGCAAAGCCAGTGTAAACTGATTTGGAATGCAATGAATTGGGTACCCTGAATAAACTCAATCAAAAGCTTCACATGCTGAAGCAAAAGCCCTGAAACCCTGGGCAGAACCCAGCATCACACAGACCACGATGGCACTGCGCTCAAGCTGGGGTTCAGAACAGAAACAAACGTGTGTTCGTTCTCAGGAAGTTGATGAAAATAGTTCACCAGATCCTTCAGCCAAAGAAGAAGACCAGATGGGTCCTCTCAGGGATTAGCAGGGAGCCAGGAGGAGGGAACTCCCACAAGAAGTTCACGCAAGCACAAAAGCCAGCACAGGCTCAGCCTGGGACACCACAGGGTTCCTCCGCACGGGGCCACAGACTTCCGCACCCGCTCCTGCGGCCATCACAGGCCTGGCTGCGTATCTCACAGTGAGGGCTGGGATGCTGCCACCCCAGAATGGGAGCAGGGGACACGTGATGAGCTCAGAGTGTTGATCTCTTTGAAATGTTTTCCACTGTTTGTAATTTCAGGAAGAGGGAGTGTTCAGAGCTGAACTGTGTTCCCTAAAATCCCTACACCGAATCCCTGATCTGCAGTGTGTCCGGAGGATTTGGAGATGAAACCTGGTACCTCTTAAGCTAGCAGAGGGGCCAAAACTCCTCGTCCTCGCTTCCAACTCTCTCATCCCATCAACTTGTCGCTTTCTGAAGCAGTTCTGGAATCCTCTCTCACAAGTGTCTTTATAAAGTGTGACCAAAAATATAGTGACAGCTGCTGCTGGTGCCATCTAACACAAAAACAGGCTCACAAAAACACAACACTGTATCCTCATCCATCTCAGTCACCAGGTCTGGCACCATGCAGCTACCGGCTCCTCCCCCAAGTCAAAATGACCTGAGAGGTCAATGCTTTGAATCTATCCAGGACACCGAGGCAGCAGAACAGAGGAACTAAACACACTAGAAAGAGGACTCCAGAGCTGCTGCAGAAAGGGTAAGAAAGATGTAATAAGTGTGTTTGAAGCAAAGGAGAACATTTTCAGGAGGATTCATGGAAAAACATATTTTATGTAATTTTTAAAATGTAAATGGTCACCGCATTTTTCGATTACATCTTGTACTTAAGATGCAATCAGCAAAAAAAAAAAAAAAAGTTCAGAAGCCGGGCATGGTGGCGCACTCCTGTAATCCCAGCACTCGGCAGGCTGAGGCAGGAGGATTGTTGCAAGTTCAAGACCATCCTGGGCTACAAAGTGAGCTCAAGGCCAGCCTGCACTGCATAGAGAGACCCTGTCTCCAAAAAAAAAGATGCCATCAGGAGTTAGGATGGGGTCCTAGTCCTACAGAACTGTCTTCTTACAAGAGGAAGACGCACCAGAGATCATTGTGAAGACAGCAAAAGGTTTAGAGGGTGGCCGCCTGTGGCCGGGAGCTGGGGCCTCACCAGGAACCAGCCCTGCTGGCACCAGGAGCTCTAGCTATGCCCAAAGATGTTTCCGTAAGCCAGCAGCATGCGATACTTCACATGGCCACACAGTCTAAGGCAGGGAGCATATCTCTCGTCTAATAAAAATAGCAGCGAACCACAAACACAAAGCGCTCTGAGGACACAACCCCACCCCGCCCAGCCCTGTCACCAGCACACACATTGAGTTTGACGTGGGGCACAGATGGCGAGGATCCAAGTTGGTCAATGTGCCGGGGGTACAGCGGCTGCGTGGAGTCCCCCAGGAGCTCCCGCAACACCTGGGCCACATGGTGCATCTGCAGGCAGGGTGTGTCATTGGGCACGCTGGCCTGGCGCTCCTCAGCCAGCACCTTCTGCAGCTTGCTGTGGAATAGGCAGGAGGGCTCCAGGTTTTCGTACAGGTAGAGGAGCATGTCCCGGGTGACGAGCTCTTTCAGCTGAACCCCGTTCTCCAGGAAGAGCTTCATGAACTCTGGCTTGTTGGAGATGAGGGCAGCTACCATCGTGGGGTGCAGATCTGAGGGCTGAGAGATCACCATGGGGTGCCTGCTGACCTCGGTGAACCTGCAGTAGCTGCTGCTCTCTCCATCAGGGAGGACAGAGCCTGCCAGGTCACCACCTCCAAGGACAGAGCAGAGGCCCAGGCAGAGAACCCCAGGGTGGCCTCACTCCCAGGGTAAGATTCCCGTGGGCTCCGCATGTCCAAGATGCCAACCTTCCACTGCCACTCGTCGGTAAAGATCTCGCTGCGGGCAATGTCCACGCGATTCCATGCCACCGCCAGCTTCAACTGATGGTCCCAGTTCTCATGGCCAAAGTGGTCTTGGCTCCTCGAGGCTACGGGTGAAAGAGACAATGTGGGGCTGAGGCTGTGGCTGGCGACCCCTTGGGAGGGCAGAGAACACTGCCTCTTAGTAATGCAAAGCAGTAACCCAGCACCAGCACCCTGCTGAGACTTCCTTTCCCCCCTGACAGCCAGCCAGTGAGGGAAGCATTTTTCCCATCAGGGTCAGAGCCAGAGAACCTCATGCTCCAGGATCACTCCAGCTCACTCAGTCCCCAACTCCTGGCTGTGCCGCACCCTTGGGACAGGTAAGCAGCAACGACAGAAGAGCTCAGCCTTTAGAGAAGAGCCGCACTCTGAGAGGCGGCCCTCTGTATTAACATGCAAGGTTCAGAATTCCAAAAGCCACGACCTTCCTTTTTGGCCTCTGTTCTCTACTCACTGAAACATCTGCCTGGCCCAGGTCCTCAGGACAAGGAACCCACCTGAGCTCCTCTGCACTCTCCTCCTGTGTAACTTCTGAATCATGGATGGTTATTTGGAGAAGAGAGAAGGAACTCTGACCCTTAAGCACACCACCCAAAAAGGCCATGGAGGTGGGCCCTGCACCTGAACAAGGAACTTGGTCTATAAAGCTGCTACCATAACACAGGAGCAAGGGTCTGTGGCCTTTGAATAGACACAATTTCTTAGATAAAACACAGAAAAATGGACCATAAAAGAAAAAATTTAAAATGTCATTAAAACTTTAACCTTCTACTCCTCAAAGACATAGTGAAAAAAGCAGGCAGGAGCTGCAAAGCAGGAAGAGATATTACCAGTGCAAACACACACAACAAAAGAGTAGCCGCAGAATATACGAAGAATCCCTACAACTCGGTAGGAAGACAAATGACCAAATTAAAATGGATATAAAAGACACACACCAGTACCATCTTTTTGGAAAATAGTTTGGCAGTTGCTTACAAAGAAAAACTAGTCATTCCAGTCCTAGATAATTGACTCAAGAGAAACAGAAGCAAATAGCCGCTTCATTCCAATAGCCCCAAACTGGAATGGTTACACACTTCATGCAAGAAGAGACTGGACCACTCAGCAGGAAAAAGAAGCACCATTCTGATACACACAATCCCACGAGTGCAACTCAGAAACAATACACTGAACAACAGGCACAAGATGGGGTGAAGCCAGTGTACAACTGCATGAAGCTACCTTTGCTCTACTGGGACAGTCTTTATTTCTCCCACCCTTCTGCAGGACACTTTCACCAGATACAGAATTCTTGACTGACAGTTTCCTTTACTGCTTTGACTACAACGTCCAACTCACTGCCCTCTGCTTTTGAGTTTCTGGGAGAATCCTATAGACAGTGGTACCCAGGAACCATGGTATATGACACTGACCCTCCCTCACTGATCAGAAGTATTTGTCTCTGGCTTTTAGACAGTCGGTTACCACATGGCTCAGAGCGTGGCTGTTCATACATCTTAGCAGGACTCTGCTGGGCTTCATGGGTGGCAGGAGGCAGTGGTGACATGGCCCATGCCAGCTGCCTGCTAACCAGTGTGTCTGACAGAAGGGGGACTGTGCCACCTTGGGGTGGGCGCCTTCTGCCAAGCCCCATTTGGCCTCACTCCCCTTGGCCCTCACCTTTCAGCAAGGCTTGCAGGATGGCCACATCCACATCCTGCTGACCATCCTTGCCTTCCCGGAAGATGGTCAGCAGCTGCCGCTTCCGGACAATGTCTTGGATCTGCAACAAACATTTTCCAAGTGGCATACAAATGTCCCAAGGCCCAACACAGAGCCCTGGAACACAAGTCCTGCCTTCTCTGGTGGCCTGGCCACTTCCTCTCACCTCAACTAGTAAAGCCACAACATTTGTGGGCCAAGCACACACAGGGGGAGAACATAGCCCAGCGTAGAGAATCCTCACCCGATGACCGTGATAACATGGTATTTGGGACATCAGCATGGCTGAGTGTGAGACTTCTCCTCCTGGCCCTCCTGCCTGAACCCCAGCCACTCCTCACCCTCCTGCCTACCTGTCTGTGTATCTATCCATCACCCATGCCCGTATCCATCCTGTCTCCTTGTGTGCCCATCATCTACCTACCCATGCAGCCATGGCTCTAAACATGGCTCTATCCATGTTTCTGTCTGTCTGTCTGTGTATCTATCTATACATGTATCTATACACCTAACCATTTACCCATCATCCATCTGTCTATACATGTATCCATCTCTCCAGTCATCCACCCACCCATCCATCCATGTATCCTTCCATCCACTCATCTATCCACCTATCCATACATCTACCCATCCATTCCTCATTCCATCTGTTCATCCACCCATCCACCTATCTATCCACCATGGGTCTATTTTATCTACCATCTATCTATGTCTGCCCATCCATACATCTGCTCATTCACTGGTATGAGCGATACATTGTGTCAACCTGAGAAGTTTAGAAGTTTAACTAAGAGGCCCAGCAGGGAGCCAGAATCCTTACTTTGTAGATATTCCCAGGCTGTGCAAAAGGAGGGCACAGAGGTGATGTCAGTGCTATACCCCCTCTGCTTACAATATAAGGGAGGTAAAGAGGCTTGTTCTCCCTGCTTCTGCTCATGTTGCTTGGCTGTCTTCTGCCACCTTGAATTGTTACCCCTGTGCCATGCCACCCTGCCTTGGAGCCATCCAATTATGGACTGAAACCTCCACAAACTGTGAGCAAATAAACCTTTTCTTGCTTAATTTTGGGTATCGGGTGTTTTGTTTCAGCAATGAAAGAAAAGTTACCAAGACACCAGTTATCTAGCAGTCTATCTGTGTCCTGTGACAACGTGTCCTGGCAGCCATGCCTGCTGCCAGCTGCTCCTCCCCCAAATCCCTACACCCGTGGCCAAGGTGGGTGCTGCACATCTGCATTGTACTGCAGATTTCCTGCTGATCCTGAAAGAAGCCTCAGACCCTGCCCCGTTCCCTAGGCCACGCCAGCCTCCCTGACCTTCCCTCCTCTTAGACTCGCACGTTGCCCCACCCCCAGGGACACCCCCACATCCTACCATCTCTAAGCACCCACTGTCCCCCACCTCTCAACATCACTAAGGCCTGGATGTTTTCTCGTCCCTGACCATCCTGCTTCACAGCAACTTCAAAGCTTCCTATGCTGGACGTGGTGGAGCACACCTGTAATCCCAGCACTTGGGAGCCTGAGGCAGGAGGATTGGCATACATTTGAGACCAGCCTCGACTACACAGTGAGTTCAAGATCAGCCTGAACTGCATAGTGAAATCCTGTCTCAAAAAAAAGGCACTCCCCAAAAAAGCTTCCTGGGCTCCCTCTCCACTCCCTACCCCCTCCAGGTGCAGCAGCATCTCCTGGGTTTAACGTGGTCGTGTTCTCCCACGGCAGCTGCCAATTTCACCCCCAGATGTGCTCCACTGTGTGTGTGCACCCACCCCATCCTGCCCAGGACACAGCCACGCCGAGAGCAGCCGGCCTACCACCAACCCTGAGGCCGCCAGAGACAGAGGCTGTGGAAGGAACAGCCTGATCGTTTCTTGCAGCAGGACTCAGAGCACCTGGTCACCTCCTCACCAAAATGAGATGCGTTTGTGCCAAACACCACTGTCAAGACCTGGACTTGACAACCCAGAGTGGACTGAAAACAAAATAAGCAGCTTCCAACGGCCGTGGTTAGATGCAGTTCTGAGAACCACCTGAATAATTTATTAACTAGCAGGAAAAGGGCCCCGTCTGCCAGACAGGGAGCAGGGAGGCTGGGGCAGAGCCATGGCGTTACAATCCTCATTTATGCTATTACCCTGCTGGACAAACAATCTCACAGACCATAGATCGAGTCACTCTGAACCTCAGTAACGCTAACCCAAGGTCACCATGCAACCCGAGGCACACAGTCAACCAATCAGAGCCCACCTCTGGGCCAGGGCCTCTCAGACACCTGCAGTCCACAAGCAGTGACCCGCTGTGTCAGCTCCCGTGCATCCCTGCGGTCTGTGGCCAGTGTCCCCTGGTCCACCCACAGGACCCAAATCAGCTCAGCCAGAGCCAGAGCCAGCTCCTCACTGCCCTGAAAGCACCTATAGCTTTGTGTGTGGCAGCTGGACTTTCGGCCACCAGGGTTACTTTAACAGCTATGTGAAAGGAAAGGCAATCCCAACTGCCTTGCCAACAACTTACTGTAGAGGAAACTGAGGAACAGAGAGACTCCTACATACCCACCCCAGCTCCTGCCAGGAAACAGTACCAGCACGGGACCTGCAGGTGCTCCCCCTACCCGGGCTGGGCTGGAGCTCTGGGGACGAGGAGGGCTGACCTGCCCCTGTCCTTACACAAAACCCTTGCAGAGCTCTCCGGGAGCACCCACAGTCCCGCCTCTGGGCTGAGGAGTCAGCGCTTCTGAGGCTACTCCAAGCAGCTCCAGAGGCACTGTGAGTGCTGGCCAAGCTGGGCCACATGCTGCTGGCTGTCCCCTGCCCACCTGAGCCCCATAGCCCTGTCACTCTCACAGGGCCTCCCTGTCCCCCACCTCGCTTTGGCACAGTGCTGTCTTCTCCCCAGAATGATGCCCTGGAGCCCGCAGTGTCCCACCCTGCACTGAGAATTCTGTTTTGAGTCCCTCTGGTCCTGGGGGCCGCCTCACACTGGTAACCAGGCCACTGCCTCACCTTTTTGGTCCACTCCACGATGCTGCCCTCGGTGAAGGTCTCAAACAGCTCCTGGAAAAGCTCACTCAGCTTCTGCTGGATCAGGCCGATGGTGATGTCAGACACTGGCAGACTGGCCACCTGAGCAATGACGTCGGCCACGCGGCCCGAGCCCTCCACGATGACACAGGGTGTGCCGTGGGTGACGGCGTTGTAGATGGTCTGCGAAGTCAAGTCAACCAGGCCTGTGTGAGCTGCTGCAGCCCGCCTGGCTCTGCGATCCCAAACCTGACCCCCACTGCAGCAGCTGTGGCAGGGAGGACTCCACAGAGGCAACTGCCTTCACCACTGGGTGACATTCCAGTGCTCCAGGGACAGGAGCCTCCTGACATCACATGGGGCACCTGTCTAATGTATCCCCTGTTCGGGCCAGGAATAAAGGGTTTCAAGACATCCCCATGGTCTGGCGGAAGTCTCCGCTGCACAGATCAGGAGTTACCAAGGCCCCAGGAGCCAGGACCATGGAGACAGCCCACAGCACGTGCCGTGGCACCACCCAGCAGGAGTGCCTGCAGTGCCTGAGGCTGCCCAGGCAATGGAGACGGGATGCTCCCCAGGTCCCAGCCAGCCAGGAGGCCCAGAGCTGCGGTCATGAGAGTGGGATATTTTCTACAGCCCACAAACTAAATAACCTTGCTCTGAACCCATGGGTTCCTATTATAGATGGTGTCATATTTAGATGTCATAGGCGCTGGGACTCATATTTAGATGTCCCCCTAAGCCTCCTGAGATCACAGGCAGTTTTGGAAGGTGACTGGATCATGGGCTCAGGCTGACTGCTGAGGGGGCGGGGCCTGGTGGGAGAAGCAGTCCCTGGGCGTGGCCTGGAAGGGGCGGGGCTCCACTCTTGGCTCTCTGTTTCTTCCTCTGCATGCCCTGAGCAGCTCTCCTGTCAGGCCAGCTCCCTTGAAGCCAGGTGACATGGACTGAAATCTCTACAGACTGAGAGCCAGATGCACTTCTGTGAATTGTGGGCTTTGGGTACTGGGTCTCAGCCATGGGGAAGTGGGTGACCCAGAGGGAGGTGGCTGGAATGGTAGAGGAGGTGGGCTCGGGAAGAAAAGCCATGAAACAACCATTCAAGCCACCTGACAAGTCTGCTCCACACACATCGGGCCAGGCCCCTTCCAGAAGGGGCAGTTCCCCCTCCCCGCTTACCCAGGCCCATTTGGAGCTGCTCTGGTACCACACAGGCTGACCACCCTCCTACTGCATGGCCACCAGCATTTCCCCCACCCCCTGGAAAGGTCCCTGTCACACAGTGGGTCTCCACCCCTCCACCTCCCTGGGACAGCTCCCCACCCTGAGTGTCCCCCACAGAGGCAGCAGCCACTCACGTTCAGTGTGCCAGGGCCCCCCTCCAGCACCACACAGACAATGGGAATCTTGATGGCCACACCTGGAAAAGACGGGTCACTGAGGGAGTCATTTCCCCATCCCGGGCTCCAGCCTACTGCCCCGTGCCAGTGTCAGCCCCAGGACAAGTAATGAGTAACACCCAGCTTCTTAAAGTGGCCACTCCACTTGGTCCTGTCCTGCCCCAGTTCACTTGGACTGCCTGTCCTCTCTCCCAGCGGGGCACGACAGCCAGCCTGCTGTTCTCTACAAGCTCACTGTGGTGCCCAAGGGGGTGCCTCCAGCAGGCGCCTAACCCACCCTGGGGGGCAGTCACAGCAGGAGCCCCACCCCAAGCCCTCTGCCCACCCAGCAGCCAGGGTCACCGGAGATACCTCAGGAACCCTTCCGGGGCACAAACTCCATCCAAGCGGGACAGCGGCCCTGCCTGCTCCATGCCCACCCAGCACACTTGTTCAGAGCAGGAGTCTCCAAGTAAGGTCCCCACCCATGGCAACATGCAAGAAGCTCAAATTCCCATCCCACCCAGACCTGCAGTCAGACCCCGAGACAGCGCTCTGACACCTGCGACAACTTCAAGCCACCGCCCCAACTTCCCCTCATTGCAGATGTCCAGCACCTGTGCCTTGGAGCATGTGTGACATCCCCATGTCCCCCCCCCCCCAGGTCCCGACCCACCCTTAGGTAGGGAAGTCAAGCTCAGAGTTCTGACGTCTCCTGTCCTGGCTTCTGAACCCAACGCCGGGCCAGAGGCCTGAAAGGGCTGTGGGACTTTGTTACCCAAGGGAGCTTGGACACAGCGGGGCCCTCACTGAGTTCCCATCCTGAGCTGAGGGAAGGGGGAATGGGGCAAGGGAGAAGAGCACTGCAGCCTCTTAGCCATGGGGCCAGCCTCTCACCTCCTCTCTCCTTCGTCTGCTCAGATATGAACTTCTCCAGCTGAATCCGAAGGGGAATCTCCACCCCATACTGGCCGTGTGTCCCATTGTCCACCAGGATGAAGTGGGAGTGGTTGCTGTCTAGGCAGGTCAGGTTCCCTTGGCCTTCCTCGTCCAGGACATACTCGGCGTGGTGGCTTTCCTGGGGATCCAGGGGCTAGAAAAACGAGGAATGGTCCCCAAGACATAGACTCCTGGGCTCAGGAACCCACCAATATCACCTTGCTGGCTCAAAGGGTCCTCAAAGATGTGGTTAAATTAAGGATGTGGACATGGAAAACTGACTGGGGTTATCTGGGCAGGACCTCAGCACCGTCACACAGGTCCTTATATGACAGGCAGAGCGGGTCAACAGCAAGGGAAGTCAGAGGCTGAAGGAGGTGACCGGCCACGACCAGAGGGAAAACTGCAGCCTCCGGAAACCAGAGGAAGCGGATCCCTCCTGCAGCCTTGCAGGTGGTGGCCCTGCCTGGCACCTGATGCAGGCCAGACGGTGCTAATGTCAGAGCCGTCCCTCCACACAGGTGACAGGAGGGTTTCTGCTACTTTCAGAGATGTGGCGATGTTATGGCTGCCACCAGAATCCAGGGCTTATTTGGTGACAATAAGTGGGTTGCGGCTGTGACGAACCCTAAGCCTATTGATGAAGCTTCAGAAATGAAATGGCTTGGGGGCTCTCGAGAGGAAAAGTGTCCATTTCCCTGAGAAGACTCTTGGTGGACACAGTGACCAAGACGTTGCTGGTAGCAACACAGGACGAGAAGGAGCACAGTAAAGGAAGCTCATGATGTGGAAGAAAACACGAGTCACCCAACACAAAAACAAACAGAACTCCACATGATAGATCTGGGGATTTAGCTGTGACTTCAAGCCAAGCACTGAAGGTGCGACCTGAGTTCCTCTCTCTGCTTCTCATAAGAAGGAAACATAAATCACAGGGAGGACCGTGGAGCAGAATGGAGCCAGGACCCAGGGACATTCCTGGCCTGGCTAGATTGCACAGAGTTAAAGATGAATAGATTCACTGCTAACACCACACCCCAGGGAGAGGGCCAAAGGAGCTGACCGACAGCTTTTCCTGGGACGCGGGGCCAGACTTGGCACCATGCATCACCCGACACCCCAGCAGAAGCCTAGGACAGAGACAGCACAGCCCCCAGAAGGACTTGCCCGTGCAGGAGCACGAAGCCCTGTACCACTCAGGGATTCTGTAAACATCACAGCAGCAGGAAAGACTCCGCACTGACAGGGACGGGGACAAGGAGGTCTGGCACAGAAATGGACTGAAAACCCTGAGGAGAGGGAAGACGGGGCCCCCACAGGGGACGGTCCCCTGGGCTGCATCCCTGGCGGTTTTCCCTGCTGGATTCTCAGTTGCTTGGAACCCAGAACCTCCACGTCTCCTTTCAGTATGAGCACATCTGTACCAGGACCCAGCACTCGTCCTCCCCCCTCCATCTGCATAAGTAGATGGCGTGTTTCTGGTCTCACATGTGCATGCCCACAAGAAGAGACCACACCACACCTGCTTGTTGTGCAATCCAGGAACTATGAGCTGGTGATGCAGATGTGAAATTTGGAACTTTGAGCTTTGAGTGGATGCTAAGATGAGCCAAGAAGCTGAGGAGCTGGGGTGTTGGAGTGGGTATGTTCTGCATGCGGGAAGGACAAGAGCCCTCAAAGCCAGAGGGTGAATCACAGTCACACCACAGCTGTCAACAAATCCTAACCCCTGGAACTGTTGTGACCCCTTATCTGATGTCAGTTCAGGATCTGGATGTGAAGAGAGGATCCTCCAGTCTGAGTGGGTCCTGAATGTCACCCAGTGTCCCCTAGAAAGCTCGTTTTGTCACGGCAGCTATGGACACTGACCGGGGACGGCCACTGGGCTCATATCCTCCACTGCCCACAGAGAACGGAGTGACAGAGTGACGGGAGCCCTATCTGAGCTCAGAATATGAGGAAAGCAGGGCAATCATCAGCACTCAACCTCTTGTGCCTCAGTTTCCCACTCTGTAACATGGGCAAGCACGACAGAAGATGCCCAGAACGACATCTGATTCCACAAGAGGAGGATGACAGTCACGGGAGCAGTGTGTGTGCTCACTGCACTCTTGACTCAGGAACTTCTTCCCCAGGGAGGCTCCTCACGTTCCTCCCATTGTGGGCAGTCACGGGGACAATGTCCCCCACCTTCCCGGCTTCCAGTGAAGCTCAGGTTTCCTTGCTGTGCCATCCCTGGCATTGTGAGAAAACCCTGCCCAGCGAATCGGACTCTGCCAGCCCTGGCCGCCACTGTAGGGCAACAGCTTCTCCCAAGGCCGCCAGTCACAAGGTCTCCATCTTCAGCCTCTAAGGGCACTTGCCACGCTCTCACTGGGGAGTCACAGCACCCGGGACCCTGGATAAGTCACCTCCTTCCCCTGCATCCCTTCTGTCCTCTCAGAATGGCTGCAGGATGCACCCTTCTGGGCACACAATGCTGGTCCCACATCACCGAGCCCATGACCTGCAGGGAGGACCCCTGCTCGGATGCCCATCCCCCCACTGGGTCCCTCCCGTGTGCCCCTGGAAGCACCTGGGGAGACCCTGCACCCTGCGCCACTCCTCTGATGCCAGGGTGGCCACTCACCATTGGCCGGACCAGCCCCTCCCGGTTGTGGATGGTGCCCCATGTGGCCACGCCGATGGTGATGACCTCTCCGTCCTTGTAGCTGCTGCTCAGGCTGAAGTCACGCACCGCCTCACCCACCTGCTTCATCACGCCAGCGTGGGAGCCCCCAGTGATGATCCAGGCCCCTACAGGAGAATGCAGGCTTGGGCCGGGCTCTGGGTGTCACTGTGCACCTGCCCTCCAGGACACTGGCCCCAGAGGCTCCCGAGAGGATACACATTGGACCTCAAAGAATCTGCAGGTTAAGGCTCCGGAACCAAGGGCCTCTGTGTTACAAAGAAGAGGGGCAGAGGGGCAGGGGCAGAGACCCCGACTTCCCCTCATACCACCCCCACCCTGCTGGGCACCCTGTCGCAGTCTCAGGTTTTACAGGGATCCCTCTGGTCTCTCCATCTCAGGATGTGCACAGGCCCCACTGCCTGCTGCCATGGGGCTCTCTACAGCCCTAGGCTGGTCCCTCTTCCACCTGTGTCTGTCCTGGCCAGCAGCTGCCTGGTCACTGCATGCAGGAGGGTGAGGGCTGGGCACTGGAGCTCGTCACATTGTCCTTGAGTTACACATAGGCTGCTGCCCAGCCTGAGTCCCACAGTGAGGTGGCTGGGGCCACAGCCCCTACCACGTGAGTGACCAGCCTGTCTGCTGTTGCTGCAGCCTCAGAAACTGAAGCCTAAAAGCTAGGGCTCGAGCATTCCTTATAGCCCCAGCACTCAGGAGGATGAGGCAAGAAGATTCCAAATTCAAACTCAGAGTGGGCACCTTAGTGACAAGATCCTGTCCCAAAGAATTTAAAGAATTACAATTTAAAGGGCTGGGTATGTAGCCCAGTACAAAGGTCCTGAGTTCAGTCCCTGGTCATGAAAAAAAAGAAAGCAGAGGAAGAGGAAAAAACAGGGGTGCTTGCTGTCATAAAAATAAAACACGACATGTGGTAGTGGCGCTGGGTGGAAAGCAGGCAGTAAAGACACTGGAAGTGAAGGTAGTGGATGTCAGAGCGTCAAGCCAGACATGGTGGCTCCCACATCCTGGATTCCAGCATTCAGGAGGCTGAGGCAGGACAGCACAAGTGCAAGGCCAGCCTGGGCTACATAGCGAGACCCTATTTCCAGAAGGAAGGAAGGAGAGAGAGAGAGAGAGAGAGAGAGAGAGAGAGAGAGAGAGAGAGAGAGAGAGAAGAAGAAGAAGAAGAAGAAGAAGAAGAAGAAGAAGAAGAAGAAGAAGAAGAAGAAGAAGAAGAAGAAGAAGAAGAAAAGAAAAGACAAGACAGACATGGTGTGAAGAGGAGGCAAAGAAGACTCGAGGGCTGAGAACACACCTGGAGGAAGGTTAGCGGCCCAGAGCCGAGCTCCACTGACCGGGTGGAGAAAAGCTTTGGTCACTCTGTGAGCAAGGATGGAGGGAGAGGGCGCAGCCCAGGACCCCTGAGACTCACAACCCACAGGGCAAGCACTGTGGAAACTCAGCCCCAGCTCTGCACGGGCCACGCCCCGTGAGGCCACTGCACCCTTCACAAAGCCAGAGCCCAGGAAGGACATCACCACCTCGGCCCACGGGAGCCATCAGGCCTGCATGACCAGCTAGGGGACTGTGGTGTCTACCCAGCCAAGCCACCCGAGGGGACCTGGAAGCCCCCTGGACTCCACAGTGGCCAGGGCATTGGGTTCCACATCACCCACAGGGCCTTAGGCCCCTTTGTGTCTCTCACCCAAGGTGTGATCTCGGTAAGCCGTCTAACACTAGAGAGGCAGGTGCCTCAGGGAGGGATGGCATCCTCCTGTCCTGTGCAGACACCTCAGGTGACGGAGTCACTGATATCCCCAAGGCCAGCTCACCTTATGTGGCCTCTGCTGCCCTTGTGGCCACTGGATACTCAGGCCGGAGCAGCCTCAGGCCCACTGCCAGGGCTGTCACAGGGAGCTGAGCAGCTAGGGGTCGGTGTGTGGGCTCTGAGCTAGGCTGTGGCTTGGGCTCTGCTACCCTGAGGTTCTCCCAGTCCCTGAGGTCCTGACCCCTGGCCCCACCCACTCGGCCCAACTGGTGCCCATCATCTGCAGACAGCGCCCAGCACCCACCTGTGGTCTGGGCCACCTTGACCAGGCCCCTGCGGAAGATGCTCTTGAGCCTTAGCTTCATGTTGAAGTTCTTGGCCCCACCAGTCACCGAGATGAGCAGGTTGGGGACATCCAGGCCCCAGTGCTGCGTCATGAGGTGGTAGATCACGCTGGAAGGCGTGTCCGAGGACACTCGGACATACTGCCAGAGAACCAGGGACAGCTGGGTGACCGGGAGCAGCAGCCCTTGCCCTGCTTGGGCCCCTGCCATGGGGGTGCCTCATGTGCACCCCGAGTCCCAATCCCACTTCCTGTCCACAGGACCCAGGAGACCTGCACCGAACGTCCTTCTACATGGGTCCCCGGTCACTGCCCCTGGGCTGGGCGAGTGTCCTCTGCCTCTCACCCTATCTTGCCCCCGTCACCATCCCTGCTGGGAATCCCCAGCTCCACAGACCCTAGGAGCCCACAGTGAACTTCTTTTGCTCAGTTCCTGGCTCCCTGGCCAGGATCCCCAAGATGGGCAGTGAGGAGCGGAAAGGAGACGGCACACAGGCCTTGCAGTGCCCACGAGGGTCTGCAGCCCGCAGAGGGAGGGGGCAGCCATCCTGGGGGCTGAGCAGGTGTCCGGGACAGGGCCTTTGCTGTGGGGTCCCTTATGACCCCCAGAAGGAGAGAGAGGCTGAGGACCCACCACATCAGCACACACAGGCAGTGACAGCACTGAGGTCAGGCCAGACCACACCCCAGGCTCTGAGTCCGGGATTATCATCACCAATGCAACACAGCTGTCACCCCATCAGTGCCAGGGCAGTGACTGTCCCTGTGGACAGCCACATGGAGGAGGCCAAGGCAGTGGGTACTGCTGGTGAGAGCCTGGGCTGGGCCCAGCTGGTTCACACCCTCCATCCCACCTCCCACTGCAGCCTTGAGAGGAAGAACAGAGAACCTGGAGACGGGACACTCACACATGACTGTGGGAGGCAGGGGCTAGGACTGTATGGCCCCACACTCTGCGAGGCCTTGCTCAACCTCTTGGACCAAGTGGACATCAACCTTGAGTGTCCCTCAACCTTGAGCGAGGGACACTCAAGGTTGAGGGACAGGGTCACACAGTGCTGCTCAGGCTCAGAGGCTCCAGGAAACCAGCAAGGCAGGATGAGGGACCAGCACCCCACCCCACAAGACAGCAGACAGGTGCGGGAGCAGATGCAGGGAAGCCACTCATTACCAAAGCGCACTCACACCCCCACCCCCACACGGGGGGGAGCTCTGCAAACCCCAACCCCACTGGGCAGTTAGCAGGAGCTCAGAGGCTCATGCCACCCACTCTGTCCTTAGCACAGCTGAGGTGCATGCACCTGGCTTCCCACTCCCCAGGAAATCTGCCAGGGCCACCAAGGATCTGGCCCCCATGCGGACTATGGCACAAGGGAACCAACCTTCCCCACTTTCTGGCCCAGGCCCACAAAGACGATGTCACCAAAGGCATCAGTTGGCATCTCCTGGACATGCTTCTTCGGGTCCCACTCTTTGTCCTGGAAGGCGTGGGGCTTGATGGCCTCCTCCCGGTGCTGCTCAAGGGTGTAACCACACTCGCACACCACCTTCCTGTGAGAACACAGGCATCACCAGAGGGCAGGAGGCGCCTCTGCTCCAGAGGGCTCAAGGCCCAGTGGGGCCGGGACTTTCCCAGCCCAGCAGTGTCACGTCTCAGCTTCAGTGCCACAGAAGGCCGCACAGGAGCAGTGATGAGTCCCCACCATCCTCGCCTCCTAGTGTCACCAGCAGGGGCCAAGTGGGCACTGGAACTCCTCATGATCCACAGTGAGAAGCCCTCACCACAGCATGTCCACTCGGGCTGAAGGGGACACTGGACCTCACCGTGTGCAGTACTGAGGTACTGGCCCTGCCCCCTTTCACGTGTCTCAAGACCTGCTGGAGCCGGAGACCTGGAGCCTGCAGCATAAAACCTGAACTGTCAAGGTCTTCATGAAAAGTCAGCAGTGCACAGAGAACCAGGAACCCTCAGGTAGAACGAGAGAGGACAATCAGTGGCCACCACACTAAGACTTGGAAGCAGTCACCTTAAGAAATGCTTCTACAAGCAACTAGAAACACTCGGGAACAGAGGGAGGGAGGTGCCCCAGGGGGCAGTGTTATAGCTGACAAATACGGTGTTAGGCATTTTTAAAAAGCAGTGTATGAGCTCTCTGCAGCATGGAGAGGAGAAAAGGCAAATCAGTGAAGTAGGAGAGAGAACAACACAGTTGCCCGGTAAAGGCAAGAAAATAAACCAGGAATAACATGCCAACCAAAAACGCACAGGGCACACGGCATGACAGTCCCAAAGTGGCAAACCACAGGGATGGGAGAGGCGAGGTGTGGCCACAAGGGGAGGAATGGGGAGACACTCGTGGGATGCAGCAGCAGTCACCCGAATCTACACTCCAACATGGAGCGCACACCTGGCTCCCTGGAGCCCCCGGTTTTGACACCATGGCATAGTTGTGCAGGACATAACCACTAGGGGGAGCTACTTGTGTGCCTGAAACTTTCTTTAAATCTGGATTTCGAGATAAAAAGTTAAACACACAAAAGATGGAGGCTTAGTGCTGGAGGAACAGCGCTGCTGAAGTGCACGGAGACCCCAGTCTCCGTGAAGCCCTGGGGTGCAGGAGGACACCAACCTCCCGAGCTGGAGAGAAGCTGGAGAGAGCTAGAGAGAAGCCACCGCCCCCTCCCACCGTCCTCCTCTGGGGACTGAAATCTTTCTACTCCTTTACTGCTACCCATGGGGCTTCAGGAGCAAGGAAAGATGAACCCTGTATTCTTTATTCTTGGCTGAATTAAGAGCCCTCATATTTTTTAAGATGACTACTTCTTGCTGATAACAAATGACCTAGAAGACTTAGCATGGGTGAGACAAAGGAAAGAGCCTAAAGCCAGATGAAACCTGACCCAGACGCTCTGGAGGGAGACCCTGGAACTGTGAGGAGCAGAACTTGGGTTTCTCTGCCACTTGTCCAGCTGCAGAGTCGTGGGTGCTCCTAAGTCTCAGTTCTCCATCATTGAAATGGAAAACACAGACAGATTACAGATGGGAGAGGACCCACAGGGGAGGGCTGGGGGAGAGGAGGGAGGACGGACGGATGGACGCAGAAAGAACGAAGACCCTGAGGGATGACACCTTCACGAACTGCAAATGTGGACGAAAAAATAAACATTTTAAAAACAGGGAAAACAATGTGCCCTGGCCCCAACCCTAAGGCACCTGGAGGAACTTTCGGGCTTGCAAGGGTCAGAGGGAAACACCTGAGTGGCCTCACTTCACAGGCAGGGACTGGGAAAGGTCAGGGTAAGCCACTGGACAAGGACCTGAGTTCTCATAACTTCTGTCTATTTTTATACCAGCACAGAACCCAGTTCTGGCACTGAGCCGCAACCCCAGCCCCATTTCGTGTTTTATTTTGAGATAGGACTTCACTAAGATGCTAAACGCCCCAAGCTGAGCTCCAACTTGAGATCTCCCTGGCTCAGCCTCCCAAAATGCTGGGGCTCTGGGTGTCCAACGCCACGCCTGGCCCAAGCTCCTGCACTCTGGGTCAGTGCTGCTACAGATTTTCGCTTAGATTTCTAACAGCCAGCAGGTAACTTGCTACCACCTTTGCTCTTCCTCTCCATGGTATCCTGGACCCTGACACACAGCAGGGGCTGCACAGGGCCACTGGCCCAGAAACTAAACAGCACAGCCAGAGTGCACCAGCTCCAGAAGCCTCGGCCCAGACAGATGGGAAGCGGGAATGACAGCGCCTGGGTCCCCGGCTCCTGCCGGAAGCCACTCTGAGCTCAGGGAGCACGCCTGTCCTACTCCTACTCCTGAGGACCTTGGCACCTCTGCTGCTAGCTCATGTCCTGCAGGTGAGGGGGGAGAGGTGAGGAGACAGCGGGGCAGGCTCTGGCCAGGGAGGCAGTGCTGGCAGTGGGAATCAAGCCAGGTGGAGTCGTGGAGGTGAGGGCCGGAAGGTTCTGAAGCATGGGGTGAGAACATTTCAAGGGAACGGGCTGGTCTGTCTCAAGAGCTGTGCCCTGACGGGGAGGGGCATTCACCACACTCTGGTCCTGTCTTTCTGCAGACAGCGGTGAGTGACTGTCAGGTGCTGACATCTGGAAAGACCTGGGTAGCCCGGTTCCCACAGCAGGTCCAGGCTGCTCAGGCTGGCATCTGGGCCCAAGGCTCCCCACACTGGTGCACAGGGGTGCTCCTCAGAGCCCAGCCTGGTCCCCCATGTGGTTCACACTGACGTCTGCCATCCTGCTAGGAGCTGCTGGCTGGGGGTGCTGGGTCTCCAGCCTGAGGCACCGCCCCTTTCCCCAGTACAGAGGAACTCTGTGTCCACAAGCCTCAGCCCTGAGCACTGCAGAGTCCTGCAGGGTCAGGTATGCTGTCCACATTGACTCCACATGGCACCCCTTTCTGCAACTTCTGCCCCACCACAAGGCTATGGAGCCGGCATGCAAGACGTGCCCAGAGCCAGCATCAGCAGACCTCAGGCCCTTGCACCCTACCCAGGTGTGTCAGGATGCAGTAGCCTCCCCTCTCCCCACTCAGCATCCCCTGTCCTTTCCTGCACGGCTGTCCCTTGGTGTCACAGGAAATGATACCACAGAACCCCACAGGGACCGAAAGCCCTGGCGCCCAAGTCCCTTACACAGAATCCTGCGGTCTCCCCACAGACCCGGAGCGGCCTCTGTGACCATCGCCATCACCGCGGAGCACAGTGAACCGCGGAGCACAGTGAGCCGCAGTTACACGGCACTGCTTAGCAAATGACGGCTGGAAAGCCCACGCATGTTCGAGGCGGAGGGCACACTTTGCTCTGCCTTAGTTCCAAGCCCTTCCTGCCCGAGGTTGGGCTGAATCTGAGGCTGAGGAGCTGTGACGTGCTGAGGTGCTGTCAAAATCAGCAGCTAGGGTCTGGAAACAGGTCACGCACTGGGCGAACCAAGGACCTGGCTGCAGCTGTGAGCCAGACCTGGTGGCCTCTCCCTCTCTGTGTTAGGCACTGCCCTCACTGTGGGACCCAATACTGGACACCCACAGTTTAAGGGAGGAGGAGCTTTGGTTCATGTTTCAGTCTATGGGGCAGCAAGACAGAGGGGCCTGGCGAAGAAGAGCTGCTTACCACACAGAGGACAGGAAGTAGAGCGAGAAGTGGGGAGGGGGAGGGAGATGGACCCTTCCAGGCCACACCCGTGACCACCTCTTTGGGCTAAACCTCAACTCCTAACGGCAAATTTAGCCACAAACTCATCAGTGGATTAATCCACTCACAGCATGGCACCCCATGATCCAGTCAATCTTCAAAAGCCCCCCCCAACCATGAGCACACAAGGCCTTGTGGGGGTCTGCAGTTATAAACCGTGACACTCTTCCTCCAGGGCCTGCTCCTGGTTCCTGCAGGGGACGGTGAGGCTAGAGCCAGGCTGGGACATGAGCCCCGAAACCTCCATGCACAGGGCACTTCAGTGAGCCCACCTGGGCAGAGGACAGGCCCAGGATGACCTCATCACTTCCTGCCCCGATCCTACAGTGTGAGGCTCCTATTCCCGCCACAGGATGTGGCTCTTCCCCCATCAGTCAGAAAAGAGCTGGATACCAGCTGCTCGCCTGGCAGTGTTGCCGTGGTCCCGGCCCCAGAGAGTCTGGCAGGGGGTAGGAGAGGCAAGGCCTGAGCCCAACGCGACAGCACAGTGGCCAGCAGAGAGGGACAGTGCCCTGGGTGGCTACTCCCTGCATGGCGTGTGGCCTAGGAAGGGCACACCGAGTGGCAGGTTCTGCAACAGGCCTTGAGAGCTAAGTAGGGCAGAAGACTGGGAGAAGTGGGGCTGTGCACAAAGTGTGTGGCTGTAGGCAGGGGCCAACTGAATCGCAGCACTGTCAGGCCCAAGGGACAGTGGTTTCGGGCACAAAGCCCCAGGTCTGAGTGGCAGGGGCAGAATCAGGCCTGTATGTGCAGCACCATGCCCGGGCTCGGCCATCGCGTGGGCAGCGTAAGAGGGGCAATGCCCAGCAGCTTAACGTGGCCACTGCTGCCTAGGACATGGTCTTGGCAGGCACATCCATGCCATGGGGTCCTGGTGTCTGTGCTGTGGACTTCCTCTAAGGCCCCTTTAGCTCCTGGACCCAGGGACTCTCTTCCAAATCAACGAGATGCCCCAAAGGCCTGAGCTGGATGGAGTCCACTACAGCCGCAGGGCAGCCACATCATGATCTGGACAAGTCTTGGAACCTTGTACATCTGGATCTCCCAATCAGGAAGCAGGAATGCAGAGCCCGTGCCCTGGGAGGCCCTCAGCATCCCACGGCCAGGCTCCCAGGACTGGGCCGGGCACACGCAGGTGCTCCCTGCCATCTCCTCTGAGGCCCTGATTGTGAGGGTTCTGACCAGTTGCTCAGTTTACACCTAGATGTTCCTCTAAAGCCTCACATGACCACAGGCAGGGCTTTGGGAAGGTGATGGACTATTGGACTCACAGCCGCTGACCCGCAGTCAGGAGGTGGGGGCTGGTGATTCACTGGGGATGCAGCCTGGAAGGGTTTTTGTCCTTCCCTGGACCCTCTTTTCTCTCGCTGCTTCCTGTCCACCATGCAGCGAGCAGCAGTCCTCCACCAGCGCCTGTGCAGTGCCGGCCTGCCTTATAGCCAGATGACCATGGACTGAAACCTCTACACACTGTGAGCACAAACCAACCTCTCTGCGGTATCGGCTGTGAGTGTTCCAGCAACAAGGAAATTAATGACAACCAGGACACGAGGGACAGAGGCCTCAAACACAAAACTTACCCAGCATCAGAGAGCTTGGGACTTTCCACAAAATACATGCACTCTTTCTTCTTGATGTTCTCAAGAATCCACGCCCTCAGATGCTGCGAACAGAGAGGGCACTTTGAGGTTATGAACCCCAAAAGTGCACAGCCTAAGCCTCAAGGACCACAAACTCCCATGGAGGGACCCAGCCTAGCCCCAGGTGAGACGTGCTGGGAGGGTCTCCAGGTGGGTTCAGGAGAGGGGAGTGAATCTGTGCCATGCTACTTTCTCCTCAGACCCAGTCTGAATGTGCACGTCACAGCTGACACGTTCATGTCACCTTCCTCGGGGACAGTGGTGTGGTGGAAGATGTGCAGGGTGAGACCCCAGGGGCCCTTGCTTTGGTTCTTGCCTCTAGAAACCACAGAGCCTTCCTCGCTGCCAGGCAAGGCCACTACCACATCCCACTGTGCTTTCAACCCAGCTGACAGGGATGCTGGCCACCACAGCAATAAGGACAGGAAATTACCATGCAGTGGGGTGCTGAAAGGTGAGCTATCCCATGCCACCCCAAGCAGCGCAGGACCTGGGCTCACGACCAAGACCACAAGGAGAAGTGACAGTGGAGTTCCAGCAGGCGAGGAAGCCCAGCACCTGCTGACCCCCCGGCTCCTGGACCCAGGATGCTCCTGGGCTGCAGCCCCCTGACTGACAGTCCCTCTCCACCCAGACAGGAAACATGCCCATCCCAGGGTCACAGGTGGGCCCCCAGGGCCATGTGTGCAGGCTGGGGACCCCAGTGGGAAGCCCACCTTCTCACTGCTGCTCAAGTGGCACTGCGGCCTCCCATTCTTGTACAGGCGGCTGTTGCTCTGTCGGGGATTGGGGACCATGCCCAGATCAGCCACCCTGCTGGGCTGTACCCCAAAGCCATCCTCCTGCTCAGAGCTAGCTTTCCTGTGGGCCGAGGGCTCCATCCCGCCCCACGGCTTCAGCTTCTACCCGCTCGCCTGCCTCCTTCAGGGCTGGCTCTTCTCCAGCTCCCGAGGTCAGGGGTTCTGCAGACACCAATTGGGGGAGAGGACTGCTGAAATAGAGCAGAGAGGAAGGTGAGACAGCTGTTCCGGCCACGTGTTTCCTCATGGCACCTCCACCCCTGTCTCCCTGGCCCATCTGCTCATCTCCTGGGCCACCGGGCTCTGTCCAGCCTTGCAGGATGCTGGGCAGTGTGGGGCTGTGCATCTATTCACACTGGCCACAACCTCAGGCCACTGTGCTGCCCTCCCGGCTCCCATGCCCTTCGCACACTGGAGATGCCCAGAGAGCCCAAGCTGGGGGTGGGAGGGATGTGAAAAGCACACACCCCCTGGGCACCTGCAGCTCTGTGTCTCATGGACCCAGACATGGGTCCCAACTCTTTCACTTTCCAAAAGCAAAAAGAACACTTCCCCCACCACTGCCCACAGAGTGCATTTAGGGAAGTCACACAACTGCATCCCTCCACCCCTTTCTCCCTGGCCTAGCCCTGAAGCCACAGGAATGGAACACATGTGTTTGAGTCCTGCAGGCTCCCCTGGGCCACATGGCCTGACCTGTTCCCCTGGGGACACCTCGGGCAGTGTGGAGGGATGGATGGTGCCAGAGGACTTATTCTGTTTTGTGTCCCAATGGGAACAGGCTCAGCAGGGCCAATAGCCGGGGAGCTACTGGGCCAGGGTGATGGCAAAGGGAAAGTCCGAACCCCCTTCCAGCACCCGCCATACCAAGTGGTCACCAGACACACGTACCCTGCTATGTGCTGAACCAATGCTCCTTGAACTGGCACCAGGGTTCTTGTGACCTCAGACAAGCTCTCAGTTCCCTACCCCGACCTCCTTCCCCCCTGGCCCTCAGCCATGCGCATCCCCTGACCCACGGGCAGGGGGGCTTGCTGGGCCTTCTGCTCCACTCTGAAAGGAGAAGGTCCATCTCATCCCGAGTGGCTTTTCAGGGTCCTCTGCTGCCCTGTCCAGCAGCTCACCTGTTCTGTGCCTAGCCCACTCTTGAGACCAGCAAACAAGCAAGACATGTTTCCACTGGACAGAAGACAGCCAGAGGGAGCAAGTGGCCAGTTATTGGGGACCTGGCCTACAGGTGGCCCCTACGAGGGGCCCTTCAAAATACTAGAAATGAGGAGGCTGGTATGGGGCTGTGTGTGTGTCAGAGAGGATTTGCCTGTCCTGGTCCTGCAGCAAACAGTGAGACGCCAGCAGGTCCAACATGGCCCGTGCCGTCAATGGAGGAGGAGAGACAGCAGTGTCCTTTGGCACCCTTTGTTAGGTCTCAGACCCACAGAGACCCCACAGTGAACAGTGACATCTTTTTTTTTTCTTTTTTTCTTTTTTATCGGTACCAGGGATTGAACTCACGACCGCCTGCTTTCAAGGCAGGTGCTTATGCCACTGAGCTAAATCCCCAGCCCCGAACAGTGACATCTTAAGCTCTTACATGGTGCCCAGTGCTGCTGACACCCAGCCACCTGGCATCTACCCCGGGGCCTGAGGCCAGGGACACCAGGGAAGGGAGTACTCTGAAGACCCCTGCCTCAGGCCAGGTCCCAAGTGAAACTGAAGAATTTATCTGTGCATTACTTACATGATGAAAGCCCAAAAAGTCTCAAGGCATCTAAAGGGACAGGAAGACGCTGCCCCCCTAGCAGGTAATTTCCGGGTGAGGGTGATAAACCTCACGTTCACCCATTCCCAGGCCCCGGGAGTGTGTGGGTACACTGACACCTCCAGACTCACATGATGGGTGACACTTTGTGGCTCTGCCCGCTTCCTGCCTTGCAGCTCTGCCTCCTTCCTGCCTGTTGCCCGCTCTCGCCCTACCTAGACATCTCCTCCCTGTACCTGTGGTCCTGACTGGGTTCCCTCCTTGGGGCACCAAGAAAGCACAGGCTGGTCCCTCCATGCATTGGAACCCGTTTCGGGTGCCAGTCACATCCTCACTTTTCACACAGCTGACGGCTGGGCATGCCCAATGGGGTCTCCTGCGTGTTTTCTCACACCCCAGGGGCACAGGGCCCCAGGGCACTCGGCCAACATCAGTGCACCTTCCCATTTCAGGTCGGACCGAGGTGGGGAGGCCTTAAACCCCAAGGCTGACAATGGCTGTGCAAAGGCAGCACCTCCACCAGCCTGCCTGGGTTCCTCTGCACACAAGCACATGGTTCCCACTTTCTTCCCTTGCCTCACAACACCTGACCACCTGGTTTACAGCTAACTTCTGCAGAAGCACCTGGCACAGGTGTACGCTGAGCACATGCAGAGGTCACATGCCCTGCCCAGCATACGACAGCGCTCACCCGGACACAGCATTTACAAAAACTCCTGCCCATGTCGGGAACCTGAAGCCACAGAGGAAGTGGGGTGGCCTGATGTGGGGTGCATCTCCCAACATGCACCCTGTGTGGTGGCACTGGGGGAGCCCCCAGGAAAGAGCATAGAGGTGAGCTGAAGGGCATCGGCACACCTGTCCACCTTGGCCACGGCCAGCAGTAGCCCATGGTGCCCACTGACACCACCCCCATCAGGAATGGACAGGGGACCAGAGTCAGGCTGGGGACAACCTCTTCTTGCCACTGTGTACCTCCAAGTTATCAGGTGCCCCCCCCCCAAAGCAGTCCTCGGGGAACAAGAAACAGAAGGGGCTTTATCGTAGGGTGGCCTTTGTGGGTGAGCTCTGTCCTCTCCCGGGTCACCTGGGGTTAAGGAACTGGGAGTCAGAATTGGCCCTGTGGTCTCCTGGGAGGATCCAGAGCAAGAGCCCAAGATCCCCCAGCTCCCACTGCCCCCACCAACCCTGCAATGGCTGGGGCAGGGTAGCTGAGCTGCAGGCATCTGCACAGACCGCACCCTCTCCACCCCTGGGTGCGCACTGCAGCGCAGCCCACTGCACAGCCGCACCTCGCACCCGGTGCCCAGGGCCCGGATCGCTTCCCGCCGCCGACGCCCCACCCCCTGCCCTTGGCGCCCTGATCTGCGCGCACCAGCGTACCTGCGCTGAGGCCCGACCCCGTGTCTCCGCGTCCCCGCACCGCAGCCGCGCCGCCGCCCTGGCCCCCAGGCCACCCGCACTCCCTGCGAGAATGAGCCTGGCCTCGCGCCCCGCGCCCCGCGCCGCCCCAGCGCCCGCAGAGCGCTCTGCGTCACTCTCTGTACTGACAGCGGACAGCGAGCTAGCACGCAGAGCCAAGGACAACGCGCGCACTGCAGCCCAGCCTCCCTGGGACCCAGCGCTCACGCTGCCAGCGCCAGTGGCAAAAGTCCCTCTGGTGTTTCCACGCGCGATGGCAGCAATTGCCTTCGGGCCCCAGACCGCGGGGACTGGGGTAGGGGACTGGGCAGGGGATCCCAAGTAGAGCTGGGCTGGGCGAGTGGCCGCTTAGGACATCTGCTGAGAGACCTCGGCCGAGTCCTCACACTGGGCTGACCCAAAGTCAGGGGCCTCTCCCAGGTGTGCAGCCTGAGGCCTGCTCTCCGCATCTGCCACTCTGGGAGGGAGCTAGAAGAGCCAGAGGCAGCAGTCGCACTGGCCACTGAACGCCCTGTGGGTCCTGCAGGTCCCTCTGCCTGGAGTTGGGCTGAGTGGCTGCGTTCTGACCCCTGGAAAGATGGTAGTGGCTTTCCAAACCAGCCAGACCTCTGCCCACCCTGTGTTACCCCTCAAAGCCACTCTGCCCCTCCTTTCCCAACAGAGGCAGTCTCAGGTACCACTCTTGGGCCCCTATGGCCTCTGTCCAGGAAATGAAGTGGCCTGTGATTCTAGTCCTGGGGGCAGGGGGGTCTGCACACAACCCTGCCCAACTCACCATCCCTGCTCCTGTGCCTGGCAATATTGGGCCACCGTCCAGTGTCTGTCTGCAGCACACACCTTCAGAGGATCCCGCGGCACCCTCCCTGGGCCAGCAGGAGTGCCAGAGCCTGTGGCTGAGGGTGCCTGGGACCACTACCCCATGAGACAGGTGGCACCCTTGGCAGAGGGTGGCCCTTTGTGACATTCTTGACTCTGACATGCACAAATGTAACCGCCGTTTCTCCTCCAAACCAGCTGGTACCATGGGCCACGGAAGGGGACCCTGTGAGTGGCCGTCTCTGCAGTGGCCCTGCCCTGCTGGGCTCCAGGCTGCTGGGGGCACACAGAACTCTACCTTGTCTACCGCCACATCCCCAGAGCCTGGCAACCAGGAAACGCGCTAGGACCCCCGTAGGATGGCCCGCCACACCCGGAGAGTTGCGTTCGATGCTGGTTAACGGGACTGGAAGTGAAGACCCACTCATGGCAGCTTGGCCCTGTCCAGCACTGCCTTCCCAGGTGCCTGCTGGCGCGAGAGCCATCGTTAACTAAAACCTCTACAAGTCGCTTAATATTTCATGAGGCCTAATACCTGCAGAGCTGCCTGATGGCAGGGCAGATGAGATTGCAGAGTGCCCCAGGGTCTCTGTGGGGACTGGTTTGGGGTGGTTAATGAGCTGAGCGTCTCCTCAACATCTGCACTCATTCGCCCCAGAGCAGCTTCTACCCTCCACAGGAAAACCACAGATTTTACAAGAGGGCCAAATTCCACCCACCGAGATGCTGTTACAAGGGCAGTTATGAAATACACTGAGCAGGGAGCTACAGGGGCACTGACCGCAGGGCTTGGAGGCAGCATGTACTGACCTCTGTGGAGCACTGCTGCAGGCACAAAGAGTTTTTCATGGTAGGATGTTGTGCCCAAGATAAAAAGCCCCTGCACGGCGGGAAAGAGAGAAACCACAATTAGAGAAGGCCAGACAGAGGCTGGTGTACTCCAGTCCTGAGAGGCATGCCGGAGCAGGGAAACAAGGCTGCAGCCTGAGAGCAGGGCCAAAGTGAGGAGGGAAGTCTGAGGACAGGGCAGGGCAGCCCGCTTCCTCTGTGTGGGGCCAGATAGGTCAGCACAGTGGGCTTTGCACCTCTCGGCCTCTGAACTGCCGGACATCACCAGATTTCATTCACCAAAGCAGGTGGCGGCCAGCAGGGACCATCTCTGACCCCTGCCTGCTGCAGGGGCTTCGGACTGGGAAACGTCCTTGTTCGCTACCCCTGTGGTATCATCAGGTCAGCAGCTTTGATATCTGCAGAAGGACTGTGTGTAAAATGTACAGGTGTGGTGGTGGCAAGGATATGTAGCACTCTCACACGTGACAGTGACCAGGGAGCTGGGAATGAATAGGGCCTGAGCAAAATCCAGAAGATCCAAGCTGCCCCTCTCCAATCAGGACAGGCATGGGATTTGCCTCAGGACTCTGGACCAAGTCTTTGAACACTGGGGTCAGCAGGCAGCAGAGCACAGGCCAGGTCTGACTGGGCCCCCTCTGCAGGTACTGTGTGGCCCCTTCCTGCATCCTGTCCATTCCTGGGGTCCTGGGGTTAGGTGATAGCAAGTCATGGGGGCAGAGGCTGGTTGGTGGGAGTCATGCCCTGGTAAGAGGAGGCAGGAGCAGCCTGTTTGTCTGTCCTCCATGTAAGGACACAGACAGGAGGTGGACAGACACCAGGTCTGCCAGCACCTCGACGTGAACTTCCTGCCCTCAGAACTTTGAGCATCAGTCTCTGTCATCTAGGCCCCATCCCTGGGACTCTGTGAAAGTGGCTTGAACAGATAAGCCCTCCCCCAGCCACTGACATACCAGACATCCAGCTGGGAACTGTCAGCAGTATCCCTCTATGGGACAGTCAGTGGACAGGCAATTCCTGAAGGCCATGTGTGCTGTGGTACTGGGGACTCAGAAGATGAGGCGACAGATCTCAGCTGTTATGAGGTCCACTGTCACCCAGTAACCAGGACACAAGGGTGTCCTTTCTGGTGTGGCGAACACTGGGAAGAATGGGTGGAGATGGAGCTGGAATGTGATGGAGTGTGGCTGTGGGAAGGGTGCCAGGCCTTCCTGGGAGAAGACAGATGTCCCCTGGGAGCTGCTGGGCTTGGGGCAGTGTATTAGGCAGCACAGGAGACAGATGTCTGGAGACATGCAGGCTGGATGGAACACCTGGGGCAGGGGCAGGGAAGAAGGGGTGCCTAAGTCAGAGCCTGAAGCCAGTCCAGGTCACCTCCAGGTGCCAGGTGCTGCTAAGTGTCCCACCCTGGGAGACCTACCCCGCAGAGCCCCAGTGAGCCCCCAGCTGTCGGGACTCTGGAGCAAGGGATGGCACACATGCATCCTTAAAATGGTCCTTGGTGTCAGGACCGTGATTACCACAGAGCCTGAGCTGATTCAACCCACATGTGCAGAAGTGCAGCAAGGTGCAGTCATACTCCCTGGGGGTTGTCAGCATGGGGCTTCATGGGGCTAAGAAGCAGGAATGGGTAGGGCACAAGGGGCAGCACTTGTGACAGTGGTGTGGCCAAGGCCCCTGTATACCCTGACCATATCTCAGCCACCTGGAGGTCCTTCCCTTGTCACTGCACAGTGATGGCTGTGGGGGGCGTGTCCTTGGCCAGCAGCTGCCTTGAGATCATGAGTTCACAAGCAGCCAGAAGTGAGCTGTCAGGAGGATGTGGGCAGGTGGCCAGGTGTCACACACAGGACCCACAGTGGCCCCTCTGCCTCCCCTGGTCCTGGGCCCACCAGCTCTCTTGGTGGAGGACACCAAAGAAGCTCACTTACATCTGCAGGTATCCAGCAGGAAGAAAAGGAGGTGGACCTCAGAGTCCACTGGGGGAGGGGTCCTGGTTGGGAACAAGGACAAATCTGTGACAAGGAAAACAAGATATGGGGAGGGGTCTGTGCTGCCCAAAGGTGAGGCGTTGCAGCGTCTGTCCCTTCTGGAGGGACAGCGCTGGGCTTGTTCTCTCATTCTTCACCCCTAGCTGCAGAGCTGTAGAGAGGACTCAGATGGAATGACCTGGAACTGGGGACAATGCTCCGGTACCAACCCTGCAGCAGTCAGGATGCCCTGCAGCAGAGTGGGGCAGGGATGGGCACCGTGGTCCAAGAACCATGACCTTGAGCCCCTGCGTGGGGTGCGCTCGAAGCCACCACTCTGGGCCTCTCAGGGCTGGGAGCCAATGTTTCATCTTCAGTTTGAGCAATTTTGGGTCACTTTTTTTCTACATCAGGGAAGCAAACCTCTTAGGAGTATTTTGAAGTAAGACCTTCGCGGCAGCAATTAGACTTCATGCAATCGCAGCTGTGTAGAAACAGAAATCCAAAGAGAACCTAGAAGATGCTGGGCAAGTCCCTAGCATCCCTCGGGTTGGGGGAAGTGCTGATAGAGATCCTGGAAAGGTCTGACTGGAGAGGCAGAGACGGCAGGGACAGGGTTGTGTCAGCTTTGCAGTTGTGTCAGTTTGCAACAAGGGGTGCCAGTGGCCTGGGGTGCTATGGGGGCAGGGAGGAGCAAGAACCAGCTGCAGCATGAGGAGGACCCCCACAGCCAATGTCCCTCTGATCTCTGTGAGGCTGCTGCTGCCTCTCCACCTTCTGAAGCTCAAACAGCTTCTCCATGGGTCAAGTCTACCCCCAAGCTGATGAAGAAGATGATTCCAGACAGACTGCAAGGGCTGTGGGGACTCTGGGTGCAGGAGACACTTCAGGGCTCCTGTGACTCACAGCACCATACTTTCTGAAGGGTGAGGTCCCCTGTTGCTCCAGGCTGACCTTTGGTGGTTCTGCACTCCCCAGACTTCTCTTCCCACAGACACCTTCCCTATGAGAAATTTCCAGGAGCAGGCCTCTTGCAGGGCGCTTCATTCCATGGGCACCATCAGTGAGCAGTCTCAAGACTGGGGAAGCAAATAGTGGGGCCCCCATAACCCTACCTGACATCCCCAACCCTCAACCTAAACCACCCTCACTCCGGCCGTACCTGCCTAGGTGCAGAAGGTTAGGGCTTGATGAGTCAATCCTGGAATGAGACCAGAGCCCTCCTTCATCAGCTGGTTTTGAGTGTGACATACAACATCCCATCACAGGTCTACTTGGTCCCTGCCAGCACAACAGGGAGTTGGCTGGATTCTAGAGCTGCTGACCCCTACAGTATGGAGGTTGGTGCTTCAATATGTCTGAGTTCCAGGACAGCTGCAGGCTCCAGCCTGCAATTCAGGTCCTCAGCTGGGAGGGCCAGAGCCCTGTGTAAGCTCAAGTAGCCTGAGCCTGCAAGAAGTCTACTGCCCACCACCCCATAGCAAAACCCCACCATGAGGAAGGTCAAGCTTCTCTCTACCACTGAAGCACAATGCCACAGGCCTGAGGTGTCACTCTGATGGCTTGGTACAGTGACCTGACTTCTGTCAGAGGAAATAATTGGGGGGGGGTAATTGCAATCACTATGTATCACAAAAATATACAAAATTAGGCTGACACTTATTGCAAGGGGAACCTGTTGTAAAACTACTGCACTAATGGATACTGACCTCCACTCCAAATGCAAGGAAAGGTGGGGGGGGGGGTTGTGGTCAGGGGTTGTGAGGAGAACAATTAAAATCAGAACATGGAATTTGTAATATTATTTTATGATGGTCACCCAGAGTTAACACAGGAAAATGCAGGAAATCTACCCACAACACCAAAGACATAGAATATTCAACCAAAGGCCTGAATGCCACAGCAACGTCCTGTATGAGTCCAGATGCAAACCCAGAGCTCATGACAATGCCTCCCATGAGTCCGACTGGAGGTCTAGAGCCCATGACAAGAACTCAAGCCAGTGTCTTTTAAGGATCCCATGCCAGGAAGGCCCAAAGGTCAGCGGTGGAAGCTAGAAAGTCTATGCCAGTGGGTGAAGGAGCTGCCCTGGTAGGTTGAGGGTTCTATGCTGGAGCCAAGAACTTACAACAAAAAGCAGGGCTGTCCTGAAAAGCACCACAGCCATCCTCAGCGACACGGAGGCCCCAAGCACCTCCGACCATAAGCACAGTCTACACACCGGGAAGCCAGCATGATGAGTTCATCCTGGAGACAAAGTAGCACATGTCTTTCCCTCCGGAGCCAGGAAGAAATGCTTGATGTGAGGACCAGAGCTTCTCCAGGAGAATCAACGGCTAAACAGCAACAGATAGGAGAATCCACAATGCCTCACTCATCTTCTCCATGTCTCTATTTACGCTGGCAACTTTCCTCAGGTAGAACATCTGTGCTCAGCACCCTGCTGATTTAATTCAGCTGGCGTTAAGTTGACCACTGGTTTTTAATCCATAACAGGAGTTATGGCCAAGAAGCAGTAAGTCGGGGATCTAGAAAATCACTGAACTGTCAGGAGGAAGGGGGACGCTTGTTAAACTGACTCAGCAGAACTCTTGGTGAAGGCAGGCCATGGTGATCTGATAGGATACGGGTATGAGGGAACGAGGGCAGGGTGTGAGGAACTTAATCAGATATGAAAAGTGGCCACATTCCACGAGTGGAGATGATTAGCCTGACTAAATTTCAGTCAGTGAGGATCTCAATATATCTAATATGCTTGAGACCCCAAACGTTGGTCTTGATATAACCCATCACCCCTTTTTATTACTATTAGTCTTTTTATGTACTAGTACTAAGCATTGAACACAGGACCTTCGCAAAGCTACATTCCCAGCCTTTCTTTTCTCTTTTTAAACCTGTAATAGGAAATAGCTAACTTGCCCAGTCTGAGATTGAACTTGTGATCCTCCTGCCTGTCTCCCAGAATGCTGGGATTATGGTGGTGTGTGCGCCACCACGCCAGGCTCAGGACTCCACTTGGAATTAAAAGGAAAGCAAGCTGTTCCTGTGAGCCTACCAGCATTAGGGCTGAGAATCAAACATCTCCCCCTACCAGCAATTGGGACCGAGTTCTGGGCATATCTTGAGAGGATGACCATATGCAATATAGCAAATATAGGAGATTTCCTTCTATGTTCTGTTTGAAGGCAAAGGTTATTTTCACTGTTACGTTTTGTAATGATTATTATGCTCTATTCAATATTCTCCTTCAACTGGTTTTACAATGTTCTGTTTTTGGTTTGATTTCGCTATACCTAGTTGACTGGACAACTATTGTGAAGATAATAAAATATACTATAGACCTATTACTACCATCCCAGTTTCCTGCTTTGAACACATCCCAGTGTTCCAATGTCACTACATTGTCTCAACTGGCTTTGTTTTATCTTGTTCTGTTGCGTTTTTACTATATTATAAATAAAAAATGTAAATATAAATAAATAAATAAATAAATAAAAGGAAACCAGGCTGGGCGTGGTAGCTCACGCCTGTAATCCCAGCACTCCGGAGGCTGAAGCAGGAGGATCGTTGCGAGTTTGAGACCAGCCTAGGTTACAAGGTGAGCTCACGGCCAGCCGGAACTGCATAGTGAGACCCTGTCTCAAAAAGACAAAAAAAAAAAAAAAAAAAAAAAAAAAAAAAAAAAAAACCAATAAATAAAAAGAAGCCAAGGCTTTCCGGAACAAACGGGTTTGAGATTTGCCTGGGCCTAAGATACGGAACAAGGGTGCTATGACAGCTCCGAGCACATGGGGCTGGGGGAATAAAGACCAGCACCCAGGTACTGTCACCGAAATCCCGATAAGCTATCACCAAACTCCCCAGATACAGGGGAGAGGCGGGGAGACCGCACTGCTGGCAACAGCCCTTTCGGCACAGAACCAGAACGGATTTCGATTTTTGCGGCCTCCTGCCAGCGTCCCAAGTCTTTGAGGAATCCTGGCACAGCCCTGGACAGACCTCAAGAGCTCAAGTCGCTGTAATTCAAAACCGCGAGGACCCACGCCGCCACGCCAGCCAGTGCCCGGAGCCACCCGGCAATACTACCGCCCCGGACAGTTGGTCGCTTCGGACTGCATCATCACAAACGGCCCGCGCTTGCGCAGTACCTACATGGGGGGGGCCCCCGAGGGGACGACGGGAAAGAGGGGCGGGCCCACGGGGGTCTGCGGAAGCCCCCCACGGCCCCACTGCGCCCGCGCGGCCCCGCCCACTCTCCAGACAGCCAATGGACTCGCGGGACCCGCCCCTGGAGACACAGGCCAGATCCCTGGAGACGTTCGGCTGCGGACCTGCCATCTGAGAAGACCAGATACCCAGGGACCAAGGGCCTAGGTCAGGGCCTGGGTTCCGCGCGCAGCCGTCATGAAGCTGACGCGGAAGATGGTCTTGTCCCGGGCCAAGGCCTCGGAGCTGCACAGCGTGCGGAAGCTCAACTGCTGGTGAGAACTGGGCCCGCGGTACTGCGTGGAGCGGGAAGGGCCGGCCACACTCCACTGGCTGTGTGACCCAGCCCACCTGCCGCCCCCCAGCAGCCCGTGAGTGGGTCGAGCCTGCTGGCCCGCAGCCTAGGGGAGGGGTCGCACGAGCCCAGGTGACCAGGGGCAGAGGTCACGCCCCCTCCTGGGGATGTGCAGGCTCTGCCTTCGCCTGACAGAAGTGCCCTGCGGAGGGCTATCAGGCTTTAGATGGCCTTTTGCAAGCCCCTCTGTGATCGTCTGGCATTTGAAGTTGCCATTGGTCTTTGGCGTCAGGCCTGCCCATAAGACAGGAGTGCAAGGGGATCATCGCCATTTCTAGAGGAACAGAACATTGAGACTATAAAGCGCTTTGGTCACTAGGTGCCCAAGGATGCTGTGCCCAGATGACCCTGTTTGGGGGCGACCACAAGAGACTGGTCCTGTAGCATCAACACAGACTCACAAGCAGGTGGCTGGGTCTTGTGGGGCCAAGGAGGACCACAGCTGCCAGAGGAGGTGTTCTGCAGGTGAAAGGGGTGTAGGTGTGTCTGGGGGTTCGGTGGGCATGAACCCCTGCCTCTGGGGCACCCATATAGTGCTGGAGGGAGTAAGCCCAGCCCTGTTCATTAAAAAGCCTTTCTGTCTGCCTGGGCGCATCTGGTGCCTTGGCCGTAGTTTCCTTCTGTCCCTGGTCCAAATAATGCCTTTCTTTGTTGTGTACAGATAGTTAGGGCTTTCTCTGAGCCCAGAGAAACAACAAGCCCATTTTAGGGCTTTAAAGTTGGCTTCATAAGTTGCATGTTGGCCCCATATGAACACTCCCTTGTTTTTGTCAGTGAGGGAAATGGACCTTCTGGTATTTAACCATCGGAAGAATGAGTGTATCTTTTCATGTCCTGCAAATGGGGCAACCCCTGCTCTTCCTTAGTCTGAAAAGCATCCCTGAACACCATACATATAATTTATTTTGTTGAAAATCAACCCAATAGAGACTGGGAACATAGCTCAGGAGGCATAAACACCTGTCTGGCAAGCGAAAGGTCCCAAGTTCAATCCCTGGGATTAAAAAAAAAAGTCAACTTTTTTGGGGTTTTCTAGTTGCCTGGGCAAACTTTCTTTTTTACTCTGTAATTGAAATCATACAGTGTCAGGTTTGTAAGCATTCGTCATTAGTTCAGGGGATCTGTGATATTTTTTAGCCAGCTCTAAAGAGATTAAAATACAAATGTCTTTTCTTTCCTCAGGGGCAGCCGTCTCACAGATGTAAGTATCACCTTGATTATCTCCACATGGCTCTTGCCCCTAAAGCTGTGTCTTCTTTCACAAGAGAGTTGTTGACATGGCCACTGGTTCTGTCCTGTGTTGCCTGATGTTCCTGCTCTGAGGAGGGGCACAGAGTCAAAGCTGTGCCCTGGGGAAGAGTCTCAGAGCAGATGCAGTGGTCATCAGACACTCTTTTTGGCCTCTTCTTGGTCAGCATCAGCTTCAGACCTCCACTGTCCCCCACCCCATGCAGTAGAAGGCTGAGTATGAGGGACTTAGGTCCAGGAGTTTGTGAAGGCCCAGACATGCAGTGCCTGGCACAGGACCCAAGTACCTCCCACCCTATTCTGTGGAATCAGCAGGGCTGATGTGGGCTAAGCCCTGGTCTCAAGCCTGTCTCCCTTGACCTCGCTCTGTGGGCCTCTGACCCAGCATAGGGCACTTTGAGGTCCATGACCTGACGTCTCTGGGGGTCTCTGCAGTGAGAAATGCTCCCTGCAGCTGGCAGCATCTGTAAAAGATTCAAAGAGTGGGCGAGGGCACCAGTGAGCCATGCTGCTTACAGTGGGCAAGGTTTGGGCTGCATGGAACAGCATGAGCCTGGGCCTGCATGGCCTATAGGACCCTTCTTTCTTCCCTCCCCAGATCTCCATATGCCGGGAGATGCCCAGCCTGGAGGTGATCACGCTCAGGTACCTGACTCCCGCATCACTGGAGCTGGAGACTGCTTAGTCCCTCCCATGGGACTGAGTGACAGGAGACAAACTGGAAGCTCTGTGAGCCTCCCAGCAACTCCCTCCCCTGCCTGCCCCTAGCAGGTTGCCCTACCTAGCCACAGCCTTGACACTGCAGAAGTCACCTGTGTGCTTGCAGCAGGAGCTGGGGCTCCTACTGATAAGCCATGGGCTGGCCTGCCTGCCTCTCACTGTGGCCACCTCTGACCCCTGGACTCCAGGTTCTGTCACTCTGGGAACTCACCAGTTCCTTTGTATCACAGGGCTTGTCACTGTTTGGCATGTCAGCAGTTGGGGAACACTCTAGGGGAAGAGCTCCTCATGCCCTGAATTCCCTCCTGCCCAACCTGTACCCAGGGTCCCCGCCACCTGCAGGTGTGGGCTGTGTGTTCCAGGGTCCACATGCCACTGGCGTCCCTTCCAGCTGTGCCCCACTCTAGAGTGGCCTGGCAAGAAAGAGTGCTTGTTGGAGAGCAGGGTGCTGGCCACCTTGAGCCGAGGGCCTGTGTATCTGGTGTCCATCTGTGGTGGGGTGGACACCACATGTGTTTCTCTCTGTGGTTGCTCTTGTACCTAGAAAACGAAACCAAGCCCCTGCCTCCCTTCTTCTAGGCATGGGTTTGGAAGGTCAGCACTCAGGTCTTTGTGGTGTTTTCCGGGGAGTTCTAAGGTGCAGTGTCCACCTGCGGGCATCAGTGCAGTATGAGGCTGTGGGAGCACACGTGCCTCAGGCCGAGAGGCTCACTCCTAGGACTGGAGTCTTCTCTGACCTTGACTGTTATATCTCTGACCTTGGCCTATGTCTGAGGAGCAGGCAGATCCCGCAGGGCTCCCCAGCCCCAGGTTCTATAGCTGCCCCGCCTACCTCTGAGCCCTGCAGGAGTCAAATGGGTCACTAACAGTGCCATCCCACAGCGTCAACAGCGTCTCCACCCTGGAGCCTATGAGCAGCTGCCGCCGCCTGAGCGAACTATACCTGAGGAGGAACCGCATCCCCAGCCTGGACGAGCTCTTCTACCTGAAGGGCCTGCCGCACCTCAGGGTGCTATGGCTGGCGGAGAACCCGTGCTGTGGCCCCAGCCCACACCTCTACCGCATGACGGTGCTTCGCAATCTGCCGCACCTGCAGAAGCTGGACAACCAGGGTGGGTGTCCACGGCCCTCCGCAGTGCCAGTGCAGAGCTGCCCGGGCACAACAGACCCCCAGGTCCCATCCTCCCTCTGCCTGAGGGGTGGCATCCACCAGGCACCATGTGAGGATGCACTTCTCTGACTGGGCTGCTTCCTGGAGACCAGCTGTGCAGGTGGCTCCATAGCCCCACACCATTCGGTGCCCTCCTGCCCTCCTGTCGGGGTCCAGGGCTGCTCGCTCACTGCCCAGGGCTGCCAGGCTGCAGCCCACCCACCTCTGCTCAGCCTGGTCCCGGCTCCTGCATGCATAGGATGAAGGGTGGGCAGAAGCCAGGGCCACAGCATGCAGCTGTGCAAGCTGAGCCCCTCTTACAGCCTCGCTTCTTCCACCCTTCCCCCAAGCGGTGACTGAAGAGGAGCTGACCCGTGCGCTGATGGAGGGAGACGAAATCACAGCTGCTCCCGGCAGGGAGGGCGCAAGCCAGGAGCATCAGGAGCCACCTGACAACCTGAGCACCCTGGGCTCCGACACTGAGCCTGGCCAGGATACGCTGAGCTGCATGGAGGAGGAGGCAGAGTGAGCTAGGAGCCGCGCCCACGCCGGGGCCCAGACAGGGCTGCTGGAGTTCCCTGACCACTCCTCCGCCCCCCACCCTCCAGGGGACTGCAGATGCAGGACAAGCTCCTCAGGGGTGGGGTGTGGCCGAGGCACTACCCTGGATACCTGTTGCTGTCCTAACACAGAGGGAAGGGCGTGGATGCTTTAGTGCAACCCAGGCTGAGTGTCCATGGCCCCTGTTTGGTGGGGGCATTGGATGTGACCCTGTAGTGGCAGCTGCAGGCTGGCACTAGTGCACTGATCCCCCGTAAGTTAGGTGCCTGCTCTGAGGCCCCGGATGAATGGGTCACAGTCGGGAGACGGGCACGTGGAGGGTGCCCCAGGGGTTGAAGCAGCGTGAGCCCGGTGCCACATGGAAGTCCCCACAGTGGGTTCAGCCTCCCCCATGTCCTGCTGGGTACTGACTTAGTGCCCATAGCCCTCACGCACCTGCATGGCATCCCTCTCACCAGCTGTGTCCAGGGCCACCTCAGCCTGAAGAACCCAGACAGGGACCAACGGTTTCCTTCGTTCCCACAGAGCAATACCGTGAACAGCCACAAGAACAGGGTGAGTGACACCAGTCGTCATGCCAAGCTCCCCGCTGCTCCTGCCCAGCACTTGGACACTGGGTGAGCCCAGCCAAGTTCCCCAGGCCCCCCATGGCTGGCTTCAGTGCCACCACAGCTGTCCCCGATGCTGGCAGCTTCCAGCACGCCTTGGATGGCTGCACGACTGGCTTGGAGTTGGCAGAGCCCCACTGCTTGCAGACAAACTGCTGGATCCAGGTGGCTAGGTGCCCTGGGGGCAGAACACCCAGGGTTTCTGACTGGTGGCTGCTGAAAAAGGTTGAATGGACCCCTCAATGACAGCCCAAGGTCCGTGCCTTTCCCGCTCCTCCCTGCGTCCCCACTTGGCACCCATGGCATCCGGCTGTCCTGCAGCCCCTTACCCTCTACCCCACCCTCACCTGGAGAAGAGAAGCTGTTTCTCCCAAGGGTATCTTGGGTGTCCTCTGCGGCCGTGAGCTTGTGGGAGCAGAGCTCACCGGCTGCTGACTCCAGGCCATGAGGGAAATGGCGCTGCCGAGGACCCTGTCTATGCAGGGGCCCGATGGCTCCAGCACCTCCTCTCTGTGCCTGTGTCTGCCTTGTGTGGGCACATGGGCCCTTGGTGCCAAGCAGGGTCAGGTAAAGGGGCGGCCAGGGCTCCCTGTCCTTCTGGTGACCCTTAGCATGTGAGCACCTGTGGGAAGGCAGGAAGCCAGAGCCCGAGCCCCATCCTACAGAACGAGCTTTTGTCTGGAGGGCCTCCCCAGCAGTGGTAGATGCGGCCACACATGTGCCTACATGGGCTGCGGTGTGGCATGGCCTCTGGCCTGTTTGAATGGAGAGGGAGAGGGAACGAGTCACCTCCCCTAGCCCCACGGTGTCACTATAGGTGCAGGCTTGCCCCCTGCAGCCTCCCTCTGCTGCTGGCACCACAGGCACTGCCAGGATACAGGGGCCTCAGAGCCCCAAAGACGTGCAGGGCCTTGGGTGGGTCGGTGCATGTTGGTTACCTCCCAGTGTGGGCCTACTACTGAGCCACAGGGCACGGTCCTTCCCCAGCAGTCCATGTGGCCTTTCATATGTGAACATATATAAGCTGTCCATGTGGCCCCTCATCTCCTGGCACAGGGATGCAGGCAGAGCCACGGGAGTAGACCACACTGGGCAGTCCAGGGCCAGTGGCCCATGTGGCTCCATCTCCCTGCCTGAAGAGGTCAGTGCTGCCAGGTTTGCACTCTGACCCTCCTCATGCTGGTCATCTCTTCCCTGCCCCCAGAACGTGCTGACGGCTGTGCTGCTGCTGCTGCGGGAGCTGGACACAGAGGGCCTGGAGGCCGTGCAGCACGCTGTGGGCAGCCAGCTACAGGTCCTGCACAGGCTGGAGCTGCAGGAGGACACAGCGTGACAGGGGCCGGCATGCCCTGCCGCAGGAGCCTACCCATACCACAGAGCCTGGCCCACACCAGACAAGGCAGAGCAGTCCTGTCCCAGGGCTGTGGAGATGCCCACCCATACTGGGCCATCCCAGACTAGACCGTAGAGGCCATGGGAATCTGGGCTCTCTACTGAAACCATGGCCACATTCAGGAACTTTGGCTCCTTCCCAGCAGGCCTGGTCAGGGTTGCACTTCTGTGTCCTTTTTCTGTGCTCTGAGGAGCCTCGCAGTGGGGGACCCGTGCTGAGCCTGTGTGAGGCCCGCAGCGCCCGTGCCCCCCAGTCTGTGTCCACAGGAAGGGCGGACTTGCCAGGAAGCTGGGAGCTGGGGGTAAGGCTGCAGCCCAGTGAGGGACCTCCTGCCAGTGCACAGTGACTGATGGGGACGGGGCGCACGTGCCTTCTGCCACTTTCTCTGGGTCAGGGCCATCTGTGACAGCCACACCCACACCGCCGACAGCACATTGGCTCAAGGGACTGCTACGCAAGCTGATGAGCCAGCTGCTTGAGGCTCAGCAGAGCCCTCTGTGCACTGGACTGGGGCACAAGATGGGGACTGGTGACTGTCAAGGTCCCCTTGCTTACGCTTCAGGGTAAGTGTGACCTCAGCGTGGAAAGCAAGGGGTCACAAGATGGGACACCTCAGGCGGATGGCCCCAGCCCTGTCTGCTTCCCCTGGTCACAAGTGAATAAAGCCCTGTCTGTTGGACAGGTGGGGTGATTTTAACTCCAGAACACCCGGCCTGAAGGCAGCCACCGGCATCCTGTGTTCTGGGTCCTGAGCCCAGGGCACTGGCAGGAGGCCTGGAGCTTCCTCACTACGGAAAGAGCGCATGCTCGGCACAGTGTGGCAGGAGCAGATCATGTCCTCAGCCTCCTCACCCAGAGCTGCTCCTGGGAGGAGACGGTGCCCTGTGTCCCTGGCATTATCCAGGAAACTCATAGTCCTGAGCTCAACAGCTGTGGTGGCACAAGCAGGTTCAGACCCTAAGCCTGGCAGAAGCCGGGGATTTCTACCCCCAAAACAGGATCCCAGCCCTAATGCATGGCACACAGGAGGAACCAGGACAATGTGAAAATCAGGGTGACAGTCTGTGGCAAGGACACCTGACCCCACCTATGGGTCCTCCTGGGCCCCTGCAGGGCCCAGGGCTGACGACAGAAGCCCTTCTGTGTGGGCACATGTGCCTGGGCAAGGGTGAATGGCTAGCACTGCCATATCCCACACTGGGTAGTTTTCAAAGACTGGTGAGCGTCTCCTGCCCGACTGAGGAGGGAGCCCTGGCCCTTTGCTCCTTGTCTGAAGGTGGCCTCTGTGGGCATACTCATGGTGGCCCCAGCAGAGACTCAGGCCCAGTCAGTGAAGCTAAGGGAAAGGCCAGGGGCATCACCTGGGAGACATGGACCCTTTGAGGTGCCGGGGGCGGGGGGGGGGGGCCAGGCTCCAGGACCCTCTCCAGAGCACCTGGGAACCCAGGTTTCTAAGGGCTGCAGCCAGGCGGGAACCATTGGCCTTGTGGAGCTGCCAAACTCCCACCTGGCTAGAGGCACGGAGTGGCCCGCAGGGCAGTCATCGTGGTATCTCCCTTCAACATCACCATCCTCAAACTTGCTACCTGCTGAATGGGGTCACCACGTATTCATCTTGCCATGATCCCCAGAATCTCCAGCCAGGCCTGGCGCCAGGTATCCTTGAAAAGTCCCTCTACCTTCCTCTTCCCAAGGGAAAGGTGGCCCCAGCACAGGGCAGCAGCCTCGAAGACACAGCCCCCAGCAGATGCTGTCCCCTCTGGAGACAGCTGGGCCAGGCGAAGGGACAGACCTGTGATCTCACCCACTGCCAGCATTGTGGCAGCAGGGTGGTTTCTTTCTCCCTGTCCCCAGGACCCTGTGGTGGCTGTCCTGGTGGGCAGAGTCTAGCTGGAGTCATCATGCCCAGTGAAGGAATGTCCCCTGGCTGCCGCTGGCCCAGGAGACTCCCATGTCTTGCACATAGGGCCCCTGGGAGCTCGAGAGGGGTTCAGGTGTCTCCAGTTCGCTAATAAGTCACAAGCCCATCTCTGGGTAGTAGGTGACAGCGACTCTGCAGGCATAGCCAAGCCCTTTCATCCCTTGTTGATGCAGAATTAGATGACGACAGACTCCCCAGGGAGCCTGCCACAACCACTCTGCTCCAAGCTTTAGTCTCCTGACCACTTTGAGGTTTGCTGGGGGCTCTCAGGTCCCCAAAGTTGCCAGAAACATCAATGCTCCTCACGCCTGACATACATGGTCTTCAGGCAGTGAGACTCAAAATCCCCTGGCTGCCTCCCCACAAGCTGCAGCTCCTGTGTGGGCTCCCTGCATGCCCCAAGGAGCAGCAGCTCCAGGGGGCTGCCAAGAAGCCCTGGCTCCCCCTCAGCTGGGGGAAGAGTGGCCCCCATCCCTCTCCTTACTTGTAGACAGCACCACGCAGCAACGGCTGGTGTGTGCTTGCCCTGGGCGCTCCACGTCATCCTGGCAGCCAGGGCAAAGCACAGAGCAGGATACACCTTGCAGGCTGGCGTGGTAGGCACCATGGTCCTGGAGCTTCTGGCCCAGCATGGGGACATGTGGCTTCATAGAGGGGGTGGCCCCTTCCCCCATGTCCTGGCCAGGTCTGCAAGGCTCAGGCACTGGCCACTGCACACTTGGGTCTCCAGACCCCAGGATGAGCCAGGGAACGTCCTGCCCAGGTGTGTGTTGGACCAGAGACTTCAGACCCCCAGGCACCCACCACAAGAGGCCAGCCTGGGGGAGACCCCTGCCCAGGCCACGTGTGGCCTGCAGGTCTCATGAAGTTAACGGCATGTCCAGGGCCCAGGCAGCACTGAGGGTGGGGAGCAGCACCTTATGCTGGGGGATCTACCACCACCGGGAGGTGAGATGTAGAACACAGCATGCACAACCTAAGGGACCCAGTGCCGACCTGGCGCAGTGGGCATGTGAGCTGCTGCCTCAGAACTGCCCGGCGGATGCAGGGCCAGCCCTGCCTGCTACCCTGTTGTCCCTGCTCACCATGGCATCCAGCTCTGTGCAGCTCACTCAGAGCAAGACCCCAGCACAGGCCAAGTCCCACTGACAAGCAGTCGACGTGGGGGCACTGCAGGCCACACTGCCCTCCCACTTCGGGCTCTCCCCACCCCAGGCAGGGCTGGGAAGGGCTCAGTCACCCCAGTGATCCTGGAGACAACGGCAGGTGTGGCCTGAGTCCAGGCTGGGGGCGGAGTTTCCCATGACCCCAGGCTTCATCCACATGGTGCCCTCCATGCCCCTTACTGGTCCTCAGCTGTGCTTCTCGAGGCCAGCGGACTCCACAGGCAACTTTATTTCTAGAGAAGGTGGCAGTGCCGCCCGGCCACTGTGGTGCCAGAGGTCAGTGTGGTCCTCAGGAAACGCAGGTCCAGGGACCCGGAGGCGGGGCCCAGCATGGGGGAGGGTGGGCCAGTGCTGGTTCTGGGGCAGCTTGGAAGGGGGACCGGCGTGTGGCAGGACCAAGCCCACCCAGCGCAGGCCACAAGATTCCCACAGGTGCCGGAGGGGCAGGCAGCCCTCAGAAGCCAGTGTCCAGGCTAAGCGTGCGGCGCGTGACGTGCTCCAGCTCCCCCGACACATAGTCGGCCATGCTGATGTGATAGTGTGCCAGCATCTTCAGCATCAGCCGCAGGTTCAGCCACCACTGCTCCCGTGGCATTCGGTGCCTGTGCAGGCAGTGGGGGCGGGTCTGGGCTCTGGACAGTTCCCTCAGCTGAACCTCCCACCCACCCATGTCCCCCCTCATGCCCAGCGTCAGTGAAGTCGCGGTGTCTGAGGCCCCACCCTTGGGGGCAGGTGGGTCCCTCTTCCCTGAGGCCCTGCTAACCCCCTCCCCAGGCCATGCTGTGTACTAGGAAACCTGGCCATGACTACTACTACCCACAACCTCATGGGGACTCAGGTCCCCAGGGTCTACCCCACCACACAGTACCATGAGAGGGACTCACTCGAAATCTGTGTCCTCCTTGAGCTCTGTGACAGGGCTGAAGGCCACCACCTTCTTCCGCAGGCCAATCACGCAGGCCGAGTCCGGGGCATTAGCAAACACCCGCCCTGTAGACAGACACATGGTGGCCGAGGCCAGGGCCCCTAGGCCCCTGAAGGGCAAGGTCCAGCTTGGGGGCCCCACCTACCCTTGCGGTAGACAGCCTGCAGCTTGTCTGACATCCAAAGCATGGCCTTCACCCCCAGCTTGGTCCCATAGTTCCGATCAAAGGGTGTGGGCGCTCCACCCTGAAACAGAGGAACCATCCTACAGCTGGCTGTACCCATGTCCTACCTCCCATGGCCTGGGACCCTCAGTCCACCTTTGAGGTTACCCAGCTACACAAGAAGTGGCCCCCAGGCCTCAGGGCCAACTGGCAGGGCCCCACATTGGCCTGCGGAGGGCCACTGTGAGGCTGGGGGACAGGTGAGGGGCAGGGTGGAGTGGCCCTGGGAGGTTATGGCACCTCGTGAAGAGGGACAGCCCAGCCTGGGCCTCAGGATGTTTTTTTGGTGTGTTTGTTTTGTTTTTATTGGTACCAGGGATCGAACTCACGACTGCCTGCTTGCAAGGCAGGTGCTTATGCCACTGAGCTAAATCCCCAGCCCCATGGGCCTCAGGATGTAAGCTAAAGTCTCAGCGCAGTGACCACCAAGGGCCTGGCCTGCTCGGAAGGAGTGGGGGGCATAGGATCATCACAGGGAGCAGGAGACACCCAAGCAGAGTGCCCAGGACGCTGCACACAGTGTGTGCAGTGAGCGCCATCCCTCAGGCCACACCTGCTGCAGGTGGCCCAGCACGTTGGTCCTGCAGTCGAAGACGCCCTTGCCCTCCGACGAGTACAGGTTGTACAGGAACTCCGTGGTGTAGTGCTCATGACACTTCTCGTTCCTGGGGGCCAGAGGGACTGGTCAGGCCCTGCCCCGAGTGCCCTCACCCCACGCCCTGGCTCCACTGACCCCGGCCCTCACCGCAGCACCAGGCCCCTCTGGATGTCCGTCTTCATCTTCTCCGTCATGTGCTCCACATTGGCCTGTAGGACTTGGGGTGAGCGGAGGAGGTGCAAGGCAGGCCAGGGGCCACCCTCCATGAAAGATGGGGTGCGTAGGGGTCCCCCCTGTAAGCTGCTGCCCGTGGGTCAGAAGGCCCAGCCGAGACACCGCACCTCGAGGTCATGAATGTTGAAAGGGTCCTCGAAGACATAAGCAGCATCGGCGCCCACAGCAATGCCGGTCACAGTGGCCAGGTAGCCGCAGTAGCCCCCCATGGTCTCCACAATGAATACACGGCGCTTGGTGCCCGAGGCTGACTGCTTGATGCGGTCGCAGCTCTGGAGACCACAGGGATGGTCAGGGGCCGGGGGTGGGCACAGGGCTCTGCCATGGGCCCCAACCGCTCAGCAAGAGGCTGCCTCAAGCCCCACTGCCACCCACCTCCATGGCAGCATTGACCGCCGTGTCTGAGCCCAGGCTGAAGTCGGTGCCCGGCACGTTATTGCTGATGGTGGCAGGGATGACGCACATGACGATGCACAGTTCCTCATAGCGCCCACGCGCCTCCACCAGCTGCAGCACCCCCTCATAAGCCTGCGGGAGAGGCGGCCAGGGCAGGGACCACACCACACCCCGACCATGGCCCTGCTCAGTGCCCAGCAGCCTGGCACCACCCAGGCCACTTTCCAGGGTGGTGGAGTCTCAGGGCCAGAGGAGCCTTGTGCCCTGAGTCCAGCTGCTTCACCACTCTCCTCCCGCCGCTGGTCCCACCACCCCAGCACTTGGGGTCCAAGAAACGGTGAGGCCTTCAGCTCAAACTACAGGCTCCGACCCACAAGAAAAGTTGGCATCCTTGGCCGCCCCCTTCAGCAGCTGAGATGGCTCTTCCCACACAGGGCTTAGGGACAGGACGCCTTGGTGGCCAGAAGGGGGAGCCCTCTCAGAGTCCTGGCCCTGTAGCCCTCACCTCAAATCCGCCAATGACCAGCAGGGCATGGATGTTGTGTGCCCGGAGATTCTCCACGATGGCCTCCATGTGGCCCTTGGGCAGTGTCCTGCAGCCAAAGAAATGTCACTGTAAATGTTCAGACTCCAGAGACACACGTCCCATGTCCCCAGAGCTGAACCAGTCAAGTCCCCTCTGATGCATGCTGAGAGGTGGAGACAGACAAGCCTAGGGCCTGGGTGGCACCCCGGTATCCTCACTGGTCCCGCCTGCTTCTCATGACAATGGTGACAGCCCCTGTAGCCTCTCAGGCTCAGGACGGGCAGCATCCAGCAGCCACTGCAGCTGCCTGTGGCCCAAGCCCACTCCGTGCAGGACCTCAGGCCCATCCTGACCCCCCAGACCCATGACAAAACCCCAGCCACATCAGAGGGCATGGTGACAGTGCCAACAGCTGCCCAGCCCACAAGGAGCCCACTGCTCCTGCAAGGCCAGCATCCCTTTGCACTCGCCTTGCTGCCCTCCGCTGCCCTCCGCCCAGCAGCCAGCAGCTCACCTCTTGGTGCCCAACATGGAGCCACCACGCCCTAGCCAGCCGGCCACATCATGCCAACCCACTTCCTGCACCTGAAAGGAGAGACACAGCATGGTAAGACAGGCCAGAGGTCACCCGTCCCAACTCAAGCCAGGGACAGAGCCCAGTGGGGTTGACATCATGCTGCTCCTTGCAATGTCCATGATCAAGGGCGGCGACACCAACCACACCACAGGCAGCGTCCACCGTGCCCGCCCCTCTCACAGTGCACCCACCTGGCCTTTGGCTAGGCCCTCAAAGCCGTCGTGCACCACGTACACCGTGTGGCCCTGGGAGATGCCAGTCCGCACCGCTGAGCGCACGGCAGCGTTCATGCCAGCTGCCGGGGCCCCCACGTTCAGGATGGCCAGGGAGAAGTTGGTCTTCGGGGAGGAAGGTGAGACATGTGTCAGACACAGGCCACACAGGAAGTGGCAAGAGCACAGGTCCTGTGCCAGCCTGGCTACTGTCTCACGCTGGGCACAGCGCATGCCTATCCTAATTCCAGAGGCTCCTGGGGAGGGCCATAGAGACACAGTGCACACCGGCACCCATAGCTGGGTGCCCAGCAAGGTGAGCAGGGACAGTGTCAGAGCTGGGCTCGAGGGTGGCATTGTAGGTGCGGCCACTGCGAAGCCCTCAGAGCCACCTGTCCCAGAGAAGGCGGCAGAGTGGGGCCTGTTCAACGCCAGCCACGAAGAGCAGTGGGGAAGGGCAAAAAGGCAGGAATGAGGGTGGGGAGGACAGACGCAGAACGAGCTAGTGGCTCCTGTGGTGCAGAATACAAATGTGCACTAATATAAATAAAGGAGAACTTCCAAAAAGTAAAAAATAAAACCAAATTAAGAATAAAAAAAATAAAACTCAAATGTCCAAAACACTCCTGCTCAGTATGGAATCAGGATGAAGTCGGGTATCCTCCACCACGTACCGGGAACGGGCATGCCCTAACAGTCAGTACGCCTTGCCCAGGAGCAGGTGCCCTCTATCCATGTTCTGGCACAGCACAGGGGCTACCCTTGCCCTCCTGGAAGCTGCAGGATACTGGAGACAGCTTCTGGGACACCAAGCTGGCACCCACAGCTTCCTTCCCCACGGTCCTGGGAGGCCCTGGACCAGCTGTGTGTGGACAGGGCCTCTACTTGACCCCAGGACACTGGAAACCGGCCTTTTCACCCCAGGTTGTGGAGGGATCCCTTTCTGTTCTCCACTATGAGAGAGCAGCTCATGGAGCCAGGTGACATCACGGCTGCCTTGTCCCTGCAGGCAAGCCCAGGAGGAAAGCTCACTATCGGTACTGACCTCACCTCAGAGTCAGGCATGGCTACTTGGGACTGGGGGGGTCCCAGAGTACAGCAGAATCAAACCTGGGCTCAGCGCTCAGACCCCAGGCAGACGGACAGCGGGCCATGCAGAGCTGCAGAACCAGCACAGCCGGAGCCGGCGCCAGAGCCGCAGCCCAAGCTCACCTTCTCCTTGGAGACCTTCTGGTGGGCGAGGAGCTTGTAAATGTTCCAGTTGTTCTCGAAGCTCCTACAAAGCAAGCAGCACATGCAGCTTCTGCCCTGTAGCACACAGCACGTGGCTCCGCACCCAGCACAGCATGGGGAAGGCACAGTACAGGGCTCAGGGCTGCCTGGCACAGGGCCCAGAAGCACAGCTAGCAGGAAACTGGACACTACAGCTTCCAGTCTCCACAGCCCGGCTGGCAGCCTCGATAGCACATGCGTGGTCGGGCACTCAGCCCGTGGCAGGCTGGCAGCTTTGGCAGCAGTCAGGGAGCTCGGCCAGGAAAGCAGGTCTGTCATGGCCAGGACGCCCCCAAGGCCTGGAGTCCAACACCCACAGGCCCCCCTGACCCTGGCAGGACCACACCCCAGGCTGGCTTAGACTTCCGTGTACTGACCCGGCTGTGCCCTCCTTCCAGCTTGTAGCACTGCACCCTTACCCCTCAGGTCCCCGCCCCGGCCACCCACAGGCCATGTACACTCCACCCCACATCCACCAGCTTCTCACCACAGGGCTACCCCCTCAACTGCTCCTGAGGGGTCCCTGCACCAAACACTGCACGGGCAAGTGCCACCGAGCCACCTTGATACACAGACCCGGTGCCAGACAGACAGCACCCACACCTGCCACGCAGCTGGATGGCCTCCTCAAACCTCCTGTCGTCCATGGCCTTCTGCACATCCTTTGTCTTGAAGAGGGAAGGGAAAGCACAGGGTCTCAGGAGATGGGGTGGGGGTGCCTTCTGGATCCTGGACCCACCCAGTTCTGAACACCTATCCCCCTCAGCAGCCACAATCCCAGGCTGCATAGCATGGACCCCTGGAGTCCAACCAGGCCCCGGGCACCTGAAGCAGCCAGCAGAAGCCAGGTCAGTCAGCTTCCCACCTGCCCTAGCTCTGCACTGCACACAGCCACAGGGCCACCAAACCTGCTGAGCCAGGACCAGTGTCTCCCCATGCAGGACAGCAGCCCTTACCACCCACCTCCTGTTCCAGAGTCCCTGCTCGGTCTCCCTGTCCAGGTTTTGCCACAACTCCACTGTCCCCGTTTCCTTTTTGTCCACCCCCATCCTAACCCTGAATGCCCTGCCCTACAGCCTCCAAGCCACTGCTCCAGGAAGCTGAGTGACCTGGCTCCCCAACTCCTGGACTCCTCAGGAGCACCCCACCTGGGAGTGACTTCCTCCTGCCTCAACCCTGAGACCAAGCCCAAGAGGCCTACCCTCAGGCCAGGGTGTGCCAGGAGAAGCTGCCAAGTAAGAACTCTGCGACCCCATCCCACGCCCGAGGACACCACAAGGAGGTGGCCAGGAGGGCAGGATGATGGGCACCCCGCAATGCCCCAGGAGGGCAGAGCAAGTCAGTACTTACCACCTGCACACACTCCATGAGGGGCAGTCGCACCGACTGGTTCCCTGAGAGGCTGACCACACAGGCAGGCGTGTCAGGCGTGGCCTCCAGCAGCGCCATCACGGCCTCTATGCCCATCTTGCTGCTCTGCAATACGGCGGGACAGCAGCACACTCAGCCCTGTCTTCACCCTGCGCCACACACCCTCAAGCCAAGGCTGCCGGACACAGTGGCACAGTGAAGGCCCTGCCCCACCTCCTCATAGCTCCACACCGGGACCAGGCAGCCTTCCCAGGGTCACCTCCAGCCCCACAGGAAGGACTGGCCCCCACACCACCTGCCAGGTCCTTCACCGACTGCCTGCTGATGTGTGGTAGAGGGCTGGTGAGGAGGCAGAGGCAGGAAGGCCCCAAAACCCCAGGCCGGGTTTCTACAGGGTGAGGGGGCCTCCACCACGTCCTTGAGGACACAGCCAAGGGGTGGCCCCACGCACATCACAAATGCACCCACACCCGCATCCATGTCTGTGTCCACCCCTGCACCCAGCCCGGGGGAGGCCCACCTACCAGGATCCGGTCAAAGGCCGAAGGTGTCCCGCCGCGCTGGACATGGCCCAGCACGGTCACTCGTGTGTCAAAGCCCAACCTCTGGACCACCAGCTGCGAATGGAAGAGTTGGGCTGTGGGACCCTGGGCCTCTCGCCCACCGCGGATCCCGCCCTGTGGTCAGCCACTGCCTGCCTTTGGCTCCTAGGACCGCGGGTGTTCATGCCTGGGCCAGGGGTCCAGGTGAGTGTGCAAGAGTGGGGGTTCCATGTGCATGTGCATGCAGGGGTGCATCTGTGTGTGTGCACGTGTGTAGGCCCATTTCCATGCTGGCAACCCCAGGGGATGAGCAGGATGCGGTCTGACCCCTCGGGGACCCAAGGACAGAAGAATGGGCAGGTGGGTGGCCACAGCGAGAAGTGTGAGGCCCCAGGCGGTGCCATGCTGCAGGGGTGCCCCAGGGGAGGGGCAGAAGCCGCGTGCGCCCAGAGGGAGACTGCAGCAGGGGCTGGGTGCCCGGTCCCTCAGGCCTGCAGCCCTGGCCTCCACACTGGCTGTCACTTGGGACAACACAACGTCCTGTCCCAAGCACACAGGAGGGCAGGAAGCACCCGCCCCTGCGCCTGGCCCCAGGCAGCCGCACTCACGTCCTTCACGTAGCTGGATGAGATGGGCTTCCCGTGGCGGTCGATGGCACCCTCTGCGATGATGATGATGTTCAGACGGGAGCCGCGGCTGCGGGTCTGTCACAGGCACGGGGCTCAGCACCCACCCCAAGCACCTCACAAGGCCACCAGGCGCAAGAGCCTCCAGACCAGGGACACTGCCTGCACCCCACAGGCACAAGGACAAGACCCCCCCACACACACTCTGTGGGACCTGACCAGGACCGAGGTGGAGCTGCAGCCGGGCTCACCAGGGCCACTGCACTTAGGAGGGGCCAGCAGTGGCCAGGCAGGATGGGATTTAAGTGAAGACAAGAGGGGTCAACACCAAGGCCAGGGCGCCTGAGCTTCTGGGGAAAACAGCTGCACAGAGAGCCTGGATTCCCCCAGAGAGCAGGAAAGAACGAGGCCAGGGTCCACACCTGGACCACCTCCCAGCAGGCTTAGCCCTGGACTCAGCAAGACTGAGCTGTCCCCACCAGGGCCTCCTGGCTGGAAGGGCTGGGCGGCTCCCCCAGGTAATGCATGGCCTCACCCTGGGCTCCAACTCGCCTGTCCTGGCTTTCTGGGGACAATTCCAGGAGCCTTGACCCTAGCCATAGGCAGGAGAGGGAGTGAAGCTGCCACCTCCTTATGGGGGCAGGGACTCTGCCAGACTCAGACCTGCCCTCTGTTCCCAGGTTGGCCACTGGGGGCCCCACCCATCCCTCAAACACCAAGACCAGGGCTAGAGCCCCTGAGCAGCTAGGCCACCCTACATCAAGGCCTCAAGTGAGGGTGGCAAGGGTGGGCCCATGGCCTTCCAGATGGGTGCTCCACCCCCAGGGTCACCTCAACTCCAAGGAGGCCGCTCCCATCCACACTGGCCATAGCGCCCCAGCTCAGATCCAGCACTGGCCCCACTGTCCTCAGGGTCACAGACCTGGGCCACAGAGCCAGCCCCACTATCCAGGCCCTGAGGGTCCTTGCTGTGTCCCTCATCCTAAGAGATCATTTTCAGTGACCAGGACTCCAGAAAGCCAGTTCACAGTGTTCCCAGCACTCACCCCGGAGCTGAGAGCCCGGCCACCTCCTTGTGCCTCATGTGAGTCCGGATTCAGTGCTATACCCTCCCTGAGGGCTGAGGGCCAAGACAAATGGCCAGAGCCCAGGGACATTCTCAGAGCCATCTAAGGATACCGCCACCAGGGAGCCCACTGGCCACTCACCTCACCCAGCCTCTCACACATGAAGTTCTCCCAGCCATCCTCAGGGGGTGCCTCAGGGATGAACAGCCAGTCGGCACCCGAGGCCAGTGCAGACACCAGTGCCAGGTACCTTAGGGGCAGCAGGGGTACTCGGGTCAGAGGGACTCACCTCTCACCTCTTCTGCCCGGCAGCCCAGGCTCTCATACCTGCTGCGCATGCCAGCACAGCACCTCAGGGTGCCAACCTCCCCACCGCACCCACCCTCGGCCAGGGACCCCTCCTTACCCACAGTGCCGCCCCATCACCTCCAGCACAAATGTCCTCTGGTGGCTGCGGAGAGGGGACAGTTAGAGGGTCAGAGCCAGGGCCCCGGCCACGTAAGCCAGCCTGCCCACCACAGGAGACGGGGCCTGCGCACACCTGGGCACAGAGCAGGAGATGACAGCTCCCACCAGACAGCCTCCACGACGTGCTGAGGTTGCAGGTGACCCAAGAGCCCCCCACCCAAGGGCCGCCCCAACAATGCCAGGCTGAGTGTCCCTGGCCAGGTGGCAGGGGGGAGCAGGACACCAAGCCCCTCTGCTGGCCCTATGTGTCTCCCCTACCCAAGAGACAGAGCTGTACCAACAGCACCTAGGCCACCAGGGTCCACAGCCCCAGAACTATGGTGGTCACCACGGGAGAATGGCCTTGCCCACCTCTGGGCCGTGGTGGTGATGGCATCGATGACCTCCATGATGCGGTGCAGGGCTGAGTCAGTGCCGATGGTCATGTCAGTGCCGCAGAAGTCATTGTCGATGGAGCCCACAAGCCCCGCGATGTTCAGGTGTGAGTAGGTCTGAGCCGTGGTTTCCGAGATCTTGCCTGGATGGGGTCCCAGGGAGATGGGCTAAGGTCCCACAGCCTGGCCGATGGCCACACGGGGCGAGACCTTGGACCTTGCCCCAGTGGTGCTGCCCAGGACTTCTGCCCTGAGGATAGCCTGGATCTCCCCATGATCATCACAGAACTAACAAGGCCACCGGGGTCACTTTCTGGACAGTGATGTGGGACTCTGAGTCCAATGCAACTCGAAATCAATCTGCATTTCTGCTGTGTCATGGTCTAACCCGCACCCAGAACCTCCAGGGAAAGTGTGTCTCCAGCCCACAGGGTTGTACTGACACTGTTTACAGTGCCAGGCATTTGGAGCCATCCAGGGTTTCCCTGGACTCAGGTTCCTCCCACTCGGCTGGAAGACAGGACGCAGCACACCTCAGCCAGTTCAGAGGGGCTGGCCCCTCCCCCCCTCCGGCTGCAGACCCACCTTCCCTCACCAGCTCCTCCAGCAGACCGCCCCACTCGCTGCGGAAGATGTTGGCACCAGTGAGGCTGCCATCGCCGCCGATGACACACAGGTTGGTGATGCCACGCTGCACCAGGTTGTAGGCGGCCGCCCGGCGCCCCTCCCGCGTGGTGAAAGCCTGGCAGCGGGCGCTGCCGATAATAGTGCCACCCTGCGCAGGGGAGACCAGGCCTCTGTTGGGGGGCACCAGAGGGACCAGGGCCAGCACTGACTGCCAGTGAACCTTGCAGGCACTGAGGAAGATGCCCACGGTGGCTCCAGACTCTGCGCAGGCGCAGGAGTCCCACCCGCTGCTGGTCAGCCTTGGCTTTGTGCTCACCAAGGACCCAGCTGCCCAGGACAACTGCGCTACAAAGTCTGCAGCCAGGGTGGCTGCGGGGAAGGCACCTGTCAGGCCAGGCCTGACCCCGCAGCCTCCACCCACAGGTCGTTGGCCAAGTCTTAGGCCTAGACCCCAGAGCCTCCTGAGACCCAGCCACCCCACACCCCAACAACTCAGGCAGCCAGATGACATGGCCATCGGGAGCTGTGTCCATGCACATCCTGGTGTCCGTGCTTGTGTCACGTGTGCATGTGTCTCTGTGTCTACATCCTGTCTCTCTGTACATCCATTCCTGTGTCTCTGGATCTGTAACCATCTGCGCGCATGCAGTTCATGAGTCTGTACATGTGTGCACCTCTGTCTCTGCATGTGCATCTCTGTGTGCATTTCTGTGTCTGTGTATGACACACCTGTGCACATCTGTGTGTCTATATGCAGCCTGTGTCTCTGAGCATCTGTGCAAGTGCAGGTGCGTGTGTACGCGTGTCCTGTCTGTATGTGCTGTCTGTGCCTGTGCATGTGTACCATCTGTGGCTGTGCCACACTCCAGTACTTGCACACGGTGCATGCAAGGCAGCCTTGAGCCTCACCAGCTGGATGATGTTGGAGACGCTGAGCCAGGTGGCCGGCTTGATGTTCTCACCTCCCTCCACGAGGCCCTCATAGCCCTGCAACCAGAGGGACAGGCGTCAGACAAAAGCCCACAGGGGCTGGCACAGTCTCCTGGGAGACAGTTTGGGACCGCAGCCAAAACCAGAAGAATAGAAAGCGGACCAGGGCACCAGCCCCAGGCCTGGCAGGCCAGGGGTCCCAGCAGAGTAATTCACACAGCGGGCAAACACAGTGTGGGTGACAGTCCCACCCTATGCATGTTGTGAGTGTCCCCAGGCTGAGCTCATGACACTGCTGCCAGTTGGGCCAGACAAGACCAGCACCCAGGAGCCCACGGGACCTTCCTCCAACCTCCTGCCCAACTAGACCTGGTCACGTGAACTCAGTTTCTGGGTCCTCATGTAGTATGGCTCCTGCACACCACCCCAGCTGTGCACACACCTCCCCACCACCCACGGGCACACAGGGGGCACAAAGGAGGCCATGAGAACACACACCTGTCCCCGCAGAGACACTGTGCATTCTGGGTGGGAAAGCCCAAGCAGGGGACACGACAGTCCTCAGACACAAACATAGCTCTCAAGGCCCATGCCCCACAGCACTCAGGGCCCGCCCCGTGCCCAGTGAGGCAGCCACACTCAGCGTGGGCAGCACCAGTCTTTCTATCCTGGCACCTGGGCTTGGCCCCTCAGACAGAGCATGCCTGAAGGTCCCATGACAGCTCCCTGCAGGGCCAGCTCCCCAACACAGCAGCACCTGCCTCGAGGACAGGTGTCACCCTCCAGGCCTCACAAGGACACGTGAGCTCCACAGAGATGGCTAGCTGGGCAGGCTGCGTCTGCGTGCAGCCTCAGCCTCCAGAACCCAGGACCTACCTGCCCCCAGTCACACAGCCGTGTCACCCTCCACGCAGCCACCCCCGTCCAGCTGGAGGACAGAGGCAGAGGCACTGCCTGAGGACTGCATGGCACCTGACCAAACCAGCCCAGCCCCACCCTCTGCAAAGCCAGGGCTCAGCTACATGCACCACCATGCAAGGAGCCACAACACACAAGTGACCTGCAGAGCCTTGGGCCCAGCAGGCGGGTGGACCCATGGGAAGGATGTTTATCTCAGCACAGCGTCCACCCTACCCCAGGACCCCTGCCCATCTCTGTCCCCTCACCCTGCACCTTCTTGCCCCTGCCCAGCCTGGAGCAGGCAGCCTCCGCAGTGGTTCCACAGCCAAACTCTCTGCCCAGCTCCCACAGCTCATACCAGGGTGGAGCCTCAGACCCACGGGCCCAGTGCTGTTCTTGGGGAACACAAGCAGCCCCCACAGCCTGAGCCAGGGTGGCCAGGGCTTTCACCCACAAGGCTGCACAGCTCTCTGGCCCTTCTGTGCCCACAGAAAGCAATCAGCAGACCCATTTTTTTTTAATTTCCTTTTGCTTTTTGAGACAGAATCTCACTGTGTAGTCTAGGCTGCCCTTGAACCCACTATGTAGCCCAAGATGGTCTCAAACTCATGGCAATCCTCCTGCCTCAGCCTCCTGAGTGTCGGGATTACAGACTTGCACCACACACCTGTTAAGAAGAACTGAGGGTCCAGGAGGAATCTGCCTAGACAGCAGACTGCAGTGTGCCCAGGAGGAACGAGGGACAAGCCTCACCCAAGTGCTCCTGTGTTTCTCCAGGCCTCCCTGGAGAGCCAAGGGCTGGGCCCGGCCCCGCCATAACCAGGGACCAGGGGAAAGGACAAGGGAGGGGCGCTGCACTGTGCACAGAGAGAGACAAACACAGCCAGAGGCCCAGGAGCCCACAGGCCATGACAGACCCCGGGCTGGGAGGGCACCACAGCCCTCGGCACACAGGGCTGGCCCTCAACCCACCTCCGCCGGGATCAGAACCACGATGGTACCACTGGACCCAGCAGCAGGCCCCTGGGCCAGTCTCACAGAGGCCCTGTGGGGTGACACAGGACACCTGCCCGTCCCCCCAGGCCCCAGGGTGGGTGCTGTCCAGTGAGGCCATGGAGCAGGGCCCACTCTGCCACCCGATCTGCTCTGTGCCCCGCCCAGGACTCTTTCCTGGCCCCCAACCACACCCACCCTGCTGCCCCCAGCCGGCCACCAAGAAGCATCCAGGGTGACCCTGGCCTGCACCACAGAGAAGCCATGGTTCCTACACGGACATGCAGGTCACCCTGTAACAGCCTGCCATGCCAGCCTTACCTCATAGATGAGGAACACCTTGGCGCCCACATATATGCCCATGCGGGTCACAGCCCTCACGGCAGCGTTCATACCTGCGCATAGATGGGGAAGACCATCAGGCCAGCCTCGGGGCGCTGGACACTGCAACCACTGCCCACAGCCCATGGGGCTACATGCCCTGGAACTCAGAAATGCAGGGGCCACCTCACCCCCTGCAGGACTCCCAGCCAAGATGTGAGACAGAAGGCACGCACAGTCCCTTGGGCACGAAGGCCCTGAGGTTCATGCTCGCCTGGGCTGAGATGCAGACATAGGGGCAGCCTGGCCACAGCATTCGGGGGACAGTCCCACCCTGCCCTCTGCTGTGGGCAGTCACCTCCTACCTGCCCTGCGGCCCCAGACCCCTAGGGCTGCGGTCCAGGTTTCCGCTGCTCTGCAGAGGGGCAGCCAGCTGACCTGCCCCAAACCTCCTTCCCCAGACCTGGGCCACGAAAGGTGGTGGCAGCACCCTATCCAAGGGAGGCCGTGGGGGCTGCCATCTGCAGTCCATTACAGCCGGGGTCCAGCCACTCAGGCCCCAGGTCGTTCCACTCCTCCCCCCGCCCCCAGCACCGAACATGGCACCCACACATTCTGGAATCCAGGACGCTGAGCTCCTGAGCCTCTGGGCCCTCTGTGCTGGGATACCCTGCAAGAATTCCAGGTCCCTCAAAGAGTGCATCCTGGTCCCCACAGAGACCCTCAGTGTGTGCCCTCCTCCTTCTGAGGGTCCCTCCTCCTTCCATGGGTCTCAGCTTGGCCTGGGGGCCCAGGGGCATGCTGGGCTCCGGCAGGAAGCACAGGACACATAGGGAACCACAGGAGACAAGGCTGGGGCCACCGTCCGGTCTGGGGTCTCTCTGGCATCCCTGGGCTCCAGATGGCATCCACAGGCTGCTGGGCACAGCCACCTCACCATCTGCCTGGGGGCTTGCAGACCCCAAGAAAGCAGAAGACCTGGGCAAGGCAACGTGTACCCTGCACAACCAGCACGCAAGGGACTTCCAGACTTTGCAAAGCCAGCCCTGTTTGATATCCAAGTAGACACTGAGGCCCAAGCCCAGAGCAAAGGGGCCAGGTGATGTGGACACTGCGTTTCAGGTGGGGACAATGCTGCCAGAAAGATGGCCACTGAGGGGCAGGTGCCCTGGCACCTCCAAGGAGCTGGCTCTTCAGGACCTTTTGAGTTGCCCTTTCATCCGCTTTTCTTCCTAAAAATAAACCCTGGCAGCAGCCCAGCCTGATCGGAAGGGCAGAAGGATAGGGACTGGCACTACCCGTCAGCTGACAGGCGTCTACCCTTCCAGGCCAAGGAACATTGAAGTCTGAGGTCTCTGCTGTAATCATCCTGGGGAGGACGGTGTGCAGGACGGCAGTGGTCACAAGATGCCACCAGGCTTTCCAGGGCCAGTGTTCAGTCAGTCAACAGGCAGACCCAGGGAACCCCACATGGTGATGTGGGAGCAGGACACGAGGGAGCAGGTCCCGGGCCATAAACAGAAAACAAGAGGCCGCGTGACCAGCAGGGAAGGCAGCACCCACCATTCAGGGACAGGGAGGAGCCCAGAGAAGTATCGGTGCCCACACCAGAATCAAGAGACAGGAGTCAGAGGGTGGAGCAGGGCCGGCTGCTTTTAAGTCTTCCAGAGACTTCTGCAGAAACCACTGTGATTATAGACACCTGCAAACAGCAACCACCTTCCTGCCCCTGACCCTGGGGGACCACAGGAAGAGAGGCTCAGGCTGCCTGGGAAGGACTTCGGAGCCAGCTCTAAAGGACTGCACGAAGGACGGTCATCTCCTCACAGAAAAGGACATGGAGGCCAGGAGAGGGCTTAGCCCACAGAGCTGGTCAACACTGGCTGGTCCTGGAGTTCAGATCTGGTGGCCAGGTGTCGAGGCTGAGGGATGCCACATGGATGGGGCTCTTGGGGGGAAATAGTGCCCCCAGTCCCTGCCCACAGCTGTCGAGTCAGCTCAGACAGACACGGAGGGCACGGTAGCCTGGGCTGCCCTCAAGGATGGCGTCACATGGGAGCCCCTCAGAATTTACAGGACGGCAGCCCTTGCATGGGCCAATTCCAGAGACCAGCTGTCACCCTGACCAAGTGGTCCAGGCCTATACCTGCACCCACATTAACCCGTGTACGAGACAGGGAGGTCCGAGTCTCCTTCCGAAATGATGCCCTAGCACCAAACCACAGTGGGCACCAGACAGCACACACGGGGCACAGGAAGGAGGGTGCCAGCTGGAGATAGGTGCCCAGCCAGCAGGGGTCCATGGGGAGAGGACTCAGCCAGGGGAGCCCTCAGGCCAGGGAGGAGAGGGGTCTCCCAACCCTGCCCTCCATCAGCCTCCAAACTGCTTATCTATCACCCTGGGTGGCCCTGCCCACCAGGGGGCCCCTTGTGGGAGGGGACAGGGACACAGTGTACAGCCTGCAAGCAGCCCTTCACTTGTCCCCACCCTTAGATGCTGCTGCCTTTTGCTGTTTCCCAACTGCCGGCAAGCCCCAGGCCCCTCGCCCAGTCCTGGCCCCTGCCCACCCAGCCAGCTGCACTCTCTAAAGCGCCCACTGACCAGAGCAAACGCTCTGTGCCATGGATGTGCACTGGACAAGCAGACCTCAGACTAGGCCAGGTCAGCGACCCAGATCTGAAGGTCGAGCCTGCAGACTGCTGCCCCCTCCGATCCTGCATCCTAGCTGGGGCCAAGCAGGACCCGGCTGCGGGCAGGGGGGCTGCAATTCTCCGCTACTGCTCACTCCCAAAGACAGACCGGCCCAGGAGCAGAGCCTGAGGGTGTGCCTGGGCCAGCCACCACCCGCCCAGGAGGTGAGCTCCACAGGTGGCACCCAGCCATTCCAGCCCTGAGGCCTGGAGGCCAGTGGAGTGGAACCGGGACACAAGAGAGGGGCTGAGAGGAGGAGAGACCTCCAGGCCAGACACCCACCCAACCTGCCAGACTAGTGAAGGCTGCAGACACGAGCAAGTGGCCGCCACCAGGGGCCCGAAGAGCACTAGGCTAAGGAAACCTCAGCCCAGGACAGTTCGGGTCCCCGCGCCCATTTCCACACTCAGGCTCCAATTGAAGAGCGCAGGGAGGAGCCCAGAGGCGGAGCAGGCCGGGGTGGGCGTCCCCATCGCGGGGGAAACAAGGGGAACCAGTGGGGAGCTGGCTGGCAGCAGAGGGCTGGCGGGGAGGCACGGAGGACTGGGGGGGAGAGGGGGCTCGAGTATAGCTCTCCGGGTTCCCCGCAGAACCCCTGGTGGCGATCAAAGACCCAGCTTGTTCGCACGTGTCGCCGACCGCAGGGCGGGCACGGTCACACCCCCGGGACGGGCAGGCGGAGCGCAGAGCCGTGGCCCGCGGCACGTACGCTGCGGCCGGGCCCCGAGCGGGGTGGTCCTGGGGCCCTTGTGGCCCCCGCACCCCGCCGTCCCCACCTTGCGCATCGCCGCCGCTGGTCAGCACCCCGATGGCCTTGCCGGCCCCCGACGCGCGCAGCTTCTCCAGATCCACCGCGGCCATGGTGGCGGCGACCCCGGCGTGCTACTCCCGCCGCTGCGCCCGGCTCTGCGCGCCAGCGATTGCCGTCGCGGTCCCCGCCCCGCGCCCTGCGCGCTCCGCCCCCAGCCCGCCCCGCCCCGCACCACATCCGGCGGCGACAGAAGTGACTGAGCTGACGGGCGCCAGCGGCCCAGCCGGAGGGATCCCGTCGCGCTCCTGGTCTTCGGCCTGCGCGCGGCCGCATCCAGACCCGTTCCCGTCACGAGGCGCACGCGAGTGGAGCGCGCTTTGGCAAGCGGATCTGTGGACGCAACCCCGGGACCCCAGCTCTCTGGGAAGACGGGGCAGGACAGTCGCGCGAGTTTAAGCCCAGCCTAAGCAGACTCTGTCTCAAAATAAATAGGCTGGAGATGCAGCTCTGTGCAAAGGTCCTGGGTTCCATCCCCAGTGCCAAAACGGAAAAGGGAGGCCAGCTAGGGGATAACCCGTTTAACCCCCCACTTCGGGGGCTTTGCAGGACCCTGGGAACTTTGCGGAGCAGGCAGCGGTGGGCATCGGGTGAGCAGCGCGCCCTCTGCTGTGTGGCCAGGGTCAGCCCCGGGATGGGAGCGGCAGCAAGGGGAGGGCTTGCGGCGAGTCCGGAGCGTCAGAGAACTTCGCCCCGGAGTGAGGCTGGGGTCGGGGGGAAGGTGCCCGCTGGAGCCCCGCCTGCTCGGGGCGCGGCCGCTGCGAGCGCCGCTGGCGTGTGGGGCGGGGCCTTGCAAATGACGTTCTGTGGGAGCGGGGCCTCAGCCGCCTGGCACTGTAAGAGTCCACCACTGTCTCGGGGCTGCTGGCGCCTCTGACCCTTGTATTTATTTTAATAAAAATAACGACGCCGAAGTAGAGCATTGCTGAAGTGTGCGGCGAGATGGACAGGGAGGTGCCCACGTGGTGTGGGAGCGCAGAGGTCTCTGCATCTACCTCCCGGGGCTGTTGCGCCTGGCACGGGAGCGCACCCCAGCGGTGCACACTGTGGGCCTCATCTTCTTGCATGGTCGCCTATGCGCACCCGCTCAGACTAAGATACAGGGCGTGGCCAACGTGAAAGGCGGGGCGGGCAGCGAGGCAGGCCGAGCCGAGGCTCTGCCCAAGGCCCCAGGGTGCAAGTTCCGGGGTACAAGTTCAGGAAAAGGGCAGCGGCTCCCTGAACGCAGATGGGACTAAGGTCAGATGCGGCTTGTTCCCTCCGGCCAGTCCTCTGTGGGAAGCAGGCTCCTGAGCAGACTTTTACCCAGACCCCGGATGGCAACACTGCAGCCAAGAGGTCGGTGAGGGAGAAACAGTGCTGTCTGTCCGTCCTCACGGGGACGTTAGGCTGCTTTCAAAAGCAAGGCCGTCCACATCAAGCCACCAGGGCAGACCTTGAAGACATTGAGCTGAGTGACCTAAACCAGGTACAAAAAGACAAACACTGCGGGATTCCAGTCCAGAGGCCCCTGCTGCGCCACCTGCAGACGGAAGCGGGTGCAGGGATGGGGACAGAGAAGCGAAGCCAGTGTGAATCAGGAGAGGAAAGGGTGCTCAGAGCCGCCAGCGGCGGTGGCTGCGCAGCCCTGTGATGCCTTTACTGCCCCTGGACTGTGCCCTTTGAAGTGGTTAAAATGCAGACTAGGCATAGTGCCACACACCTGTAATCCCAGTGTCACAGGCAGCTGGGTAATTGAAACATTCTAGGCAGTCAGGCAGGTCTGGGCCCTCAAAGGAGCCAGAAGACAGAGACCTGCAGCCTTGGAGGAGACAGGCTCCTGCTGTGAGCCAGATCTCAAGACAAAAGGCAAAACAAGTGGGTTCCCAACACCCCCCCCCCCCGTACCAAAAAAAAAAAAAAAAAAGGCACCCACAGCCTAAGGATAAGCCTCAGGGATTGATATTCTAAAAGGGTCCCTGGATCACCTTGATATTTTGATCACCTTGAGGAAGCCTGAAGAAGCCACTATCCTATGACTCTTCTGGCTTCAAGGCCCTGTTTCCCCTTGCTACAAGACTCGTTTCCCTACTGGATCCTGATTTAATCAATCTTACCTGAGCAGTTACACTCGCAATCTTATTGATTGACCACAGTTCTGTCCCACCTCATGCCCACCTTTTGAGTTCCCATTTTTCCACCTTGGACCTCCTCAACTCGTAGTTTTGCTCTGTAAATATCCCTCGGAAAGGCAGGGTCCTCCACAAGGAACTCAGGACGCTTCTTTCTCTCTCGGATAGAAGCTTTCTCTCAATAAATACATTCTGCTGTTAACCTCTGTTGCTCCTAAAATTCATTCTTTGATTGAAAGAATGAGAGAACGGGAACTCATACTGGACGTGTAGTATGTTGGGAGTTTCTTTCCCCTATATCACTAGCACTGGGGAGGCTGAGGCAGAAGATCCCAGATCACTGTGAATTCAGAATCAGCCTGGAGTACAAAATGAGTTCAAAGTCAGCCTGAAATACAAGGTGAGGCTCCAGTTTAAAAGCAAAAACAAACAAATTTACTACAGTAATTTTTTTTTTGAAAGTTAGCCAAACAAAAACAGGTTCTGTTGAGGAAATTGAGTCAAAACTCCTAAGGTCACCAGGAAAGGAGAGAGGCCTGTTGTCCCTGTTGTCCCTGTTGGCTCCAGAGCAGGGGGCAGGACAGAGGCCCCAAACTGGGGGCCCCCAGTTGCAGTGCAGGGGGCACACACAGCACTCCAGAGCCCAGCCTCCGAGACTGGGAGACCTCTGTGGTCCCAAGTAGAAAGCTCCTCAGTGCTCTCATGGAAGTGAGAAATCCTCTCTGTTCCTCACTCCTGTGCATTCTGGATCACATGGGAAAACCACAGCCAGATGTGGGGTCCTGGACGCTTGGACTCCACTCTACAGAGGCACAGCAGTGCTGTGCATTAAGATGGGTTTGTGAACAACAATATAGGAATCCAAGGAGCCAAACTGATAAATTCAGAATTTAATTAGCTGAGCTCAGGACTACTTGTATACACATCCCCCATTTCAGAGTCCAAACAAGTGGCCCTGGATTAAAAAGTTACAGAGCTTTTAAAATAGAGAACTACAAAAAGACATCCCATTGGAAACAATTTAGCTAGATTCCTACATTAATTTTTTGTTAGCACCTATATCCTGCTCCTTTCATTGAGCAGGTTCCTTTTTCTCCTGTAGGTACAGCTCCTTCTGCTTTTCTTATGGGACTTATACCCTGAGTAATTTTCCATTTTCCTAAATACAGGACACTTAAATGCAGGGTGTCAGTTATGCCACGCTGCAACATGCATGTCGGCCTGGGCACTCAGGAGCCTGAGCCAAGCTCTGCCTGCTGAAAACAGAGTGTGGAGCCCACTGTTGTATTTCAGAAGCACTGCAGACAGTGTGTGGGCACCTCCTCAGCCTGTCTGGGTCCTGTCTGGGATCCAGTCAAGGTCAGGTCACCTAGGAGACCCTGGCATCAGTCAGCCTTGCAGCCAGGAGTGCACTGTCCTGTGTCTTCTGCTTCTAGGCCCACTAAGGTCCACTGAGCTCTTGGGAGGCCACAGCAGCCTTCAGGCTGACGCTGTTGTTGCCCAAGGCCCAGAGGAGCAAAGCATAAAAAAGGATTTTTTTTGAGGCAGTGTTTCAGGCTGAAACCCTGTGGTTCAGGCTGACCTCGAACTCATAGCGACCCTCCTGCCTCAGCCTCCTGAGTGCTGGGATTACAGGTGTGCACCCCAGTCCCTGGTTAAAAAAGGAATTTCATCAGATCATCATGGTCACAGCACCAGGCCAGACATAGGTGAGATCCAGCACCACCATGACTGGGGGCCTCAGATCAGGAGATGGGGGACCACGGGGAAGCAGCCCTGGCCCTGTGCATGCTTGAGGGTTGCCCAGCCAGGCCACCCTGCGCAGCCCAGGCTCGGGGCTGGCCGCAGGCTCCTTGCCAGTTGGTCACTTCTCAAAACCTCATTCTCCAAGTCACTTAAAAGCTTGTAAGAAAGTGCATGATGGCACAGACCTGTAATACCAACGCTGGGGAGCTGAGGCAGGAGGATCTCAGGTTGGAGACCCAGCCAGGCAAGTAGGGAGCAGGAATTTGTTTCAAAAGTAAAAAAACAGAAAGGGCTAGGAGTGTAGCTCTGTGGTATGCAGCTATCTAGCGGGTGCCAGGTCCTGGGTTCAGTCCCAGAACCACAGAAAAAAAGAGAGGAGCTTAAAAACCACATGCCTCTCTGATGCAAGAAGCCAAAAATATATTTTTAAAAAGAGCAAAATAAAAGATAGAAGATAGGCTGGGGATTTAGCTCAGTGGTATAAGCTCCTGCCTTGTAAGCGTACAGTACTGAGTTCAATCCCCGTTACCAAAAAGAAACAAAGACAGAGAACAGGGATCAGGAAGGCTCATTTTTTGCAAAAGGAAAGGAGACCAAGAGATGGGGAGGGGAGAGGGAGGGAAGAATTAAAATGTACCAGCTTAACATCCAGGGCTGGACCCAGGCCACTCACACTGTGCCCTCCTCTGCTGGAACACGCATCTCCTGGCAACCCGAAACCCAGCATGGGGAGAAGAACTGAAGAAACAGACTTTCAAATAGAAGATGATTTTTCTAAGAAGTTGGGGGAAGGGAAAGGGAGACCTGGCCACTCTGGATAGGAAACACTGCTGTACTTTTTGTCTGCAGTTGTTTATTGAGATCCTTGTACCACCTAGGCCCCTGGAACCTGAATGGCTCCCTGAGTTGTCTTTCATCCTAACCTTGGATTTTTTGAAAGACAGAGAGAGAGAGAGAGGCTTATCATGCAGTTCAGGCTGGCCCTGAGCCCTCTCTGTAGCCCAGGCTGGTGTTGAACTCACAGTGATCCTCCTGCCTCAGCCTCAGAGGGCTGGTATCACAGGTATGTGCACCTCCACACTAGGCTCTAATCTTGGTTTCTAGTGGCTGCACTGGAGGGTAAGATGACAGGTGGAGCATTATGGACAGATACTGACATGTAAGGATTAAGTAATGAGGAAGCTTGTGATTCCTATGTTAACTGAGCTTCAGAAGGCTTTCTGAGTTTAGCTTCTTTGCCTCTTTTTTTGCCCAGTACTGGGAATTGAAATCACAACCTTGTGCCTGCCAAGCAGTCGCTTATGCCATTGAGCTATATCCCCAGTTTTGCTCGAATCTAATCTGTAGAGACAGAAGCCACCCCTAGTAAGTCTCTGTGAGCCCCGAATCCTGTCTTTTCCCTTCCTCCAGGGCCCCCTCCCTATCCCTGCATTAGGTGCATGCACCAACTCCCCAGAGGAGTGTGATCATTACATGCTGAAAACAATACCAGGAAGAATAAAAATGAAAAGCATTTGCAAAGGGAAGGTCATTGGTAGTTTTTTGCAGTGAATTCCCAGTAACAAATTTGTTTTCATTGTTTCCCTCCTCTTTCTAGCTGCAAGGTTTTTAAAAACTTACCCCTCAGCTATGTTCATCCACAAAGCTCATGCTCATTTTATTATTTTATTGTCTGGACTATGTCCTGAGCTGTGACCAACACACTGCTTCTCTGAGCATTCCCAGATTTGAGAGGTTTCCGCTGGGAAGAAGGGCTGTGTTGGTTGTTGGACTCTGGGTGATGTGTGTTATGGCTTGGCAGAAAGTTTGTCTGCATTTTGCTCACATCCAGAGGTTTTGCCTGAGACAGAGATTAAGGGCAGTAAGATGATTAATCTGGCAGAAAAAAATTTCAAGGCAGCATAATGTTGGGGCAGTGGCACGGCTATTGTTGAGGGCTTTTAGCCAGATTTATGTTGAGAATCAAGAGCAAAGAACCCAGCAGGATATTTTAAAATGTGGTGAGTTTTGAGCTAGGGCTTTAGCTCAGCAGCAAAGTACTTGCCTGGCAAGCACAAGGTCCTAAGTAGTCGATCCCCAGACCAAAAAAAAAAAAAAAAAAGTTGAGTTTGACCAGAGAGGAAACTCCAGAAGAGCTAGAAGAGCTGTGGACTGCAAAGATAGAGCTGAGGAGATCATTATTGCTCAGAAGGAACAGGAAAATAGAAAAGATGGCCTGAGGGCATCACAAGAAGCAGCATGTCTTTACCCTTTGCAGCCTCAAAACTGCAAAAATGAAAGACTTTGCTCTGAGGAGAAAGCCACAGAGCACCATGTTTCAGAACAGTGATGTTGTACTAAAATGCTAACAAAACTAAAATGCAAAGTTAAAAAGATTGCCTGGAGCACTGACCACACAGTTATAGATTAACTGACCGCATTATCATGCTGTTCCATATGCCTTGTCACCCTAGTAACCTGTTTGCTGTGTCAACCTTTGTTCCCTTTGTGAGAAACAAATGTTCCTGGAATTAGCAGATCAAGGGCAGTAAATTAATAAAAGAAAGAGGTAACCACCAACTGCGAAATGTCTCTGACTCAAGCAAAGGGGGACAAAGTCCTTCTACATTCTTGTTCATCATTGCCATGTACTTTATGGTTTGTGAGCTATGGTTAATGGGCTATAAAAATCTGTCAAAATTCTAACCCAGTTGCACAGCTTTGCAAACTCCATCTGCACGGTGTCACTGGTGCCAGCTTAAATAAAAGCACTCTTTTTCTTTTTTAAAAAAGACATCTTGTCCCGTTTTTCTTGAATAACATCTTGGGGCCTCGTTTTGGGGGTATAACAGGTGATGGTGGCTGCACCAGGTTCCTAAATGGTGATGGCACAGAGAATCTGCTCCTCAGAATCAGGTCTGGAGTGCTCAGCCCCCCAGGCACTCGACCCCTACAGCCAAGGGAGAGGGAAGCCTGGCTACAGCTACAGCTGGCAGCAGACCTCAGCATCATTCATGTGAGGCTGGTTTTAGGTGCATATAGGATGCAAGAGTTCTGAGGTTAAGTCCACCCCAATTTCCGAAGGCCTGGAGGCCAGGCAGTGTGCCCTTGAAAGGGCAGAGTGTGAGGCTGTGAGTGTGAAGCCAAAGGTGCACTGGGGAACCCAGAAGTTCGGAAAAGCCAGGAACGTGGATCACCTAAGGAAAGCTACAAAGAGGGAACAAAGCCAGCCCAAGAGCAAAGCTGTGGGAGCTACAACCACCAGAAGTGCCATGGTGGTGGAGTTACTCAAGCCCTTTGGAGTTCAAAACCAGACTGCTTCAGATGCTGAATGTGAAACTCCAGCACTTAGTGTCTGCCTTGCTGGGTTTTGGACTTGCTTTTCATCCAGTCCTTTGTATTCTCCTGTTTGCAACTGTTGGAGTTAGAATGTGTGTCTTGTGCCACTGAATGTTGGAAATGTTTAATTTTGTTTTCATTTGTATGGAGGGTTGCAACTAAAAGTTTGCCTTACGTCTTGGAGGAGATTTGGGACTTGGACTTTTCAGCAATGCTCAAACTGTAAGGACTTTGGCACCTTTTAAGATGGACTAAATGTCTTTCACATAAAGGAATGTGCGTGAGTCTTTGGAGGACCAAAGGCAGAATGTTATGATCCTAATGTAATATAATGTTGATAGACTTAATACTGGTTCTTAAGGATTGTTAAGCTGTGTTTTAATGTTCAAGCTGTGAAATGATAAGAATAAGCATCACCCAAGAAACACACTTTCTATTCTGGTGAAGAAATCAGTACATTTCTGTTTGTAGGCATAATTAAAAGCATATTTTCATATTTGGAGACTGATTTAAAGAGATGTGTCTGATTGTCAGGTTGACAAGGGATGGATTGTAAAGGTTGATGCATTGTGTCCATTTGAGAAGGTCAGAAGTTCAGTTTAGTAAGGGGCCAGGGTCCTTACTTTGTAACATTCTCAGCCTGTGAAAGAGGACAGTGGCCAAATGTTGTGGGTGCTACATCAGACCTCAGGGAGGGTGGCTTGCTTACAATGTAAAGAAGGGAAACAGGCTTGCTTTCCCCTTTATACTCTCCTTGCTTTGCTGTCTTCTGCTGCCTTGAAGTGTTGCCCCTGTGCCCTGCCACCCTGCCTTAGAGCTGGCCGATTATGGACTGAAACCTCCACAAAATGTGAGTTAAACAAACCTTTCCTTTCGAGCACTGGATATTTTGTTTCAGCAATGAGAGAAAAGTAACAAAGACAGACAGACAGATGGCTGGGATGGTCTTTGGAAGTGCAATTGCCATGCCAGCAGGTGGCAATAGTTTGCAGGGCTGGGGCAAGGTTAGAAGGCTGCATATGGCTTGAGTCACCATCCACTATGTGGTAATGAGAGGTGGAAGTGGAAGTGCCCCCACTCACCATTAACCCCAGGGACCTACTAGCAAAATCTTTGTTCTCTGTTCCTGTGACCTTGTGCTCTGCTAACCTAGAAGTCTTAGTTGCAGAAAGGGGAAAGCTTGTACCAGGAAGCAGGTCAATGATTCTACTGAACTGGAGGCTAAGACTTCCCCGTGGTCATTTTGTTCTTTTCACAACTCTGGGGAAATGGGCTCAAAAGGGACTCACGGTGTTGGCGGAGGTGACTGACCAGACTATTGAGGGGCAACTGGACTATTCCACAGCCTCCATGCTACCTAGGGACACAGAGCACTTGCTGTCCCAGTCTTCTTTTCCCGTCACTGTGGGTTCCTTCCAGCCAGATTGACCTGGGTCACAGCACCTGGTATACCGAACCCCCAAACACACATCCACTGCACAGCACGTGGAACACCAGAAGTGACTTTAATTTCAGGGCACACATGACCTCCGGTCCCCACCCCATTGGCTTCTGCAAGGAATGGCCAGGTGCCAGAGCGAGTAGGCGGGTCCCTCCAGGCCTGTGGGTGCAGGCTCCGGCAGGGTCCCCTGTGCAGTCAGGAGAAGGAAGGCGCCTCGGCCAGCGGGCGGGCCATGCTCTGGATGGCCCACTGCAGGATGCCGTCGAAGGAGTGCTGCGGGGAGCCAGGCTCAGTCAGACCAGGCAGGGGCCACCCAGGGATGATGCCCACCCCGCCTGCATCCACAGGACCAGGAACACCACCTCACTTGGCACTAACTCAAAGGGAATGCAGGCCTGGGACCCATGGACGTCACTCATGCAGCACTCCTCACAGCACCCACTGGGTGTGGCCCCATGGCCCATCTACCTCTCAGGTGGCTTCTTCCTGGTGGCTCTTTCCTTCGGCTCCTGGGCCTGACTCTCCCCTCTTGCAGGATTGGTGGTCACTGGGGTCTCGCATTTTTCCAAATCTGCCCCACACCCCAGAGTTCTGACTCCCTTATCAGGCCCAGGGCTCCTCCCAGACCCTGGGGTCTCTACAGAGGCCAGTCCTGTTGGAGGTGGGCCCCATGGTCAGCACACCCCCTGAGGCACCATGCTGGTCGTGGAAAGGGCATGTGTTGGCCACCTGTGGGGTGGAATACTGTAGGAGTATGTCCTGTGAACTACTCTACCCGTCCATCTTGGGGTGTATGACCTGAGGGACAGAAGTAGGAACCTTCCCTGGCTGCCTAGGAAAAGCAGGGGCTCCAGCTGCCTGCCACTGGTGCTGAGGGCCTGGGGACCCAGGGGCATCAGAAAGGGTAGAGAATCATGATGGATGAGGCCAGGAACTCCCTGGAGAAGCCACAAAGCCACAGCCCTGATTTCTACTCATCCCTTAGAAGCCCCTAGCTGCAGTGCCCCAGGAGGGACCTGGGTGCTGGTGACCCAATACCTCGCTTAAGAGGGATTCCAGGTCCTCCCGGTGCAGGACAGCCTCTTGGCCAGCATGACCATTGTCCACCTGGAACCCAGGGATGGCAAGGGTCAGCTCAGCCCGCACCCTACTGGAGATCTGGAAGCAGAAGCCTGGGGTTGGGGTGACAGGCCTGGGGTTGGGGTTCCAGGTATGGGCAGAAGGGACACGGAGCTCAGGGTTGCCTGACCAGGACCCCCAGAACTCCTGGCCCAGTCGCCTTGTGGAAAGAACAGTTGGATTTAGACTGAAAGTCTCAAAAAGAAGATTCACTCTCCCAAACCCCTAGGACCCTCTAACCACAAGATCTCTGAGTCCCGCGCTGACCTTGGGTGGCTCCGGGGCGCGAGGGGGACTGGAAGCCCGCATTGCCTCTCCAGGGTCGCGGTCTCCGGAGCAGGATTTGCAGCGCAGGCTGGTGCTGGGGGGAGGGCAGGAGGCTTGGGTGGCAGGAGCGCCCCTTGGGGTAGGATGGGTGGGGTGCAACTGCCGTCTTCCTCCCCTGCCCCCTCCCCCGCCCACAACACTCACCCGGGCCGTACTGCGATCCCCGGGAAGTGGCAGTGCCAGTGGAAGGCGGCTGCGCAGTGTGCGCACCGCAGCGCATCCGCGCCGTTTCCGCACACCCCACACCTTGCGCTGGGCGTCAGGCCCTGCGAGACACAGTAAAGGTGACCTGGAGCAGGCTGGGGCGCCTAAGCTCCGAACCCACGCCCTGCACACCACCCGGCCTCCCTGGGCCACCCAGGAACTGCACTGCGCTTGCACTGCTTCCTGGGGAAGCCGCAGGCTGCGGAAGGTGGGATTGGACACCCCAGTCTCGAGGCTGTGCTGCTGGAAGAGGCAGGAGAGACTGGGGAGTGGGATGAGGCACGGGGGTTCCCACTTGCTGAACCCTTCCCAGCTTTATCCCTGCCTTGGATTCGGGTTGGGGTTGGGGTAAAATCCAGGGTGAAGCTAGGGTGGGGGTTTCCAATTAGTGGGAGAATGTGGGGCCCTGAAGAAGCCACCTAGGAACCCCCACACTCCAGCTACACACACACTCCTGGGTGCTGTGCCTGCAGCCCGGTGCTCCCAGCTTCTCACCTACCCCTTCAGACCTACAGATCCAGAACCTCAATGGGCTGCACCCCCTGCTGCCAACAGGTCCTTCCCGTTTCCAGTTTTTCCCAGGTCCTGAGGTCCTCAGCTGTGATCGCACCCTGACCGCGGCGCTGCCCGCCTGGCTTACCTGCTGCCCCTCAGGGATGGCACTCAGCAGGGGGTGCAGGGCTGAGGGCTCCAGAATGGGCAGGGGCCCTGCAGGAGGCGGGGTCAACAGGTGCGTGTAGGAGACTGCAGGGTCCGAGTGGGGCTCCCTGGGCAGGGCCCGCACATCCTCACCCGAGGCCCGGGGCCCCTGGAGGACCTGGAACCCAGAGTCAGCCCTCAGAGGACCACAAGGCTGCTACCCGAGGCACAGCTTAGCGCCCAGGAACCCAGGGACATGGAACTCAGGGCCAGGGGAGGACCGGTATGGGCAGGGATGCTGCACAGGCACTGTCGGAAAGGCCTGGTGACCTGGTGGGCAGGATGCAGGGCCAGGTGCACAGGCCCTTTCTGCATCTGACCGGGCTGCCGCCTCAGGGCTATCAAGGCAAACACTGGGCATAGAATAGGGCGTGTGTCACAACACAGCCCATGGAAGCTAGCAGTGGCCACATCCTGTGCCACAGCAGGGAGAGGGACATTTGGGGGAGGTCTCAAGCCCTGTGGGAAGCCCCAGGTTGGGCTCACAATGATTGGGAACTGATCAGGAAGGAGGCCACCCAGCCAGGGAGAATGCCGCGTACCGGGGCCTCTGTAGGTGGCTCTGGGGGCTGGGGCTCCTGGGTCTGGCCTGGGGCCTGCTGGCCTCTCCCCTGCAGGCAGCATGAGCACCTCCAGGTGCCACTGCTCCCATTGTCACCAGTCACAAGCATGCAAGACAAAGTGGAGACCATAGACCCCGGCCCCACAAGGCGTGGGGCTCCCTGTCACCATTTCCCTCATAGATGGAGGCACTGAGGCTTGGGCAGGGAACAAGCTGGGTCACAAGGGCCACTGAGGGAGAGAGCCCAGAATGGGGTATTTACTCCTGCTGGGGTGGCCTGGCTTGCATGGCCAGGGTCCCCATGCAATGCTTCTCCAGTGTCCCCAACAACTCCCCGCACCTGGCAACCCACAGTGACCTGTGCCTACTTATCATGGGCCTGGCCCTGCCCTGGCTGGACAGTGTGTCCCTCAGGCCACCTAGGGGACTAGCACACAGCAGAATGGAAGACAGGCCAGGAAAGAGGAGGGGAACAAGAATGGCAGCTTCAGAGGGGACGATCAAGGAGCTGGGCCTCACAGGGGCCAGTCCTGGTCACACAGCAGCAGTGGGCAGAGCTTGGGCTGGGCTGGAACCCAGGCCTCTGGGTCCCTCCAAGCCCCTCCTCTAGTCTGCTGTGCCCGACAGGCAGAAGGCCCGGGACAGGAGGGAGAGGGACCTGTGCCTGGGTTGGGGCTCCCGGGGAGCCTGGAGCATGCACCTCCGTGGCCTCTGCTCCCAGACAGCACCTCCGGGCCCCTCCCAGCTGGTGTTGGTGGGCAGTGGGGGCGTGGAGTGGTCTCGGCACAGGGTGACAGGGAGGCTCACCTGGGGATCTTGTGCAGGGGCGGGGACAGGCAAGCCAGGTGGAAGGCCCGGGGACAGCCATCACAGCAGATGAGCTCCCCACCGTCCCGGCACACAGCACACTCGTCCTCGTTCTTCTGAGCAGGAGACAGCAAACCATGCAGACCAGGGCCCGCTGCTGCGTGTGGACCCCACCAGCGCCCCCTGCTGGCCCAACCGGACCATCCCCTCCTCCCCCTCCCCGACGTGGCTGCAAGGCCAGCTGAAGGCTGGGGCCAGGGTGCCTCTATCGGCCCCAGCCACCTGCTGTCCCCTCCCTGAGGCCTCCGCCCTCCCTGTGTCTCTCCATAGATGGTGCCCACCGTACTCTGGCTGGGCTGGCCCTGAGCCACAACCCCACGGCCACCTTGCCTGACCTCTACCCACCTGGTCCTGCCTGGCCACAGCAGTTCAGAGACCGAGTTGAGACCAGGACAAGCTGGCTGTCCCTGGGGACCCCCCCAGCCCTAGCTCACAGCACAGCCCAGCATAAGGCTCGGTACAATCTGGACTGCACTCTGTGGTCTCACATCCTGAGAAAGCTTGCTTTTCCTACATTTTTTTGAATTTTACAATTGTGGTTTATCAATATAAAAAATTTCCAGGGTGAGAAAGAGGAGAAGGTGGGAGAGGAAGGAGCGGTGGGAGGGGAGAGGAGGGAGCACAGGTGGCTCTTCAGGCAGCCAGTGCCCAGAGCAGGGGCAGAGGATGTACAGGAGTCACAGGGCTGCCCTCGGGGTCCAGGGTGTTACCTGGTGGAGTTGGGTCTCACTGGCAAGGGCTGCACCGACGGAGACCCTGGCCTGCTGGCCGAGCCGTGGCTCTCCTGCAGCCTGGAAGGGGAAGGCCAGCAACGGGGCCGGTGAGGGCAGCACTGTTGCTGGGGGATACAGATGCCCAGGCCGGGGTCTCCCAGCAGTGGGCAGGGCAGCACTTACAGGGACAGAGCCCTGGGCTCCCTTGGCCCGGACCAGAGGCTTGGGGCCCCCGCCACTGCTGCGGGTCTTGTTCTTGCCGCCACCAGGGTCTTCGAACTTGCTTGGGGTGTAAAACTCCCCCCCAACCTGGATGCACTTCTTGGAGCCCCCTGGGAGGAGATATTGGGGGACATCCTGGCGTCTCCCCACTCCCGCAGTACTGGCAGTGTGGAGGGGCCCTCAGGCGGAGATAGCCTGCATTTCTAATCACCCCAGCACCGCAAATGCAGGCCCAGGGCTGGGCACAGGAAAATTCTGCCATGCTGCAGGGGTCCCCCAGTCCGTGTCCCCGGAGAACCTCAGTGTAGAAATTATTTGTTAATAGGATCAGTGCAGACATAATTGGCTTGGACAAAGTCATACTGGACCCTGAATCCAGTGATTGGTATCCTTACAGAAGAGAGAGGACCCTTGAGTGACAGCCACATGCAGCCAAGCAAAGACCATGGCCTGGGCACAGAACCAGGAGCAGCACAAGACCTGGAGGAGCAGGAAGGAGGGGGAGGTGGCCTTGCCCACACCTCAATTTGGGAACCTGTCACGTGCACCACCCAATCTGTGGCAGTTTGCTGTAGCAGTGTCAGGACACCCATGCAGGGTCCTTGGGACTATTTGTGATCAGGAGACACCAGGGCTAGCACTGGCTCCATACTGCCCTTGGTGCCCCCAACCTGTGTCCACCACAAAGGAGACACTGTGGCAGGGAGTGGCGTGTGATGCCTGGGCCACCAGCAGCCCTGCTGTGTCCCAGTCAGAGATGACAGTAACTGCGTGGTCAGCAGGGCTGACTCCCAGGCTGCAAGGGGACCAGATGAGAGGTGATAGAGGCACGTGACAGGGACACTGGGGCCAGTGGAGTGCAGTGTGGGCGCCTAAGAGGTCAGAGCACACAGGAGGACTTCCTCAGGGGTAACTGGGGACCCGGCAGAGTCAGACCACCTGTCTGTCCTGAGGCTGTGATCACACACAGGACACTGGCTGCCTCCTTGTCTGCTTTGGGGCCAGCAGGGAGCAAACGCAGGGCAGAGTCTTCCTCCCACCCAGGGGCAGGCCGGTCCCCACCCTGTATGCCCACCTGACTCAAACACCTGCTGGATGAGGATGCCCTCCACGGCCCCGCGGGCTCCAGCAACGTCCCCCGAGGACACGGCCACCGCCCTCTGCACTGAAGCTGACATGGTCTGAACTCCTGGAGCAGGGACAGCCCCGGTGGGAAGAGTAGACAGTGAGGTGGACCTCGGGCATGTGTGGGCAGGGCCTGGACCATGCAGTCCTCTCTCTTGCTGGCCAGAGACCCAGCCCTGCCCTGGAAGACAGCCCACAGGAGAGGAGAGAGAGGCACCGTGCTGGGTGTGTGCCCATGTGCACAGGAGGTGTGTGCGTGCATGTGTGTGTCCCAGTGACCTGGGCCTGGTGTTGTACTGGGGGCACAGAGTTTCTAGCACTGGGGAGCCCCGGAGAGCACAGGTCTATGGGGTCAGGAGCCCTGGAAGTAGGGAATAGAAAAGGGGCCAGCTGGCACAGCATCTAGGGGGCTAGATGGGACAGAGGTGGGCCTGGAAGGAGGGTGCAGAGCAAGGCCACATGGTGAAGGTGACAGGCAGGAGCCTACTGGGACCAGGCAGCTGTTTCTGCCCACTCTGCTGGCACAGAGGCCAGTGAGATCCCAGAGAGGACGGACCCTTGCACAGCAGGCCCCTGCAACCCGCAACCCAGGGCCCCACTCACCGTTCCCCAGGGGAAGGCGCTGCAACTCCGAATTACCCTCTGGCTTCTTGGGGGGCTTGACCTTCAACTGGGATCCTGCAGGGGATACAGGGGGCAGCTGGCTGGGCAGCACCCAGGGGGTGGGTGCTAGGGCCCCCGGGCTCCATGTGGACTCCTCTGCTGTCAGGAACAGGAAGCCCCACCCAGGGCACTGCCTGGCACCTAGGAGCCTGGCAGTGGGTTAGGTACCTGTGGGGAGTGTGCTGGCCCCATAGAAAGAGTAGGAGGTCTGTGACCAGGCAGGCTCCTCCTGCTGGTACCTGGACTCGGGGTGCCCTTCGAGGTCAGGGCTGCTGGTGGGGTAGCTCGGGGCTCCTCCACAGCCTTCCTCTTGGTGGGGTTTCTGGGTGGCAGTACAGGAGTCTTGGGACCGCTGGGGGGCTTCCTTCCCTTCCGGGGCTGGCTGAGGTCCACATCTGCAGGGCACGGGGTCCCTGGCTCAGAGCCTTTCCAGGGGGTGGGGGGGTGGGAGGTGTCCAGATACCCTCAGGTAAGGTGGCTGAGATCTCTGCGCTTGTCCCTCAGGGCCCAGCAGCCCTAGAGAGCCTCTTGGGCCTCCCCAAAAGCTTCCCATTCTCCTCATACCCCCACCCCAGCATTGTCCAGCCCACCTTTCGGGAAGCCATCCAGGACGGGCCGCAGCCCCCCGTAGCGCGCCAGGTGGTAGTCTTTGAAGAGAACCCTCCAGAAGTCGGTGATGGCTGCGGTGTCCTGGGTCAGCAGCCAGGACAGGAGGGCGTGGAAGGCCTGGGGACAGCCCTCCTTCTCCTTCAGTAGCAATGTCTCCTGTGGCAGCAGCCACTTTAGGGTCCTGCCTGACACCCTCCAAGCAGCCCCTAGGTGTCCCTCCCTGGCTCTGATTTGTGGATGGGTGTGGGGCGGCACAGGGGAGGTGGGGGCCCACCTGGAATGACCTTCAGGGGAGTCACCTCCAGCCTAGGAGCACAGTGAGGATGCCGGGGGACTTGGGGGTCAGGGGCCCACAGGGAACCAGCGCTGGGCTCTGGTCCCTAGCACGAAGGTGGGATCGGGGATCAGGGGTCCACCTGGAACTTGTCCTCGGGGACGACGTCGTGGTCGGCCAGCGAGTGCAGCAGCGGGAAGGCACTGTCCACGGCCACCGCGATCTCCGTGCGGTGCAGCCTCAGCAGCCTGCGCAGCACTGCGTCCCCGCCAGCCCGCGCCTCGCCGGCCATGGCGGTGTCACCCGGTCCCCGCGCGGCACAGCTGCGCCCCCTGCCGGCCGCGGCGTGGCGTGCACACCTGGCGGGCACCTGCGCGCCCACTGTTATACTGCCCGGTCCAGGAAAGAGCAAAGGCCGCTGGCGCGGGAGCCAATCAGGGCCGGAGCTCCCACGGACCGAGTGGAGCCACCGGTGACCTGGTAAAGAATGGCCCTACGAAAGAAGTTCCGGACCCCGACAGCCTGGCGCTGCTCCCCTGGGCCAAGCAGAAAGCCAGCCCCTGGGCTCCGGGTACTCCTGGGTCACCCAGATGCCCTGCGCTGGGCACCTGATGACCGCTTAAGAAACTACCGGGGGCGGCTGGATTGGCCAGTGGTCTGGGGGGGGGCTTCCCTGTTGCTGTGGAGTCCCTACCTCATCACCCAGAGCAGGGACAGTTGGAGGAGGGAATGGGATGACTGGGGTGCTGGTGCAGGTACACACTGGGCACGGACCCAGCCCAGGCCCTTAGAAAATGGAGCCACCATGAGGGCGGCTGACGTCCGGCACTCTGCTCCTTGTCAGTCCATCTGGGTGGAGCCACCCTGAGGAGCCTGGCTAAGGGAGGGACAGAGGCTGAGGGACGGTGGCACTTGGAAGAACGGTGCCACCATGGACACAGGGCACAGCTTCTTGGAGCTGCCTTCTTCCTAGAGCAGATGAGCGAGGTCCTCAGGTGGGCGCCGGTACAGCTTCCCCAGCTCTGTGGCCGGTGCAGGGCCTGGGTCTCAGTGTCACCAGCTCGAGGAGGTTCTGCAGAGCCTGGCTTGGGAAGCATCAAGTTATGGCCGTGCTAGGGAGGAAACCTGGCCCTGGTGGACACAGGTGCCAGGGGGCCAGGATAGGGTGGCAGAGCACAGGTGAGGGGCCATCACCAGGCTGGACAGCACCGGTGTCTCATGCTGAGGAAAACATCGGGTGACAGGCAGGATGCCTGGTGGGGTTCTCCTCCCATCCCCAGGCCCCAGGTCCCCATGAGTCCTCCCAGACCTCAGAGGTGTCTGGGAACCAGACAAGAGGGGGCACATGGTATCAGGCCCACAGGGCAGTCAGCCTGGGGAGCAGGCACAGGGGAGTTGGAGCACTGTGGGGGGACCCGGGGTGGTCTCAGAGTCAGGGTGAATGTGGTTATCAGGAAAGTGGAGTCGAAGCCAGCAGTGGTGGCATACCCTTGTGATCCCAGCACTCAGGAGGCTGAAGCAGGAGGCTACTGCCAGCCTCCTTCCCCATCCCCTCCATGTGTTGACCTCAGAAACCTTACAGAAGGCAGAAGTCACAGTCCACAGACACGGTCCAGCCTGTTCAGGAATGTTCTATTCACCGAAGTCCCTTGGGCCCCTGGGCCCCAGAAGGCACCTGTATGGCATCAGGTGCTGGGGTCCTCCTGTGAGCTTGGGAGGAGCAGGGTCCACGGTTCACTGTGGCTCAGCCTCCCCCCTGCCGACATCACCCAGCTCATTCTTTTGATTCTGGAGTTTACTAGGCCATGTTTATAGTCAGGAATGACTGTGCCCCTTGTTGGGAGCTGGCTCACGTGCGTAACCCATCTCGCTCTCTTGAGGCCCCTTCCCTGCTAGTCTCCTGGTTTGAATCATTTACTAGATACGGTTGTGCATGTCCTTCTACATCTAGTCTTCAGTGTCACTTAACATCCTTGGGGGCGCCTTGAAGATGGACCGCAGGGCGCTGGGCACTGAGCTACACCCCTGGCCCTTCATACTTTTTATTTAGAGCCCTCTAACAGGCTCACACTCTTCCTGCCTCAGTCCTTCCAAGCACCTGGGAGGACAGACAGACACATACCCTCATGCCTGGCTAGCCAGGTCTTCTAATTATTCCAATGGAGTAATTGATTTTCTTCATGTTATGTAAATAGTGTTTTCATCTTGTTTGTTTGTGACATATTTAAACAGTTTCATATTCCTTTTCTTCTATTTGCTGGTTTGATAGGTTACGCTGGATTCCTCTTTTTAAAGTCCTTACTACTTTGGAAATTCTATTCCTTCCTTCTCAGCACTGACCACCTTTCCTTCCTCGGTGCTCATAGCAGCATTTCTATAAAGTCAGGCGCCTGTGAGGATCTCACACCCCGACCTCACTTCATCCCTCCTCCCTTCCTCAGCACTTCCTAATGTCACACCCTGCAGCCCGGGGATTTTCTCTCCCCAGATGGGGACTCTCAGACAGAAGTAACCGGTAAAGGGGAATTTAAAACCGCCAAGCCAGAGCAGCGTCTGCACCCTGCTCTTTGAAAGCCCCGGCGCCCTCAGGTGCACCTGTGGCACAGGTAGGGGCCTGACCGTTGCAGGCAGTATCCCTCAGCCTGTCGCTGGAGGCAGCGGGGGCCCTGTGGAGTTGCGGACTTTCCGCCACCCTGAGGGGCTTTCCGCCAAGGCGGAGTCAGCTCAGCCAGTGACCTAGATCAGGTGGGCAATGCCTTGTGGGGCTGAGGCTGGGTCTTCTGAGAGGCTTCTGTTCCTTCTGCCTGTGCCGAGGTGGCCTCGCTGTGTCAGAGTCAGAGCAGCAAGGCCTGGTGCCCACCTGCTCCTGTCCCTCCCCAGACATGGAGAGCTAAGCAGGTCACCCGGTCAGGGCCAGCAGGGGAGCGGAAGAGGGACAGGAAGGGACACACAGGGTGGCCACCCCGTAAGAGCAGGAACCTGCACCCTTGGTGCTCCAGAGCTCAGGCCCAGCGGATGCTCGCAGGCTGATCTGAAGGCAACTCCATCCACATCTGTCCACTGCCGCGCACAGCAGGTTGGCGTCTATGACTTGAAATGGCTCCAGCAGTGCCCCTACCCTTAAAGGAAAACTTCTGCTGCCTCTGAACATAAAGAAGCTGCTGAGATGCAGCAAAGTAGTTAGAAAATCACACCCTAGCGCCAGGCGTGGTGATGCACACCTGTGATTCCGTCGGTGGGGAGGCTGAGGCAGAACAGCCGCCAGCGCAAGGCCATGTGGAGCTACACAGTGAGACCCTGGCTCAGAAACAGAGAAAGGAAATCACATCCTGTAAAGGCCCGTTTGTTTAAGAACAAATAATCACAGGGATGAGAATCCCTTTGGAAGTGTCTTTGAGATGGAGTTTATTAGACTGAGGGAAGACAGAGAAATAAAAATAGGTAGAAAGGAAACAAGAAAGTCATAACTAAAAACTGTACTTTTTTTGGAGACAGTCTTGCTATGTAGATCAGGCTGGTCTTCAACTCTCTGTGGCCTAGCCTGGCCTCAGACTCGTGGCACTCCTCCTGCCTCAGCCTCCTTACTGCTGGGATTACAGGTGTGTGCCACCACACCCAGCAAAACTGTACTTTCCAGAAGGCTGTGATGTCTTCAACCCAGTCAAGGTCACCCAGGCGGCCCCACATCAGGATTCCCTTGGTCAAATTTAGACTCCTTTCCCTCTGGACTCAGCACACTGGCCTCCTCTCTGCCCCCTCGGAGGGACATTGGTTTCCACCTCCATCCTTCTCCCTTGCCGGCCCTGACTGGGCCACCTCCTTTGCTCTCCATGTCTAGATGGCACAGGAGCAGGCAGATGATCCCGAACTGGTGAGGTCACCACAGCAGAGCTAGAACCAAAGCTTTTTGGAAGAACCAGCCTCAGCCCCACCAGGCATCACCCAGCAGATCCAGGTCACTGAACGGGAGTTCATAAATTGGCCTCACAGAGACAGGGAAGGGCAGGAACCTGACCCAGACTCAGGGGAGCAGCCTGAGAGAATCCAGAGGACGCTGGGGCATCATCCACTTAATGAACCAGCAGCTGGGCTGGGCCAGCAGATGGACGGGCCAGTGCCCTCTTGGGGGGTACCCACCTTTTCTGGGGTCTCCACCCTGCAGGAGGAGTGAGGTGCTCCCAACACAGAAGCGAGCACCTCTCCCCGAGCCTCACACCACTCCTGAGTGTGTGCTTTTCCACTTCTGCCCACAAGCTCTGCTGACCCTTCCTGAGGGCATGTCCATGTCGTCCAGGGGCCAGGGGATGTGGAGCAGGAGGAGGGGAGGGCAGGAGGGGGACACTGTTCATATCGTCACCTGTGTGTTGCAGCTGTGTTTACTCACCATTGATATAGAGAGCAAAACCTTGGCTTGGGAATGTAATTCACCCCTGCACCGAGCTGGTAACCCAGAGCACTTGTGTACCAAAATGACCCTCCCTGTGGAGAATACTGGGAACTCAGGGATTCGTTCTGTCACCCAAAAGCATCCACGTAAGAATGGTGACAAGATCAGTGTGACCATGCATGACTGTAATCTCAGCTCTTGGGTGGCTGAGGCAGGTGGATTGCTACAATTTCCAGGCCAGTATGAGCTACACAGTGAGGCCCTGTGTCAAATGCCCCATGACTACAGTACAATACAATGCATAATAATATAATAAACAAAAAGCAAAATAAGCCTTGGAAAACTGCGGTGGCTTTTGTGAAGGAGACAAGAGAGGCAGTTGCTATGCAGGGTGGAATCATGCTCTCTCGGTTCAGTGGAGTCTCTCCCTGTCATGCAACTTGGACGAGGAATCCATCCCGTGGCACTTGTCTTTGCCTCCTTTTGAGGACTGAGTGGCATTGTCTTGTTGCTAAACAGAGTCATTGCTCGCACTGCCACAGCCTCATTCAGGTGGGGCTTCCCTACAAAATTTTTGCAGTCTCGGCTTGACTGGGAACATGGCGGACAGACAGCAGCAGCTACTGAAGGCTCTCTAAAGGCTCGGCTCAGAGGCCAGGAATGATGCGGACTAAGGAGATACGAACCAGTAGAGATATGCTCTGCTGACTCAGGAACGAACTGGGCTGAGAGAATCTAACTTAGAATACAGTCCTGGCGCTAAAATAGGAACAGAAAAATCTCGGTGTGGAGGCTCGACCCCGCGCCATTGGAAACCGCGGTTTGGATTTCCCACCACCCAGCGGCTGGCTGCCTCCACAGCGGCTCAGCAAGGAGAGACGCGACCCCCGAGCTCTGGGAACGGGCGTCTGGGAACGGTCTCGGAAACAGGACGGACAAGGAGGCGTACACGAAAACTGACTGGTG